TCTTTTCTTGTTGGACTTGACCTCATATCCACTGTTGGTGATTGGTGGGATGCCCTCTTGTCCAGACTTAACCATAGTTTTCCACTTATAAAAATCATGGGTGGCTTGGAGCTGTTGTGTCTTCCAAGACATGCCCCCTACTTCATACTTCATGATGGGTGACAGTGACATGCCCCCATGTCTAGACTTAGCCAAATTAGCATGCTTAGCATAAGCATGTGTTGCTTGTGATTGATGTGGTCTCGTAGACACCACATGCCCCCTAGATGGACTTCTAGGCTTCACCTTGTGAGAAGTTAGACTTTCATGCCCCCCATGATGGGCTCTAGATGGTTTGAGTTCTTCATAATCCACTCCTTGCCTACTCACTGGGGGTGGCATTGGGGGTGGGTGAGCAGATCGTGGTACTTGATCCATTTTGGATGAAACACCAACACCTACGTCATCCACAGGGGCTCTTCTATTTAGCATGGGCGGTTGAACTCCATATTGTACAGACAAGTCACAATCGTGGGTCGTGAACATGAAGGCCAAATTTTGGCCACAACTCCCATGTTGAGATGGCAGTTGGCTTGTTACTGATGTCGGCGATGTTCCTTTCCACGATCGACCATTTTGACAACCAGTGGAAGAAAGATTCTTACACCATGTAACACTGTTTAGTGGTGGATCTTTGCTATTTATTGGCAAAGTCCTTGATTGAACCACAGATATGTCCGAGACATGTCTAGACTCATAAAAATGGCTTTGAGTCTTGCTCAAGTTGCCAAACCAATTATATAGCCATGTATCCATCCAAGAAATGAGAGAATCATGACGCTCAATGAGAGAATCATGACGCTCAATGAGAGAATCGATACGTTCAATAAGAGAAGCATGGCGCTTAATATGAGAAGTTAAACGTCGGTTTACCTGTTGGGGGTCAACCATACCCTCCTCAATGGATTGATGGAGTGAAGTGATGGAAGTTGCTTCATCCAAACTTGTCGCCGGTGCTGGCAGAGCCTTCATCCCACCATTGTTTCCGGCGACAACATCCACTCGACCAATTTTGAAGCTAGTCACTTGATCCTCTTCTACGAAGACGTGTAGAAGATCTTCATCTTGTTGTCTATGTCGTGGAGCCATCATATCAAACACAATGTCCCACCGGGTGTGCCAAATTTGTTTTCCGGCGAGAAAACTTCTTGTGTTGAATTGAGATGGATTGCACCTTTGACTTCTATGGACAACGATTTCTAAGACACGGCTCAAACCTCTTCAAACACAGTTCGAACGAGGGTGTTTGATTGATGGTTTTTGGGGAACGAGATCTAAATTAAATTACTCCTACTCCTATGGAGGTTCTGAGAGAGCTCCAAACTACGAACTACATCTATGGCTACATGATAGAGAAAAGAAAAGGGATAAACTTGACATGTGTGTCAAATAGTTGGTTTTGGAACCTTTTCCTCTGTCGACCCCTCCTCTTATTTATAGCCCCGAGGAGGTAACCGCCATAGAAAACCGCTTTTTGGATAACTGCTACAAAGAACCGCTCCTCCTTCGGTAGAAAACCGCCTCTTGGACAACTCCCAAAAAGAACCGCTTCTTGCTTCCTCGGAGTGGTGGTTACTCCTTCAACCGCCTAGGTGCCTCTCTTGGAACCGTCGTGGGTTTTGGAGTGTAGCTTGCCTCGCCTGGTCTTGTTTTGAATCTCGTGTCATGCTAGTCTTTTGACGAGCATGTGGTGTATCGCAAAAGGGGGTCGTGGTCTTCTTGCCTCGCGGCCATGGACTTCTTACTCGTGTCCATGGCCTTCTTGTCTCGCGGCCATGGACTTCTTACTCATGTCCATGGCCTTCTTGGGACTTAGTCATTACTGATATAGTCCTCCACCACCACGCCCTTCTCATTCGTGTCCATGGCCACTCTTATGCAGTGGCATGGACTTCTCAATCATGCACAAGGCCCCTCTCATGAGGCGGCATGACCTTTCCATACTTAGTATTTTCAATCATTTCTAATGCTTCTTGATTCGCGTCCATGGCCATCACATGGCACAGCCATGGACCTCTTAATCATGCACATGACCCTTCTCGTGAGGCGGCATGGCCTTCTCAGACTTAGTATATTTTGGATCATGAGGCGACATGGCCTCCTCATTCGCGACCATGGACTTCTCAGTCATGTATGTGGCCCTTCTCGTGACACAGCATGGCCCTCTCATACTTAGTATCTTTTCTTGCGTCCATGCCCCTTCTCGTGAAGTGGCATGGACGTCTCATCTTGTCTCGCGTCCATGCCCCTTCTCGTGAAGCGGCATGGACCTCTCGTTGAAGTGGCACATGCTCCTCCTTGAAGCGGCATGTACCTCTTCCAGACTTAGTTTATTTTTCAGTCATTAGGCCTTGGTCATGGGGCGGCATGGCCTCTTCGTGAAGTGGCATGTCCTTCTCAAGACTTAGAATATTTTTGACGGTACCGAGGTCTTCCTTGAGATGGTATGTGCTTCTAAATTCTAGATGGATATGTTTTTGTGTCGTTTGGTATTGGTTATGAGGCGGCATGGCCTCTTTATTCATGGCCATGGACTTCTCATACTTAGAAATTTTCATGCCATCTCGTGGCATGGCATGGCCTCTTACGAGAGGCCCATGTCCCTTATTGAATCATGTCCATGCTCATTAATGAGCTAGTGACTTGGGTTTAAAATCAATATCCATAAGGCCCAATTTAAACAACATTAATTGTTATAATGGGTGTGGCCTTATAAACTCCTTGATTATCTTGTAACTCACCAATGTGGTACAAGACAAAATTTATAGTGTAAACAATCATGTATTTAGGGTGAATAATTGGACGCAATACCATTTTACAAGATGGCCTTTGTATGTATATGTAGTGGTCCGACAGTGGAATTCCTAATATGGCAATGCTCACAAGTCACAACACATTTTCTTTTTCTGTGTTGGGTGCCAAATCAGTATACTTCAAGTCCAAATTTCCGTATAAAGCAAGATCTTATGTTTCATGCCAGGGGGCAAGTACCATCTCAACAAGAAAGTGACTATCATTAACTATTTGCTTTAAACATAAAATTACCCATTCGTGTTTATGGTGCACCGTCGATTTGTCTGTATACGAATGTGTTCCAACTTAAAAATTGTATTTTAATTATTAATTTTAAACACCAATTGTCGATATTTGTTTAACATGATAATTTAAACATATAGTTACAGCTAGTTATAATGCAATTTGACTCATAAGTTTATCCTCGTAACATTCATCTCACATGATTGTCTGAAGTTGTATTGAGCAAGCTAGTTTCACAAATACTTAAACTGGCAAGCATATTCATTGAAATTGAGGCAAATCGGATGATCGAAATAAAGATACATATATATCCTACTAATTGATACTACACATGTAAAACGACTATATTTAGATAAATAATAACTAAAACTAAAAACAACGTTCAACAAGTTGGGTTCTCTTTGAATATCTCATTTTTTATTGGAATTCTATAAATCATGAGGCTTGTGAACTCAATTTAGGATACTAGGTGAACTTGATAAGAATATCATTTCGTACTTCGTAGTGTGAGATTTGAAAAGATTTGGACTTAGATAGTCTGAATGAGCTCTCTCTATATAGCTCGTGGTAAGCTCAAGTAGCTTATGGAGAAGCCAAATAATCACATAAGAAACCCTTTGCAATTAATTCATATAACCACATAAGAGTCCATGCCAGTTCATTAGATATAGTAAATGTAACTCAAACAATATTAAAATAGTTGAAATATTGGTAGCTAAAGAGATATGTAAGAGCACTAGACTGATCATGAACTCTAGTAAACTTTAGCTCTATCTTGATCCAATTTAGTGATAACTCACTTAGATCACATTGATAAGAGCTTAGTTGAGTTCAATCTATCTCAACAACACTTCATTCAGTCCCAGTCACAAAGACTTAGGCCATGAATCATGATAACTCTAAGCTAGTGACACTAATTAGAGGTTAGTTACACTAGCCGGAAGTAGTTGAATGCGGTTGACTTATGTGGCATACGTATAGACGTGAAAGTTATATGCTATGTCACATAGTGATTGTCTTGACACATTCTTTTTAAAAGCAAGCGTAATAAGTGTAATGATAAGATGGGAAACATTAGGACAACGAGATTGTAACACTCGCCATGCGGAAGTCGTTATATGTTCCTTGGGTGAAAAGGCACGTGGCTTAGCATCTTGATAAGGCGGTGACTGTTTAGCACATGTTTTTCGGGCAAAACAATACATGCATTGGAGTGTAGTTTAAAATTTTCAAAATGTCATATATATAACTCCTACAACCATCGATCGCCCTTACTGAATTTGTGCTCACCTTCTTCTTAGTTAATTAATGTTCATGTGTAAATTTGTACATGTCTTGGGGACATGGTTTATCAAAACCCCTAGTTTTGCTGCTAATGGATTTCAAGTTTGTGAATTGTCGTTGAATGATTCATGTCATAAAATCAAAACGTTCAACATTCACACAAATGCAATATGTAGGCATGGAAGTCACATTTTGTGCACTAATTAGTAATTGGCATAGAGTGGAAGTATGATCATGCCAACTTTTTTTTTGCTGTAAATGGCTAAAAAGTACTTTTCCCATAAATAGATCCGCAATTATTAGCACAATGAATTGGTTTCTCTCAAGGAGTGAAACCAAAGCCACATTTCTTTAGACGAATTGTAAGGGCTAATGTTAAAAGGGAGAAAGAAACAAAACGAAAGGATCAGATATTAGGTACAGAGGAGGGACAAGAATGTAAAACAACAACCTGTGGTAGAGGAATCAATTAATGAATAATGATGCTCTCTGTCTTCTTCCTCTTTTTTTGGTGCTCAGAATTCTGCAATTTCTTGCATATAAAGTTAGATGAAATTATCTGCAAGTACAGAAAAGTGGCAATTCTCACACACTCTCTCTCTCTTTCTCTCCAGATTTCTTCCTTCTCCTCCGGCTAATCCGGTCGATGAACTTCCATAGATAGATAAAATCGTCACATAGATCGATGAGCAAGAGGAAGACTCCGACCACCAACTATTACCCGGCGGCGGATCTCAATCTAGACATCCTCCTCCTCCTCTCCGCCGCTCCTCCACCATCGGCGGCGGCGAAGAAGCTCAAATCGTCATCAATGGACGCTCAGGTCCCAGATCGGGACCGCCCTGACGACGATTCCCCCGCCACTTCCGACTCTTCCTCCGACGTCATCAACACCGAGGAAGAACCGTTTCCCCGCTCTTTTAACAACACCGCCACCGCCCCCGCCGCTCCTTCATTCGTATTCGACATTTGGAGGAAGGAAGTGCCAGATGCGCCGTCGTATAGTGTTCCGACCACCCACCAGCTTTTCCCGGAGAGCAGCGCCGCCGTCGGCGTCGCGGGATCCGAACTCAACCTCCTTGCCGCGCCGAATCAGTGGCTGAAGCTGTCGGAGGCTGAATCGATAGCTGGAGCTTCTGCCGTCGGCGGCGGGGGAGAGGCGCCGCCGGCGCCGCCGAAGCCGAGGAAGAGCAGGCGTGGGCCCAGGTCGAGGAGCTCGCAGTACCGAGGGGTTACCTTTTACCGGCGAACCGGCCGGTGGGAGTCTCATATTTGGTGAGAGACTCGGATTCAATTGATTGAACCGAACCAACCCACTTGATTAATTAAATTCATTAATTAATCTGTGCTTACCGAATTAGAAAATGAATTTGGATGATTCAATCAACTTGCTTAATACAATAATCATGTACCTCTCCCGTCCCACCCACTTTCTGCAAATGGAAACCTGTCATTTAGGGAAAAAAATTATTATAGCTAATCTTATTAATTATTATTATTCCCTGGGATTGAATTTCAGGGACTGTGGGAAGCAAGTCTATCTAGGTGGTTTCGACACTGCCCATGCTGCAGCCAGGTAATACTTACACGCTGCAGTAAATATTCAGATTTAGTTTTCGAATTAGTATTTTAATGGTGATTAAAGACTACTAATGTGGCCTTGCTTAATGATTTATTATGATAATCATCAGGGCTTACGATCGGGCTGCGATCAAGTTCCGGGGGGTGGATGCGGATATCAACTTTACTTTGGGTGATTACGACGAAGACATGAAGGCGGTGAGAATTCAATTTATGCTTGGTCAATGAATTAAGGGGTCGTTTGGAAGTTCTGATTGTTAGAGTTGTGTTTGTTGAATACATTGTATTGTGCTAATTCAATTTATGCTTGGTCAATGAATTAAGGGGTCGTTTGGAAGTTCTGATTGTTAGAGTTGTGTTTGTTGAATACATGTATTGTGCACAATACAATGTTTGGAAGTGTCAAAGTCTTAAACAATGCATGCATTGTTTTAGGTAGGTCCCACCAACAATCACAAAAAATGATGCATTATACAATCTCAACTAAAAGTTGAGATTGTTGTTTTTAGATTTGTGTCAACTTTTTCTTTTCATTTATATTCCTAATAGTTTTTGTCTTATACTAAAAGTTGAGGGTAAATATGACATTTTCCCATAAAAGTAACTTTATGTAAATCAATGCGTAAAGTAGAATCTCAACAACCAAACAATGTATTGTTAAAATGCATTCATTGTATCAATACATGCATTTATATTATGGTGATTCATTACAATGCGACGATTTAACATTCGCAACTTCCTAACGATACCTAATATTTACCATTCCTTCCTTCCTTACTCGTTGACTTGTAATGAAATTTACGAAAATGACCATGAAAGAAAGATGAAAATCATGTTTTTTTTTTGGTGTATGATGCAGACCAAGGATTTGAACAAGGAAGAATTCGTGCACGTGCTGCGGCGGCAGAGCACGGGGTTCTCACGGGGGAGCTCCAAGTACAGAGGAGTAAACCTTCACAAATGCGGCCAATGGGAAGCCCGCATGGGCCAGCTCCTCGCCAATAAGTAAGCCTAGGCCCATCATGCTTCGTTTCTATTGTTAAAAAAAAGGAAAGAAATTGCAGTCAACTTTCACCTTCGCAATTTCATGTTTAAATTGTGCTACAATCAAAACCCATTCTACGGTATTTGTAAAAGTGGATAAGGTCAAGTCCAGAAATTGATTACATGGTTACTAAATAATTGCTTTAGAACATAGAAAAATCAACCTTATTTCACTGTTTTTTCCCTAATTATTAATCAGGAATATTTATCTGGATTATTCGAGAGCGAAGTAGAAGCTGCAAGGTCCTTCGACTTAATTTAATCCAAATTTGTTTTCTGGGTCTACAACAATAGGGAAATTGCTCAATCCAATGCAACAGTGCAAGTCTCTAATTTTTACCCCGTTCTTTGGTATCTATCATTTCAGAGCTCATGACAAGGCAGCCATTGAGCAGAATAGCACGGTAGCATTGACAAATTTCCAGCCAAGAGAACTCAACACTAATACTTTTCATGGTATGTTCATTTTTAATTATCGTTTCTCATACAACAAATACATTATTCGTCGATTATCACAAGAGGAACAATCTCTATCATTTTAATGTAAATTTTACCTAATGGGAATTAATCTGCAGGAAGGGAGGACGATCTTGACCTAAGGTTGGGAATGTCACCAAAATCAACCAGCGATGGAAGAAAGAAGAACCCCACAACAATCATGGAAGCAAGAGTAGTACCGCTGGTACAGTAGCTGCCAGCCAGCCTGCAATCTGACTTGGCTTTTACGCTTTTACAAACAAAATCTCAAGTAATAATGCTTTGAACTGACAATCTCTATCCAACATGACGTCGTTTTAATGAAGGTTGACAAAACCACAGCCACTAGCGTCGATGGTCCTAGCAGTAGAGCAGCAGGACCGCCGTTCGGTTTCCAACCCATCCACGGGCTGCCCATTAATATCGCCTCCAACAACTTCTCAACTTGGCCGCCACCTCCACCGTCCTCCGCCTTTGACCCGGTACGCGCCTTCACCACTCCAGTTTAGTTGAATTAGTCAACGCTCTTTGAATAGCTTTTTTGTTTTAATTTTTTTTTCCTGACGGGTTGATTTGTACGACGTCGTGTGGCCAGCAAATTAGGGGCAGCGGCAATATTCCTACGACAGCAGGAGGCCAGTTCGCCAGTAGCAGTAGTTGGGCGCATCATCAGCAATTCACCGGCGTTGTTAATACCGACGGCGTCCCCATGTGGCCGTCGCCGTCGCCGCAGCAGCAGAGTGCAGCATCATCAGGATTCCTAGCTTCGTCTAGTATTAACATGAACAGACCAAACGCGCGTGTTGGCGGCGGTGGCTCTTCTTCGCCTTCTCCGAATGTCAATAATCCCTTCTTCCAAAACGGCAACCAGTATTGCTACTCTCACAATAGGCCGGGGCAATAGTGGTATTTGCCGAGGCTTCCCGTCTCTTATCGTGATTCGTGTGTTTAATTTCCGGGCTACTTTGTAGAAATGTCATTTTAAGTTAGCTCTGGGGGTTTTTTTTTTTTTTTGCTTTCTCTGTACTGTTAATTAAATGGAATTATTATTTTTGTATAAAGTCACACTACTCTCTTGCAGTTGCTTCTCTGTGATTTGTATTGGAAACGCGGAGAGGCATTATTTAAGTGTTTATATCAGATTTTTGTTGGTTACAATTTACAAACTTACAATTCTTCTCTTATTTGGAGCCTTCAATATGGGATGTCTGTTTTTATTTTTTTAGATGCTCGCTCATCCAATCACCAATACGAATGATGATTTTTCTTAAACTGATAAATTACTCGGACGTTTGCTCATCACTATAGATCTACCGACAATGAGATTTTGAAAAGATAAATTTCGAGTACAGCTCTTAACTTTATTTGACCAATATGTTTATAAGGCTGTTGAGTTGGAATTTACCGACCTGGGATCAAGTTCTGATTTTCCATACACACCTTCACTAGAATTGGGTATAAACCTATATATATTTGTGGTTTTACTATAATACCTAACTGAAAATTTGAGTTTGTTACACCTAAACTTAGTAGTTGTTGCCTTTAAACACTTAAACACTTTTTCTTTTGCTAATAAGCCTACAAAACATTGATAATTACACTATGTATACTACCTAAAGTTTTCTATCGTAAAACTTAATGCTTAAACTTAACAAATGTTAGAAATATGTCCAACATTTTGTGTGTAGTCATCAAAGTTTTCTCAAGACGATGGAAAAATAACTAAATTTACACCCAATTAAAATATGAAAACAATATTCATCATCTTCCCTAATCCGTCCAAAAAATCCAAGCCCATACATACTTCAACCATATTCTACTCATAATCCATGAGTTCACTATAAAGTTACTAGCTTATTACCCGGCCCGTTGGCCGGATTACTGTATGTTACCCACTTGTGGAATGGGAGAGAAAGCAAGTGAGAGTGAAGAGATTGAAATTCCACTTGATTAGGATCGACCCACTAATCCAATTCTTCCCGACCCGCCCCAACCTACAGGGTCAGAAAGAGTCAATAAGAAAATACGAACGGGGAGGATTAGTCATATATCTTGACTCTTCAGAAGTGGGTCAAACAGGATCAAGGTTGGGTGAGGGCAATTTTTAGCGCTAAGCAGAGTTCTGGGTTGAATACCTTTACTTAGGCCTAGAAATTGGTGCTGATGCAGACTGCAGTTTTTATTATACCATCATCAATCATCATTGAATTAGTCCTGGGCATCCCTCCCCGTTGTCGGTCTGAATTCTAATGATGGCTTCATTCCTTGCACCAGCCATATCAGCGAGTTGCCATCTCGAGCATGATTTGCCTATGTACAAATAATACAATTAGAGTATGAAAATGAATTCAATGAAAAGGAAAAGAGAATTCTATCACATGCCAATAAATACACATATAATAGTTGAAGCTAAGTGAAAGTCATTACTCGCACATCAATTCTCAAAAATTACAGACTAAACATTGGCTAGAATGACACTGAAACTACCAAGAATCATGGACGAAACAACTTGTCAAATTAAATAATCCTTATACTGAAACTACCTTCTAACTTGAAATAAGACATGATCACAGTTCATAGCTCTCTTCTCACTATGAATTGGTTGCAGCTCGTCCTTATCACTGCCTCTCAAGCTCAATTCAAACAGAATAGAGACCGTTATGTAAGATAACCATATTCTTACTGATCATAATTCCTTTCTTCACTCCATTTTTGTCGGAGAAAAGAGTTATCCCCCTCTCCTGCATTTCTCTTTCCCCCTCTCTTCTCCCTCTTCTTCACAAACCGATCCCTAAACCAGCAACAACAACACAAAAATAGCCTTCGCCTCTCCCGTCTCCATCTATTGAACGCGTTGGTGGCAAGACAGGACTGCAGAAGCAAAATTTTCTAAAATCAAACTAAATTTTTTGAAGCAGACTCAACCACGAAAAAAGAGTAAAGCAACAATGCAGTAGAACCCTAAATTTAACTACAATCAAGCACATATCAGCAAGATTTTCGATTTGTCTGAGAGTTAACTACACGGAGAGAACAATTGATGCATAATTGAAATGCTCCAAGCAAGTTGAAGGCAAACCATAACTTTAGAATTTGGTCATTATAATAACCTTCAAGTATTGATGCTTCTAAGAACTATCATGTCCAACCCCCACTTATACAACTACGTAGCCATAGTAATTAGTTGTATAATGAGAAATAATACAAAGAAAACTACATAAACAACCAATGTAAGTAAATATTAAAACTAACAACTAATAAAACTTAAAATCTCTCTATTGGTATAAATGTATCTATTAGTAACTACTATGCAATCGAGTATATATGATTTTTAGGCATTGAATAAGAAAAATATAGATGGCTCACAAATGAAGACGTAGCAACTGAAGGTAGCACACAAAAACCAAAAATAGAAAAAGAGATAAGAAAAAAGGTGAGAAAAAGTCAAACAAAGAAAAAGCCCACATAGGAATACCTCGCTATCTTTAGGGACTCTCTGCCACAACAAACAACCTTCTTAAAAATCTAAACCCTGAGACATCAAACAAACCTCCCACGACACTAATGTATGGCAATCCTATTGTCCAATAGGTTTGCCCAATTTAGACTTCTAAATAAATGGACTTTTCACCATTAAACCAAAACTCACAATCATTAACAGTTAATGCAAAGACATACATTTCTGAGGCCAATCACAGCATTTAAGCATAATTTTTAGTTGAAAAGAACAACTAAGTATTTAGCTAAATGATATAGTAGAATGGACACAATCTGCTACCTACTAATGATATAAACGTGTACCGGTACCATCGTTGTATCCTGACTTGCCATTTGCAACGGGCACTTTGAAAGACAGCTGCATTTTAGAGAATAAACACCCATAAGGGCGTTACGAAACCAAGCTTAATCCAAAATCTTCATATTCCACTTCGAAGACTCCATTTTCAAAAATAAGAGAGTTTAACATGTCAAATCACTCATTTGAAAAATCTCAAACAACTATTAATCAATGCAATATAAAGGCACGTTCCAAATTATGTACTTGTAGGAATAATCCCAAATAATTATCAATTAATGCCCCAACTACCTAATGTGCAGAATAGCCCTGGAGCTGTGCTGTTGTTTGCGTTGGTCTACCTTCAAACATAACATAGTTGCATCACGAACCAAAGCAATTAAGCAAAAATCTTCATATTCCAAGTAGAATGACTCAATTCAATTTGGCCAACGCTTTATACATATTGTTTACCCCTGGACCTGTTGCACTTGCGCCTTCAGATCTTCGTGAACAAATACAATTGCGGAGAGGAGGCTGTCAACGAAATAAAAATTGTTAATTAAGTGAATCACCATACAACTAAACAAACGCGCTCTTCTTGATTAGCTATCAAAATAGTGGGGGTCGCTACAATCCATCGGTTGCTCCCTCTGCGCCTAAGTTGTAGATATTAGGTTTCAGTGAGAACTTTGAGTACATGAGGAGATATTTTGTAGTGGAGGAGATGACCCGGCAAGTAGAATAGGAAGATTTGGAGAGGCTGCGATGGGCAAAGCAGTTAAAATCGTGATTTTACCTAAAATCGAAAACTGGGGTAAAATCAAAATCGTATAATCGAATCGTAAAATCGTAGGATTTTAAGTACCATATAGAACATAGCATATAAGAATATTAATAAGGTAAATTATTAATATCACAAAGACACATAGCATTTAAAATGATAATTCAGAAGATTTTTTTTCCATAAGATAATTCTCAAGATTAATGTTCCAAAATCACTATTTTAATTGTTATTTAATGTGTAACTCAAAATAATTCATGATGAAGGGATATAGTTCATGGGTTTGGCTCTTATTTTCATGTTATGTCTAGGTTGTTTAACTCAAAGTAATATTTCGACATCGTCTACTAAGTATGATTTAAAACTAAAAATAATTGAACTCCAATAAAATAAGTAATGTTAGTGGCTTGGTACAAATATATTCATTAATAAATTAATTAGTTAATAATGATGTTAGTTCTTACATACTTCCAAAATTAGGACAGGTGTTTTACCAATAAGTTAAATGGGGTGAAGGGAAAGAGACTAACCGAACCCTAATTTGGTTATTTTTATTATTTTTGAATATTTTTCTAATAGAAAAATATATGAGAAGATTCCATTGCCCTTTCCGCTGAAACAGTTATACTTATTTTAAATTGGCTCAAACCACCTATTTTGTTCTCTTACGATCAAAATCCCGATTTCGGTACTATTTTACGATTTTAACGATTTTAGTCCCGATTTTAAACGATTTTAAGGTCCACCAATTTTATAGTAAAATCAAGATCGGAATCCCTAAGTAAAATCCTAAAATCCTACGATTTTACGATCAAAATCCCGAATTTGACAGCATTGGCGATGGGTGCACGATTAGTGGGCCAAATAACAGTTTGTGCCCGTTTCAATGAAAACATATTTTTACTTTCGTGCTCAACAGACCGACCGCACTGCCATCTTCTAAATTTACCCCTAAAAAATTGCTCTATACGCATCAAAATTGAAATGGAATCCCTCTTTTCTCATTTCACATTTCACATTTATATGATGTGTAGATTGTGATGAGTGTAGATGTAGACCTGTCATTGTCCTACAAATTCACTAACACGCCAAAAAGTGGTGAAATGAGCCACCCTATTAAACACAATCTTGAATAATGATCATTGGATCCAATCATGCCAGATTATGAAGAAGTTTAAAATGCAGCGGTTATCCCGACTAAAACATTAAAAGAACCAGTCTCATATAGTTTGCACAAAGATATAATTTCTCCATAGTAATTCTGAAAAATAATATTAATTTAAGAAGTAAATATTTCTTCTACATGTTTAATATTGCAATTCGATATGCAATATTCGAATCAGTGATATTTGGGCTGCAATTTTAGGGTTATTGTATATTTATAAAATAGATAGAAATTTAAATTAAGTATTAAACTACAACTAAAATAATCAAAGTATTAAAACACCAAATAAGTACTTACGGGAGATTCAGTGGCCAACTAATCGTTAAAAAATTCATATGATTTTCATAATTTAGGTTCGTGTATGTTTGAATTTAAATAGATACAACAAATATACTTAGTGTGATTGGTTATGATCCTTGCTTGCCTTTAAAGAGACCAAGGTTCAAATCCCAGTGCATGCCTTTTTTATGAATAAATAAATAAGAAAATAAGCAATTGTGAAGACCAAAATGCCCTTCCTATAATCACTCTCGTTGAAGGAAATTTGAAATGGAGCAACAGTTTTCATCATTCGGCTTTTATTTATTATCTAGATCTAGACTAGACTAGACTAGACTAGATCTAGACTACACAGCAAGTTGCCGACATATGTTTCTCAAAGCAAAAGCCCAAAGTTGCCTTCCGAAGCCCATTCAGAATTCAGAAAGGCCCAAATTGGTCTCACCACTCCTCCGCAAATAGGAAGAGCGATGACCGATCGCTGATTACCAGGCAAAACCCCTCTTTCCTATCTCTGCTCGTCGGGCGAAGAGAAGTCAGAAGAGAAGAGCAATGTGGCGCTCCATTGATGCTCACCTCAGAACCGTCCGCTTGCCTCTCCGTAATTTCCTTCACGCTCAGCCTAACCCTAATTCCCTACTCCACCTTCCTCCTCCTCTCAGCCCTCGCTCCGATTCCAGGTCCTATAGCTCCCTGACGAAATTCGTCGTTTGTTCCGCTCCATTTCCCGCCCTCGGTTACTGCAATGGAGGCCGCCAGGTTGCGGTTACTGGCATTGGGATGTGCCGCGAAGGGGGAGCCTTGGTGATTGCGAGGTGCGTGTCCTCGCTGTCTTCTTCGCTGCCGCAGCGGCAGCAGCCAAATGGTGGTATGGACTGGAGTGAGGCAGTGTTGTGCTCTGAGGTTGGAGATGGTACTGTGGAAGCTGATGAGCGAAATGGTACCGTGGAGGAGGACGACAGGCCCGCGATTCCAGTTCGTGCTTTTTTCTTCTCTACTAGGTTGGAATTCTTGACTTCCTTTTCTTTCCCTACTTGCAATTGAACTGTAACGAAGCGAGACAAGGCATACTGATTCATTGTTCCCAATGAAATGCGCCGAATAACTCTTCAATTTAGCTTAATGCTGGTTTGAGTTCTTGAAAATCTTCTATTGTTGTTGTTGGTGGTGGTGCTGCTGCTGCTGTATGTAGTGTGGATTTGAAGAGCTTAGTGGAACAAAACAAGCAGAACTTCATCCCGCCCACATCGCGTATGACTAATTATGTTGTTCTCAAGTTTGGGGATCTTTGCGTGACAAGTGTAAGTTACTTTCTTGCTCTTGTCAGTATTAATGGAGGGCGTTTCCAATCGGGGTTTCATTGAAGCAATTGCTCTAATTTGACTGTAAACTATTTCCAGGGTTTGGGGACTTGCATAGGTGGGAGCAATTGCAGTTACATGGTGGTGTTTCAATATGGATCAATTGTCTTGTTTAATGCCCGTGAACATGAAGTCGATGCTTACTTGAAAATTGTCAGAAATCATGCAACGGGAGTGCTCCATGAGATGAGAAAGGATGGTAAGCTGAGTTTGTTTCTATCTCTTGATTCAGTTGTCAGTGTTGATGAGCTCTTGGCAGCGGCCAGACTGCCGTATGTTAGTTGGCCATTGCATTTCTCGAAAGTCGTCTAGGTTTTACTGTTTAAGTGTTGACTGATCTTGACTTTGTATTTTGTGCCCAAAAGAGTATGAGGTGATAGAGAAGCCAAATCTAGATACTTGGATGCAAGCTGGACTGGATCATATAATGTTGCGGTTTCTGAACATTGATGGGATTCGTACGATTGGTAGTGTTCTTGGTCAAAGTATTGCTCTTGACTACTATGGACGGCAGGTATGCGGTCTTGTTATATCTGAGGCTTGTAGGTTTCTTATTTTTGGATCTGTATCCTTATGTGTCTGTTTCTTTCTTCAGGTCGATGGAATTGTTGCTGAATTCACTGACATCAACCGCGGGATGGAGAAAACCGGAACATTTTCCATGGACAGCAAAAAGCTTTTCCAATTAGTTGGCAAAGCAAATTCTAATCTTGCTGACATTATTCTTAAGCTGGGGCTTTTCGAGAGGTAAATACCACTGCTATGGTAATTTAGTTTTAGTCTCTGGAATTATTAGCATTTTCATAGTTGATTATGCATTAACTACTTTTCACTCTCTTTTTCCTAATAGATCCGACATAGCATGGAAAGATGCAAAATTTGGTCAGATATGGGAATATCTCAGAGATGAGTTTGAATTAACTCAGAGGTTTGCAAGTCTTGATTTCAAGTTGAAGTTTGTGGAGGTAAACCTCTTAGTTTCATCGTTGACTGCCATGCATTTTAACCAACCCTGAGTAGATTTGTTACAATAAGTTTGACACTCATTCTTCTGGCTACTGCAGCACAATATACGTTTCCTTCAGGAGATTCTGCAGAACAGGAAATCTGACTTCTTGGAATGGCTCATCATCGTACTAATTAGTGTTGAAATCATTATATCTGTTTTTGACATCTCGCACAGGTCAGGATTCCAGTTGCTCTAGTCTAGATAGGATATTGTAGCTTTGAGTTTCTTGGTCTAGAAGAGAAGAAACTAAACCCCTAGCAGATTGAAATAGGTGCCTCACTGGTTGTATATCTATTTTGTACTTGTTGTAATTAATTGACAATTATGAGTTGCTCTGGCATGCTTCTGACTGTTCAAACGATCCCACTGAAAATCAATAATTTCATTTACTGACTTTGTTAATTGACTGGTGAATACTGTGATATGTATTCCAACTCCATATTCTTTAATATTTATCTATATGTGCCAGATGATTGCCCCTGGCCTGTAGGCTGAATTTCTTACAACAAAAATGTATGTGAAGAGGGAAGAGGGATTTGAGAAAATTTTGTGTGTATCAAGGGGTATATATGCTGAATACAACATAGCCTAGCATATTATTCATCGCAGATTGACTCCAATGGGGTGATGGTGACAGGGACTGATGACTACGATGGCGTGCCAGATTTCTTGACGTACTTGCGAGCGCAAACATGCTTCCCATTGATCGAAAACTTGGCTTTTCTCTTCCCATTGAGTACCACTTCTATCATCCCCTGCACCTTCAGTACCAGCTTTGCATACAATGGCTGCTCCGCTGCAGTCATCACTTCCTGCATATGAACGTCTTCATAGATGTCTCCGTATGTCCTGCTCCAGAAAACACCAAGTTAAATGTGCATCCTAGGATCTCTCTTTTTGAAGAAGAGAACAATAGCTAGTTGACTGAACAAGGGCTAAACGCATGCTTACATGGAGAAGAAGTCTCTGACTTCGCGTTTGGAGACAGGGTACCCTTTGGAAAACGTCAGGAGAACAGTCCTCTCATCCGCTGGCACTCCATCACTGTTGCCCTCAGTCACATTTCCTCGGCAGATCTCCAAATTATTCATGCCTGCATTGATTTCGTCTACCCGAGTCGACGAAGAAGATGAAGCAGCATTGTCGTAAGGACTCAACAACAAAGCCAAGTAGCCCCCGCTCGCTTCACCCTTCAATTCTTCCATAACACTAGTGCCAGCCTCTTGAAGACGAGAGCTCCCGCCAGCCGCATCATACACATGGTGGGCATTCAGAGTCCACAATTGTTCACTCACTTCCGGTCTATAGTAATCCCAACCATGGTGCATCTGTTGTTGTAGTTGTTGTTGTTGCATGGTGAAGGCAAAAGCTCTGCTGCAACAACTCATTGCCAACTGATCATCAAATGCTCTGATGCAGACATCGGCAATGAGTTGGGCAACTCCCCTGAGGATTGCAACCCGATTCTCGCGGAAATAGGCAAGGGTAATTCGGTTCTCGGAGATGTTATATAGGAGAGGGATCTCGTAAATTGAGTGGACTACGAAGGGGCTGTAATGCTCGTAGTCCAGACACTTCAAGCAGAGCATGGTTTCATCGGCCAGAGCCTGGATCAGGAAGTCGTTAAAAGTAAGTACAAATTGCACCATAGATAGGACGTACTTCGGTCGCTCGAAGAACAGCCATAGTGCCATTACTCTCATAGATTGTTCCGGGTCACGGTCGAGGTCGAACACCAGTCGGGAGTAGAGCCGGCGGTCGACTTGGTGGAAGGTCTTCAGTTCATGTTGGGCTACAGGGACGGGCTCAAAAGTAGGACTAGGAGCGGGATACAATGGAGGAGGTGGGAAGTCCATTGCTGTTATGGGTGAGTGGAGGCCGATTGTTTTGCTGATGAGTCTACGTTTGAGAATGGTGGAATGGGGAGGAAGGAACTGGAGTTGCAGGTTTCTTATACGTTCCAGATGGTGACATTGTTGTTCGTTTTCTCCCTTTTCTCCGATCAAAGTTCTTGACTTTACGGGATGAAGAGATGCATCTCTTGGGGTTTCTGAGTTTCTTCATCAAGAAGAGGCGGGACACTTGCCGGCTTTCCTGCCAAAGAGGCGACGTTCCAGTTCAGTCTTGCCGTCGTTATGAAGAGATCTCTGATTCCAAACCGTCTGATCAGAGGCAGCGTGTTCGTCCCGCGGGAAAATTGAATTCGGAGGACTGCTTCTGATAAAACCACACGGCGGCGGAAAGGGGAGGGAATGAATTTTTCTGACGTGAAAGTGTATGGGCCTTCGGGCTTCATTGTCTATTTTGGGCTTGAATGAATGGGCCGGGACTTGGAAGTAGCTTGGTTTCAGCAAAACTGGCCGGAGCTGGAGATCGAAGAGTTGTTGGAAGAAAATTGAAATCGGAGCTAATCGTCGGACGGGGAAGCATTGGAGATGACAGACTGCAAGTTTCTTTTCAGCAACGGTGTCATTTCCTCATCGCCCGACGTCCCTGCGGTGGCCACGTTACTTCAATCTGACCCAGGCGCGTACACGACGACTCGGACTCACAGCGACGGCGCGTGTATCTTATTCTGGGAGAGGCACTTACGGCGGCTGTCAAACTCTGCCCGAATTCTCCTCTCTAGAAGCCCGCGACTGCTCTTCAAGCCCGAGAAATCAGAAATTTCCTTTCCGCCGTCGTTCGTTGAGTCATCGGCGTGGGATTCAACGGTTAAGTCTCTGGTTAAGGACTCCGTTGACCAGGTGCTGCCGATTGCGTTGAGAGAAGCGAAGAGAAAGGAAGGCGAGGAGCTGGCAATCACGACTCTGGTCAGCGGGAACGCGCAGAAGGTCAGGGGAATCGAGAGTGTGATCGGAGCAGACAGTGTGGCTGAGGTGCTCGATATTTATGTTCACTTGGCCGGCTACGTTCCTCCGGCGTTTGGTCGGCCAGAGAGTGCGGCGAGATTGGCGGTTGTGGGACGAGGCAGAAGAGTGGCCGAAGCTAAGTATTCCGACTGGGTGAGGTGGGGCGGGAATGTGTGTCGTAGTTTGCTGTCTTTATGGTGTTCGACGTTTTGTCTCAATGGGATGTTTCAAGGAGGGAATTGTTTCTCAGGTTAAGGAAGCCACTGGAGAGATTGAGGCCATCTTTGGTGACGGAGCTCCTTTTGTCTAACGATGGAGACCATTTGCTTGAAGGATGCCTGACAAATTTCTTCGTCGTCTGTCGCAGGGTGAGTCATTTTGGAGAAAGAATGTCATCTGTTATCAGTGCTCCATAGTTCATCAAGTTGCTTCAGTGATAAACAGATCAATAATAACTGTATGCTCCTGCTCCAATTAGATTAAGACATTCATTGTTTACGTTTGTTTGTCACTTGCAACTATTATCATGGTTGAACAGTTCAAGCATGAGGCTTTCTGAAAGCTGAAATCATGGTGATTAGCTGGCTTTATAATCTCAAAACAACTTGAGGTGACAGGGTGATAATGAGTGACTAAGTTAATTAGATTGTTTCGTGACTTGGTCAATTAGTGTACTCTGCTCTGAACATATTCTGCAGAATGTGTCTACAGCTTATTTCTAATTGATCTATGTGTTTCCAGGAAGAGAAAGGAGATGGTGAAAATGCGTATCATTATGAAGTACAGACAGCCCCCATCGCTGATGGTGTTCTTCCAGGAATAATCCGTCAACTGGTCCTTGAGTAAGTTTTCCCCTTTTCACTTCCTTTTGTTTTTAACTCACTGGAGCCATCCAACTTTGGTCGAAGAGCATGCTCTCCTAAACCAGAATCCTTGACATATTTTCTTGTATTTATAAGCTGTGATGAATTCATCTGATTTTCGTTGAATGGGAGCAATTTTAACCTAAACAAGTCATTTCGTGACTTGTACTTCTTTTACTGATATTCTCTCCTGTTCCTTTTTTTATTGACAAAATCTCTATGCTTCCTCTTTACTTGAAGAGGATTCCTGACAAAGTTGTTCTTTACTGTGAAGTGCATGCTTAAGCAAAGGGATACCGGTTCAAGAACTTGCTCCTTCATGGTCAGAGCGTGAATTGTGGCAGGAAGCATTTATTACAAGTAAAGTTTTTGGCTGGTTATCTTCATGGATGACATAGTTTTATCTTTTTGTTGCTACAGTTGGGCTGACATGGTCAAATTTGGGTCTTGACATAATGAATGTGACCGATATTTACAGCTTCTCTTTGCTGAAGTTGGAAAGCAGAATATGTGAACTATAGTTATGTTGTAGTTCATTTGCAGACATTGTCAGTCATTGTCCTGCTGATGCAGCTTTGTACTCGGTCTACGTTAGTTTTCTAAGTTTGAGTGCTTCCGCCTTCTACTGGACATGTCTCATCTAATTACTGGCTAGCATTCCGTTTGATGATTGAGGTTGAACTCAGTTCCCTGGTATTACTGATTCCCAATATTGATTCGGTTGATGCCTTCTATCTTTAATTGCAGACAGCCTGAGAATTCTGCAGCATGTGGAAAAAATACAGTTCCCACATTCATGGGAGTCCTTGGAACATAAAGCTCTCGAGGATATCTCATGGGAGGAAAAGCAGTTTGGGGTATGTGAAACATCTTGAAATGCTTAATCTCAATCTCAGCAGTGGGGAGATTAGTGGTTCATAAATCTTCTGTCGTTTCGGCAATTGACAAAATTAGTTTTGTTTCTGTGGGTATCAGATAAATCCTGGGAGGATCACATCGATAATCCAGGTAGAAAACCTATATCTGATCCTTGGAGCTTGGTTAACATTTCTTTCCATGTTTACTTTGATATACGGCACCAGCATCAATGTAGGGGAAGAGTTTTAGGCCATTGTATGGAGGCTGAAATGGGGATTTAGGAATGCTCATATGTTGGTTGGTTTTCCTTGCCTGGCCAGAATGAGGTGATGAACAAGGCTGACCTGGAGGGATAATGAAAGAAACCAACGTTCTCATGTGGCTGCGCATGGTGCAGAAGGAAATTGAGGATTCTTTAATGGCTTTGTTCGGCTCTTGCTTGGGTAGTTATGTTTGTTCTTTGTGTAGCATATACGGAGGAGCCGCCGGCAGCTTTTTGTAATGAGCTGGCTTCCCACAATGGCTGTTGATGAAAACGGCCACCTACTACATTGCTTGGTGATCTTCACCACTAGGTGTCGGACTAAATAAGTGTAGCTCAAACTTACTCAACAGTTTGAGCTACAGAGGTGGTGATTCGGCAACTTCGTCAAGGTGCTCTCTCTGACTCCATTGAAGGTCCGGTGCTTCGGGATTGCTCCCTTCTCCTTTCTTCCGTCTCTATTTCTTTAGAGTTTAGGGCAGTTCCTCGGACTGCTAACAGTGCTGCCCATAGAGTGGCGCAAAAAGCACTGTTACTCTCCCCTTTAGAGTTTTGCGCCTTTGATTTTGTGGGTTGGCTTCTCTGATGTATTGGGTTGGGCAGGGTCGGGGTAGATTGTATAGGTTTTCTCTTGACATTTCTTGGAAAAAAAAAAAAAAAAAAAAACTTACTCAACAGTTTAGTTGGGTCAACCGAACAAAGCCTTCAAATTCCTTGCATTAACTTATGAAACAAAATCCTTGTATTTTTAAAAAAAAATTGCTACGTAATTAGTTTTGGGTGTTTATCTTAAATTATCCGTGTCTTTCAGATGATCAACACAATCACGACATTACGGATCGTGACAGTTGTCATCGGATCTCATCCAAGGTTTATCATATCCACTACTTAAAGAGCATTAATTACCATGGCACATAAATTTTGATTTATGATTAAAATACTACTTAAAGGATTAAAATATGTGACCACCACATTCTAAGCCAGTAATATTACCACGAAGTCAAATATAAATTTCGATCTGGTAACAAGCTTAATCCTGCCACCATTTTCCAAGATCCAGTTGGACCACACAAACACGGCCAGCCCACTGATCATGGAAGAGAAAATTGTTGGATAATGTAGCCGAGAAGGCCCAATGACAGAGAGCGAAATATTGGAATCCAAGAAACACGGCCCAGAAACACGGTCGATTACTGACAACGTGTTGATAGCTCAAGAAATTATGCAGTTCTTGAAAACAAAAGTACAAGGTAAAGAGAAATGGATGGCGCTCAAGTTAGATATGGAAAAAGCCTACGACCGTGTTGAGTGGCATTTCCTTCTCGCAGTGCTAGAGGCCATGGGTTTCTCTGACTGCTGGCTGCGTTGGATCCGTGCTTGCATCACAACAGTTCACTTTTCAGTGTTGATGAATGGGGTGGAATATGGCTATTTCCGGCCCCAGCGCGGCATCCGTCAAGGTGACCCCCTCTCTCCCTTACTCTTTGCCTTATACTCGGAAGCTTTTTCTGCATCTATTGTGGCTGGGATAAATCGTTCTTTGTTACATGGTTTGCGGGTTCATAGACTAGCTCCTGTTACTTCCCATCTCTTTTTTGCTGACGATACATATCTGTTTCTTCGTGCTTCTATCCCTGAATGTGCTAACCTCTTACATTTGTTGAGTGATTTTGAGGCTGTTAGTGGGCAGCGTGTTAATTTGCAAAAATCTGCAGTCTCTATGAGTCACAATGTCTCTCAGGCAGAGTTACAGGCCATCACCTCTTTCTTAGGGGTATCTTCAATGGCTCCCGGTGACAAGTATCTTGGGCTTCCATCCCAGGTTCAACGTTCCAAGACTCAAACTTTTCACTTTGTAGAGGAGGCTCTGGCAACTCGCATTCGGAGTTGGAAGTCGAAAGGATTATCCTTCGCTGGGAAAGAGGTCGTCATCAAGGCGGTGGGCTCTGCTGGACCCGTTTATGCAATGTCTTCCTTTCGACTCCCCTCCTGGACCTGTCGCCGGTGCAATAGTCTTCTCGCGCGCTACTGGTGGGCGGGCCAGGATAGGGAGTCTGGGATCCGATGGCTTTCCTGGTCGGCGGCGTGTCAGAGTAAGTTTCATGGGGGCCTAGGATTTCGGGATTTTGATAGATTCAATGTTGCTTTACTTGCTAAACAGGCTTGGCGAGTTCTCCGGAATCCTACCAGTTGTTTAGCACGGATTTATAAAGCAAGGTACCATCCCCATTATTCTTTCTTGGAGGCGAAAGCCGGATCTCGACCGTCTTGGGCATGGCAGGGTGTTCTTGAAGGACGTGAGCTCCTTCTTCGAGGGCTTCGCTGGCAGATCGGTTCAGGCAGCTCCGTTCGGGTTCTGGATGATAAGTGGCTACCTACTTCTCCCCCTTCTTCTCCTCTCCCTCTTCCGGGGGTCAACATTGCTGGCCTACGAGTTGCTGATCTGATTGAGTCTGACCGCCGCTGCTGGGACCGGAGCCTCTTGGCACGGTTATTTCCATCATCAACCGTACAGATCATCTTGGGCATTCCACTCGCCCTAGTTCCGTCAGAGGATCGCTTGGTGTGGCATTATTCTTCGTCTGGGGAATACACTGTTAAATCAGGTTATCAGGTACTCACTAATGAGCTTCTTGCCCGCGTTCCTCCCCCTGCGTTACCGTTTGATTGCAGGTTTTGGAAATACCTTTGGAGCTTGCCGGTGCCGCCTAAGCTGCGGAATTTTGCCTGGCGCTTTGCTCGTGGCTTCCTGCCGATTTTGACGGTGTTACTCGATAAGCATTTGGTGACTTCTACAACTTGTCCTGTCTGCTCGGACGGGGAGGAAACTTTCCAGCACTGCTTCTTCTACTGCCGTGTTGCGACAGGAGTGTGGCGGCTTGCTGGGCTCGACGGTCTTCGCCTTCTTTTGGCTCATAATAACCTTGATATTATTTGGAAACGCCTATTCTTTTCTCTGGGCCTATCCAAATTGCAGGTGGCAGATGTTGTTTTCTTGTTCTGGCGGATATGGAAGGGCAGGTGCTGGGCTGTTCACGGTGGGATTCAATACCTTCCGGGCGCATTACATCGGCAATTTGTTGCACAGGTGGAGGAATGGCATACTTCCGCTGATAGTTCTGTGTCTTCTTCTGCTCATCCTCGGTCAGTCCTAGGGCCTCGTCCCCCTCACAGGAAGCATTAATTCTGTGTTGCCACCGACAGCAGTGCCTACACCGACGACAATCTTTGTGGGTTTTACTGGCTGGGCGCGTCATGGCCAGGGTGCTGGTGTTGGGTTTGTGGGCCATGATCAGTCCTCTAATCTGCTGTTCGCCATGGGTAAGTTCTATGATGGTATCCACGACTCTTTCCTTGCTAGTTTGTTGGCTTTACGTGATGGATTAGACTAGTGCTTATCCCACCGCTTTCTCTTTGTTGATTGCCATGGTCATTCTATTATGGTCATTCGTCGGCTGTTGGTGGGAGGTTCCGAGCATGTGTTGGGTGGGATGCTTCTTGAAGACATTCGCAGACTGGCACTTGCTTTTGATCATTGTTCTTGCACCCATGTTACTCTTCGAGTTAATAGAGCAGTCCATTTTGTGGCAAAAAACGCTCTCTCATCGAAAGTTCGACGAGTTGTCGACTTTCGCCCGTGGATTGACGCTGTTCTCTGACTTTTGTATCCGGACTTTTGTATGGTTTTGTCTATGTTAAAAAAAAAAAAAAGAAACACGGCCCAGAAGAACGGGGCCCACTGGACAGCATATATAAAACGAGGAGGGGGAGCGGAAAAGAGGAAGGAACCAACGGTTAGTTGATTGATAGAGAGAGAAACCAAACCGCAATCGAAATCCAATAATCGTTTTAGCTCCGCTTCTCTCTCTCTCTCCCTCTGTCGCTTCATCAGAGCGAGGGGGAAAAAAGCAAAAAACTCTCTCTGGGGGGTTGGATCGCCGCCTTGTGTTCTCCATCGTCAGATCTGCGGCGTTTCTCCGTCTGAGATTAAACCACCAAAAATAACAATCATTCCAACCAATCATCCTCCTTCCCTCTCTCCCTGCGCGCCCAAATACAAAATTTCCTTCCCTCTCTCGCTCTTCAGGTATGCTTCTTCTTCCCCACCAGCTCTCCTTCTCTCCCTCTTCTTGCTAAACCCTAGGGTTCCGATTTCGCCTCTCTTTCTAGTTCCTTCATTTCCTCCATTTCTCTATTTTGTTCTCCTCTCGGCCCGTGCGTCCGATTTTGCTTGGATCATGCCTTGAGCTGGCGTTTGCTAGCCATTTAGGTCTGCCCTTTTTCCCCCTTTTATCATTTGTTCAAGTATGTGGTATGTGTATGCTGGTTTCGGACTTTCGGTTTAGTGTGAATTGAAGAGGTTGTGAGTTGAAGAGGTCAAGTTTTGCGGCAGTCGGCAGATAGATTGTTTTGACGATTTCCTATTTTTTTCCCGTTCTTCAGCTAAACGGTAGGGTTTTGATGTACGAGAAAGTGGGGGCGAAATTTCACGATTCCGGCTGAGGTTCCTAGGGATGAGAGTTCTGGATGGGATTTTGCTGGAGCTGCTCTTATGGCGATATGTTGTTATTATTTTTGGTTTGCGGCAGCACTGAAATCTTTCTGGTGTGTGTGTGTGTGTGATTTTAGGCGGCGTGCTACGGGATGGCAGATAATCCAGGTAGCCCGGCAGGAGGGAGTCATGAGAGTGGGGGTGAGCAGAGCCCTCACTCTGGAGTTAGGGAGCAGGACAGGTACCTCCCTATCGCCAACATTAGCAGGATCATGAAGAAGGCATTGCCCGCCAACGGCAAAATCGCTAAGGACGCCAAGGATACTGTCCAGGAATGTGTCTCCGAGTTTATCAGCTTCATTACTAGCGAGTAAGTTTGATGTTCTTATCTGGTTTTGTGTGATTGACTGATGTGTAGGGGTTGGCCTTTCGTTTTCTTTTCTCTAATAGATGGTTGCTTCTGGTTAGGTGAACTTTGTGGTGTGTGTGGACTGACTGAGTTTTGTTTTGGTTTCCTGATGGTGACTAAACTGTTTGAAACGGCTACATTCTTGTGTTTCAATGTTCTATTCTGGGCATTGTCCTGTATGTAACTATGGGGGCTGTATTTTCTCGGGGTTCATTTCTTATGTTTTGTGGTATCGTTGATTACTTTTTCTCTTTGGAAATTATTGCATTCTTTATGTTCCGTTGCCTGAGTTATTCACATAAGGTTTCCATTTGTGAAATGCAGGGATATATAATAGGTTTCTACGTATATAGATTTTACTTCACTTTCTGGATGTTAATCTGGACTGCCCGGGTACTTATATTTGTGGGGGGCTTTCAGTGATTGAGCAACTGGTTTGACTCTTTTGTTCTTTTCTTTGAAGGGCGAGTGATAAATGTCAAAAGGAGAAGCGAAAGACAATCAATGGGGATGATTTGTTATGGGCAATGGCAACTTTAGGCTTTGAGGATTATATTGAGCCACTCAAGGCGTACCTTAATAGGTACAGAGAGGTAACTGATCATTCATTTAACTCCTTTCCGCTTCCTTTTTATTTATCGTCAAGGTTTCACAGTTTTGGTGATATGGGGCCTGACAATCTTTTTTTCCTATGTTTTTTCTTGGTTTAATTTGTTCTGCTGTGATTGTGGTGACATAGTTGGAGGTAATTTGACACCCTCTCTGTATTAAAATTACACAATCATCTATTCAAATCTATATCCTTCTATATTGGTTTTAAATCTTAAACAAATATAATGGCAGGGAGATGCCAAAGGGTCTTCATCTAGGGGCGAAGGATCTGCCAAAAGGGAACCAATTGGTGGCATGTCTGCTCAAAATGCACAGGTAACTTTGAATTTTCTGGGGTTTTGCTTCAAATGGTTATGTTTTGGAAGTTTTACTCTTCTAGCTCAGTGAGTGCAACTCTATATGACTTGTTTCTTTCCTGTTTTGCGGTCGTGGTGCCTGAATATGACAGTATGCTATACAGGGTGCAATGAACTACATAAGTTCGCAGGTATGTCTATCTCTCTTTCTCTCTCCATTCCCCTTTCCACTCTCCCCTCTTTACCCCAATTGTAGGCTCAAACTCTCCTTCACTCTTGGGACTGCCTCCTTTGAAAAATGACATTTTAGGGATATTAAGCTGTGTAATATTGCTGTCTTCCAGATGACTCCCTCTTATCTCCGCTCAATCTATGTAGTATTGTCTAGTACTCTTGGGCTGTTTTTTTATTTGGTCGGATTTGCTCAATGTATGCTCATTTTCTCCAACCTGTTAACAGGCATTGCTTTCACTGTAGACCTAGTTAGAAATCATGTGTCATATTGGGCTCGTTAATGGTATAATTGTCGATGTTTAGGATTTCATTTCATTGCATCTCCTGTACATGTTTTCTTGTTCATCTTATGTATCCATCATATGGTGGCGCTCTATCTGATTTCTCTTGAGCATGTTTGTTTGTTATTTTAACCTTTTGTTGCTCTGTTGATGGTGTTGCAGGGACAAGGACAGCATATGATAGTTCCTTCGATGCAAGGCAATGAGTAGGGAGTTGAGCAGTGTATCATATTTACCAATGCAAAGTATCCTAGGCTGGTAAAACGGTTTGGTTGTGGGACACCTTATATCAATGTCTTTATAGTTTCCTTTTGGTGTGATTGGAACCAATGTGTCGATACGAATGGTTTTGAATGTTAGTGTTGGGGAGTATTATTGTTGAGAAGAGAACAAGGTTTGATGATAGTGAGAGATTAGTGTCTGTAAATTTCGTTGTTGTTCCCACATATGGATCTAAACAGTTGAAGAAATCTGTAGACGGTTGTGAAGTTTGAGTTGATTAATTCGAATGCATTGATCAGTATCCTCTTTCTGGAAAGATGTTTAGTTAGTAGAATCTTTGTGACAGAGGGAAAGGCTTACTGAGTGGCATTGGGAGTTGGATAAATTATGGAAACTTTGGAAAAGAAAGAAAGCATCTCTTGTAACTTGGGGGGCACATCTTGTCTGGATTTAGGCCTTAGCATTTCTTGTCGAGGTAGAGCCTTGGTAATGGTAACGAGTTGCCTGGTAAGTGGTATGGATAATTATGTCCGTGGGCTGGACTGGCGAAGCTTGTTTGTTTGTTTGTGGCGAATAGGTAGGTAGATTGTTGACTTGACTTGACTTGACTGTTAGTACGTCTATAGTAACTGGTAGCAGCTGTAGGAATACAGTACGGGTGCAGAAGGCGGCGCTGGATTTTGGGAATGTTTGTTGAGGCACCGGTTTCCAAGGGTCGTTAATGTTGTCGAGAGATTTCAGTTGGAATGCGGCGGGGAGTGGGTTGAAGGGTTGCAGTGAAAACTGTACCGTAATGAAAAGGCTGACGTGGCTTAAATCGGTGGTCCATTTTCGGTTTGGTTGGGAGGATGACCAAATCAGATCAGAGGAGGTTGGTGGTTACAAAAGTCTGGATTTAAACGCATCCACCCCACCATTTACTATCTTAAGACTTAAACCAAGTTTGGACAGCAAGCAAGCTACTGAATGTGCGAGACAGCGAGAGGGGATCTAACATCATTATTATCGGCCAACAAGATGACTGGAACAAGGAAATTCACTGCGAGCTGTATGTACTTATATATGTACAAAAGCATGCATGATTGATACGTGACCCTGATGATGCCACCTGTCTCATGCCACGTGGGACACGATGATGTCAATGTGAGGTGTGGAAAAGGATCAAACAATAGGAGTAGAGTGCCACAATCAGTAATCAGGCCTGAATTTTGTGTTTAAGCAGTACAAAGTGCGATGGACAATTGGAGATAGTCCTAATCTTTGCACGACGTGGCCATCATCATTTGCTGTCTGCACTGCACGACCCACACAGCTAGCTATAGCTGTAAAATCCCATCCCCACCACCACCACTACTACTTACAATCACGCATATGTTCTTCTCCCTTAGCTTGTAACTTAGGTATGGAGGAAGCCATGGAATATGAACATTTTCACTTGTCTGGTTTAGGGAAGTCACGTGGCTCTGGTAGTCGGAAAGAGAGGTAAGAAAGGAAATCTTTTCTCTAACCACAATGAAATGTGATTTTGTTAGAAAACGAACGGGAAAAATTAGGGTTACCGATCTTGGTGAGATTAGTCATAAGTAAAAGTATAAATGTAGACGAAAACTATTTTAAAAAATTTACTTGTAGTTATGGGTGTATAGGTTTCAAGAATTTAGGTTTAAGGTTCAGAGTTAAAAGAATATAGTAGGGCCGTAGGGGTGCACAATGGTTTGTTTCGGACAGGACCACATTGAAGTGAATATAATGTGGTCAGATTCTTGGTCTCGTCAATTTTATAGTTGGATCATGGTTCTCATGGTTTTATTTGGTCCTTCCCAGAACCGGACTTGACACCTCTAAAATTTAGTGTTTAGGGTTTAAAACAATGTATATTGTACGGGATGGGTACATAATTAAGGTATAAGAACTAAGATGTAGGTAATTTGTTTTAGTCCTATATTATAGGGTGTCATGATAATCAATGAGCATGTGAAAAGACAGGGATGGAATGTCCGAGTTGGGGTGAGTGATTGAGTGAGTGAGCTAGCGAGTTGTAGGGTTTTTTTTTCCAACTGAGACAGAGAGAGTGTGTGTGTTCTGCAAAATCCAGCTCACGGCTCCATCGAAGAAACAGAAGAAAGAGGAGAGGACCCCTTGTTCCCCAGTCCTCTCATTCCCACCTGGCCATCCCTCCACTATCCCCACTACTCAATTTTCTATCAACTATTCTATTCTTTCTAATAAATGGAAATATATATATTGGTCACTAAATTATGGATTCTTATCGAATTGGTCATCAGCTAACATGGAGTCAGGAGTTTCAGGCAGCAGCAGCCAGCAAGAGAGACTGAGAGTACCAAAGCTCGAAAATGGTGACCTTTTTGGATGTGGGGCGGGGCGATAAATGAGTCGAGCTGTTCGCATATGCAAGCTTTTTGTTGGTTCTGCTAGGGCTTCACCGTTCGATTTCTCTGATTTCATATTTTGCCATCTCATTGTATTGGATGGAAATCACTATCCACTAAGTGAGAACACATGAAATGTAAGCAGATCATCAGAACTAATAAGTTCTCAAGTAAAAAATAAAGAAGTGCTTGATTAATTAGTTTTCATCAATATGCAATTAGTTGTAGCGTAAACAGATCGATCGATCGATCGATCTTCCCTCTCCGCGTGGATTTCCCATGTAAGAATCTGTTGGTCCAGAGGCAGAAGAAGAATGGGTGCATATGGGAGGATGAATCATTGGCTCCCTTTTTCAGAAATTTTTTTAACCATTTCCCTTCCCTCTCTCTCTCTCTCTCTTCCACCCTCTTCCATATGCTCTTGCCATATAGCTGGCCACGTTAATTAATATATATATAATTCCAGACAGTAAGTATGAAGACAGTACAGTGGCTATCTGCAATTTGCACACACTACTTTATTTGCATGCTTTTATGGTTTTTGTGTATGGCCTTCCATCTCATTTCGGGGGTCTCATAATACACCTGTACAAGTACGTGATTATAACTTGGTGTTCTCCGGCTATGATTTTGAGAAAGTAAATTGTTACACAAAATTAGAATTTCTCGATCTTGAACAATGTTGAAAGAGGGTGCTTGATTTTAGTGAATCTTAATTAAGTTGCTGCTACTGGTAAAAATAATTTGTTTTTTTTTTTGTTTGTTTTATAATCACTCTATTTCTACACATGATGATTCTTTGAAAGCTCTGCAACTGTGACGTCCATGACTATAACTATTCCAAATAAACTAAAGAGATACATGATAGAAAGAACAAGATACATTTTTGTGAGATGGTTTATTTTGCTGAATTTTACGTTCTTTCTGTGGCGGCGTCATCTAAAGATCATGTGTAGACAGAGTGAAGAAAGTAACTGTATATCATGTTGGACGTTGAGGAGGTTACCACCATGTGAAGGGTTGGCAACATAGTTACATAAGTAAGGGGTTACACGTTAGTTAATTGGTTAAGTGGATTTTAGCCCACCATTTATAATTTTATGTCTTCTCTGGTTTAAATTAATAATAATAATAATAATAATAATATTAATTATTATTATTATTATTATTATTATAGATTGAGTAGGAATAACTGAATAAGTTAGTACTTCTAGTCTTCTATTTCCCTCTTTTATTTTTCTAAAATTAATTAGTTAATTGTGCCTTTTCAGTTTTCAGCTTCAATGGCATCCATACACCCCTTCACAACTTCGAAAGCATCAAGGACACGATGGTTCGGTGGTGAATTCTATTTATTCTTTTCAACATAATTTCATAATTTGAATTGATTTCCTTTTACTTTTTAATCCTAGTGAACCAATTACTTTCTTCTCTGTGATCTACCGTGCATTACTTCCAAATCATGTTTTAGTTGCAGGGGCAGCCTGATCTGCCTAGCAATTTTCTTCTTTTCTCTTTTTCTTTTCTTCACCTACAGGCTACAGGTGCACTCTTGCTCACTCTGCTTGCGTCTTCGACTGGATTCTTTTTTTGTTGTTTGCTATGTTTTTTCTTTCTTTTTTCTGCTTTTCTTTCTTTCTTCGGTTCAGTTCTTCTGAACCCTCTTCTTTGTAAACTCTGCGGGGGTTTTTTCCCTTCCATTTGAATACAGCATAAAAAAAATGTTTTAGTTGTAAATACTCGAAGAAATTTGTACCTCCTTCAACACTTCATTGGGATGAGTTATGATGTTTAAATCTCACATCACCATAGATGGATTGTAATGAGTTGCTAGGTTACTTGTAGAAATGTACATATATATGATGCAGCAAGCGCTTGACTAAGGAATATCATTGACCTTTAGCAAAAGACGAAGTTGGGAGAGAGGGAGACAAGAGCGAAGACGAATTGGAGTATAGAAGTGAACACATACAAAATAAGGAGGAAGAGTTCCCGCCGGCAAAAAGACAGCGATAACTGCGGCCGCCGGCATCACGCGTCGATTGTAACAGACAGAACAGGACGATCTACCGGTTAGAAAAGCATCACATTTCTGCATGTACGTTTGTGTTTCTCCTTCTGTCTTTTTTTGCCCTAGTTTTTCGTTTTGTGCTTTAGTAAATGCTTTAATTTATAGTTTCCAAACTATATATAGCTTGATTAACTATATGTGGCCACATGCCACACCGTTTATGATAATTAATTTATAATAATTATATATTTTGTGTGTCAATTTGCTTTGGCTTAATCCTTTCGGACGGAAAAAGTCACAGTAGATCAACCTGCCTACAACTCCCATAGCTCCAAAACAAAACCCCCATGAATTCAGTACTTACTGGTCGTCCAGTTCTGATTCCTTCTTCCATTTAAATACTTAACTTCATCGCCTTCTAAGTGGAAGGAAGCAGGATTCAGGCATTGGTTATCTAATACGTAATTAAGTTGCCTAACACTTGACCGCATGAAATACTCATACATGATACAACATTATTTATAAATGTGTTATCTCAAATCGTTGAACTTTGTCTAAGTGTAACCATAAATTTTCGCACAATTCAGATTGCATATTCGAATTTCAAGATGTGCTTCCTCTTCTTTCACAACTCTCATTCAACAACATGTAAAACATACCATAATCCAGATATAAACTATTTCTCGATCGTTAACGATATATATGTTGTTGTGGGCGCACATATAAATTTACTACACCAAATGGAGGACGAAAAAATCCATTTAAAACTTGTTAATTGGTATGGGGTCTTGTGTTTGAAAAATGAATTTATTGGTCATGGATTTGGAAGTATTAGTATTTGTTTGTTGGATTTCCTTTAAGAATTTTCGGAAGTATTAGTAGTTCACGGTAAATTCATCAAACACTATTCTTCAACAACTATTTAGAAAGGTGCGCATCTTTAATAATATCACCGTTCATCTCTTCATCTTAACAAATTGAACACGCCAAAACTTTCCACCCAAACACATTTATTCTTTTATTTATTTTATTTTTTTCCGTATTGCATGCACTGTCACTATACATATGATACAATTTGGAATGAATTATGTAAATCTTCTAGCGATCGATTTCTGATATACATTCTTGTCCATACTTCGTTGAACTGGAAAAAAAGTCAATTAAATCCTTAAAAGATTGAGGAAAAGGATAAGAAAAAAAGAAAGAAAAAAAGCAGCCTTGTTCTGCACTGATCTTGTTCTTAATAGATACACGACTAGAGATGATCACGTTGATGAGATCCATATAATCAATAATCATATTACCCCCAACCCCTTTAACACTCACCCTAATCAAAACCCACCCTACTAAGTCTTTTTCCTTTTTTCTATTTTTGTATAAATAGACTTTTTTAAATAATAATTAACTAGTGTTTGATAATAAATAATATAAAAGAATGACCTGTCCGCCTCACTGGCTTTGTGTTGTCTGCGTTGTTCTCAGCCAGCCTCCCTTTCCTAATTATTCACTTTCCTCCTGACTTTATAAATTACAATCCCCCTTCCGCTCTCCTCCGTCCAAACCTCTCCACCCCCACCGCCCGCCGGAGCAATTTCAAGATCACATGACGACCAGCAGCAACAGCAGTGTCACCAGTCATAACGGCGGGGGCGCCGGTCAGCAGTTCGGCGACACCACGCTGACCAAAGTCTTCGTTGGAGGACTCGCATGGGAGACTCCGAAGGACGCGATGCGCGACCACTTCGACAAGTACGGCGAGATCCTCGAGGCCGTCATCATCTCCGACAAGCTCACCGGCAGATCCAAGGGCTACGGCTTCGTAATCCCCCCCTCCCTCACCCTTTTTTCCCCCAATTTCAATTCCAATTTCCCCCCAATTAATTCTTCATCTAATTCAATTAAATCACTAACAGGTGACTTTCAAGGAAGCTGAAGCTGCGAAGAAGGCCTGCGAGGACGCGACTCCCATCATCAACGGCCGCCGCGCCAACTGCAACCTCGCCTCCCTCGGTGCTCGCCGCCAGCCGAGGTCCGCTGGCGGTCCGCCGCCAGCCTCCACCACTCCGCCCCTTCTGCCGCCGATTCCGCATCATCATCAGCCGCTGCCACATCATCCCCACCACCACCACCATCATAATCAACAGGGTAATAACCGTTACTAATTACGCTGGATTAATTTAATTATCTTTCTAGCTGGCAGAGTGATTATTACTTACTAGCTAATCCAGCCGTTAAGAAATTAAAACGGTCTCACACTTTTCTTTTCTAACTTTTCCATTGGTGATGATCAATGAAGGATCCAACGTTGGGGTGAGGTCCACGTCAGCCAATCATCATCAAGTCCAGTGGTACTATCCAGCTGCGGCATCCGCGACAACTTTCTCTCACCACAACCATCACGCCGTCCCTTTCTACGGGTACGGGTAAAGCCTTTGATCCCGACCCGGATCCGATCCTTATCTTTTTCTTTGATCAAACTATTAATACATGTTTTTTTTGTTTTAATAATCAGGTACGCTCCGACCTACATTGCAACCGACATGGGCTACAATCAGGTATTTATGGGCTGCCAACGTAATCCAGAATATTGATAATCGGATTATGGAGAGGAGTTGTGATTAGGGTTAATATGTGTAGAAATTGAGCTACGGCGGCGGCGCGTACATGAGCGGCGGCGGTGGGCAGTACGGTCACCCTCAGGTGTACCCGGGAACCGGGCAGGCAGCGGCGGTGATGCCATACTACCCGGTGTACCAGTACTACGGAGGACACCACCAATCGGCGGCGATGGGGCTGCCAATGTACTCGGCGGCGGCGACATTGGCTGCGGGGCCCATTCCGACCATCATCTCGAAACAGCCGTCCATGGTGGCCGCTCCTCCTACCTCCGGTAATTGATTATTATATTGTTTATTTATGTATACAACTATAATTAGAGTTGTTGTTAATTAAACCTGCAGTTAAGCAGTTAATCACATGCATGATCCCTCTCCTGGCTCTCTGATCTCCGTGATTAAGAATCCTCCGTTCTCATCCGTATGGTACTTACTTGGTTGATCAATCACATGGGAACATGCAATTCCAACCAACCAACAGAGCTCTTTTCCCCTCTGGTTTTGTTTGTCTGGTTTTAGGGTTTTTTTTCTTTATCCGTTTCAAAAAATATATTTTATTTTATTTTGGTCCAACCTCGGTCAAGAAAGAATCATCGTGTCACGTGCCCTCCCTGGTTGTTATTGAGGCTGGGTTGTAATCGTGGGCTCCACTCTCTTTCACCCCAGCTGGCCAATTAGTGGAGAGATGGCCCGGCCCACATGGGCCTCCCCAATTGGGCAGATGGTCAGATGCTTTGACCCAGTTCTTTCTTTTACTCGCCCCACTTTTTCCTTCAAACCACCCACCCAGTTAGGTCATTAATCAATTGATTAAACACGGTTTACGGATTTGTCGGTTATTCGCTAATTGTTTACTTGTTACTGTTTGGAAAGGGTAAAAGATTTAAGGTGGTTTGGTAAAAGTATTATTAGTTAATAATGTGGGCCGATTGAGGGATTAATTAAACTGATATTACAAAGGACAGTTTGCTTGGCTGTGGAATAGGTGGTGGGACGGTTGGAGCAGTTGCCAGCTTTAAGAAGGTTGGTTGTTGAAGCCAGTCCAGGCCGGTCCTCAACACTGTTTTTAACAACGCAAAAGGCAATCCAATCAGAGAAAAAGGGGAAAAAGAAGAAAGCAAATAACCAAATTATTTCCGGAGGAAGGAAAAGGTGGATCTCGTCAAGCTGCTTGCTGCTGGGCTGGTTGTTGGGCTCATGGGCTTGCTGCTGCTGCAGAATCAACATTATTTATCTGGATCTGTCGCGGCCCATTCCATCTTTTATTTTTTTTTTCCCTTCTCATTTTTATTAACTCTATAATTAATCAAAAAAACAAAACCAAGATGTTGCTTTCTTTTCGTTGCTCTATTATCATTACTACTGTCATTAAGTTAAGTGTAAGACCCTATTATTTAATTAATTTTAATTTTAACCAGCGGCAGCAGGTTCAATGGATGAAATTCATAACCAAGATGATTCTTTGATTTCCTCCTCCACTTTCCAACATCTGATGATGATCAGCTTGAGCTCTGAATCACATTATTAATGGTTGTTATTTTATAAGCTAGCTAGGTGAGATGGTGGTAGTGGGCGGTATTATTATTATTAGTAGTTAGTGTTGTGAAGAGGTGGTAGAAGATGTCAGTCCAAATCACATGGGGCATCGTGCTATGGTTTGATGCCTGCATGTTCCTCATTTCCCTAGCTCCCTCCTTCGTTCCATGCCATGTCTTGCCAGACAGAAAACAAAGGCCTTTGACATATTTTTCTACACATGGAATGGAATATTGTACGGTACAACTAGGAATGGCAAAAATATCCGTAACCGTGGATATTCGTCCGAATCTGGCGTAATCGGGTAGGGTAAAACCCGAATTCGAAGGACATTTAGTGGGTACAGGTAAAACCCGAACCCGAATATTGCGGGTAATAGGTGGGCATGAGTTTCTCACTATCCAACCCGAACCCGCCCGATTATACATATACATATGTATTTTGTCTAGAAATAATCATTATTTTTCTGTAACATATTTTATATTTAGCATATAAATATAATATTTTCATGAAATTGTGTTGTTTTAATTAATTTTCTTTATTCTAGTGAATTATTGGCATACTTTTCCTCTTACGTAATGTGAAAATACGTGTGAATGTTAACATATTGGTTGGAGTTATGAAGAGAAATCATTATCCATGGATAACCGTGGATACCCGAAACCCGAATGGGTATGGGCATGGTTTTAAGTTTCTACCCGTTTCACATGTGGGTATGAGTATGGGTAAAACCCGAACTACTTTGGGTAGGGTAACGGATATGCACTATCCGTCCCCGACCCGACCCATTGCCATCCCTATGTCCAACAATTCCACTGGGCCAGCTGCTATATATCGACATCATAATTGTAATCTCAGACAATCAAAGCGAAAAACCCCAGGTTGGTGGAGAGACCGGAAGAGAAGTGCTCTGCTCATCATGAGCAAAACAGGGGGGGCGGGCGATAGGTATAGGAACATGGCCTCAATTGTTTGTTGTTAAATTCTTCAGGATATGGGCTTGTGTAGTTTATTTCAGAAACTGGTATTCTTGACTGCTAGCAGCTCCTCCTTTGAATGGGGATAGACATCAATTCAACGATGTGGATATATGTATCAATGGCTATTTCCACACTAAGCTGAAAAGCCGTACACTCTGCATATTTCCACTACTGAAATGCATCATGCATCACTCACAGTCTAACATGATCCATAAGGGGTCTAAAGCCTTCCGACGGGATGTTTTCTACAACATTTGATAAGGATAGTATAGTAGTAAGGGGGACATGACAATGCTATTAAAAAGTACAAACTTGTATTTTAATGTTATGGTACAATTTTAGTCAATTCTAAGGGTTGGCCTGGTGGTAATGTGGAGATGAGAACATTTGTCGCACTCTAATTCCGAATCTTGGGGCCAACATCTGGTAAAAAAAATTATATGTTTTTTATCACAAGAGGTTGGCCTGGTGATAATGTGGGGATGAGAACATCCACCACATTCTGAACAACTCGTATATATTGACATTATAGCAATGCCCCTTTTGTACTATTGACATTATAGTACGGATTCAATTTGTACTTATAAATTTTCGAAGACACATCATTGTAAAAAAAAATCGAAGACATTCTTTTGTGGTACGAACTAAACTTGTAAATTTGCATTTATTGTACAAGTTCAACTTGTATGGTAAATCACAGAGCATGGTGAATAATCTTAATAGCATCATAGCTACTGTGTGCTTATTCCCTATCAATTTTTTCTATCTCTCCAAGTTTCCAATTTCTAGGGCTCACAATGCCTCCATGTCAATTGACTATAACTCCATTGTTGTCCCCTTGCCATATCGGCTTAAATACAACTAAATGCACTCTCGTTCTCAGATAAACATACAGCCAGTATATTTTTTTAGAGCTCCAAATCGACGACTATTCTCTTTCTATATAATAGAAATAATATTAAATTAGCTATCAAATCCCGACAGATAATAAAATATAAAAATTATGGCATCATGAACTAAACATCTTTATACGTTTTAATTCAAGAAAATATATCAAGTTATCAACTCCATTGTAGCAACACAGGTCATAATGCTCTCTCTCGCATGAGAGACATGTGTTTGAATTCGAGCAATGCGGTCTTTTTACATAAAAGGAAAAGTTGGGCCACAACTGGCGGATTGAATTGGTCGTTTGAGCGACCAATCCACTTATCCAAACATGGGTTGGACGACTATAGAATGTCCAAATTTGAGGTTTGATCATATCATGTTTGTAACTTGAATCGTGCCTTTAAGGTCGAATAGTATTGATAATGAAAGTGAAAATACTAACAATAGAACGAGAACATTTGATGTGGACGTTTTCTCATAGTTTTTGTTTCTTAAAAAGTATGGTGTGATGAAAAGTTAAAAAAAAAAATCGGGGTTATTTTTTTACTTATGAAACTAAATCTTCAAAGACTAACTGGGACACTAGTTGGCATCGTTCTTTTTTATTCCTTACGACCTTAGTAGACACTCAATTATGTATCAAAATGTGAGAATTCAGTCCTTGATCGGATCTTCTGCATCTTCATATCTTGCAGCCAAGGGGTTGGAAGTAATTAAGATTGCACTGGGAAAAGTTAAAACATAAAAACAGGCAAAACACAATTATAAATAACCAATCTCTGGTAAGAGCATCTCCAATGGACAATGGTGCAAATGGAGGGAGTTGCAAGCGGAGGTGGCAGCCATGTGCAATTGAAAAAGTGGATGACATTGATACAAGACCACTTTCAAGTAGTGAAATTTTGCACATCATGTAAATCTGACATGCAATCCTCCCATTACTATATGGAGGTTCTCTTCCAAAACCACTTTCATTCAGAATTTCTAGCCTTCTGAGTGATTGTAGGAAGGGTAGTTTTGTCATTCAATTATCCAAAATATAATAATAAAAGACTTTGTGGATATTAACAAATAATTGAAAAAAAATTCCGCCACCATGTAGAGATTAGGTTGATGTTTTTAAGGAGGACACTTAATTCATTTTAATTATTAATAGAATATGTTTAGAAAAAGGACACTTCTTTCCCCGTTGGATTTTTTTATTGTGGTAAGTGCTGGTAACCTACTTTCTTTCCCTATTGGATTGATACGTCAAATAGTGGTATGAACATAATTTATCCACAAATCAAACATTTTCACAAAAAAATCTCATGACATACTAAGTTAATGGTCAATTAGTATTGATTTAGAGTTAATCCGAGACAGATATAACACACATTCAATAAAATATTAACTTTAGAAATATATATAGTTTACGACGATGATCAAAATCATTGAGTATTTTCAATTATGATTGAGAAATGAGTCTATAATCTATCAATTTCTCATAAACCTGAATAGAGAATATACTTAAGAGACTACAAAATATTTAATAGTAGGATGTTATGAAAAAAAATTATTTTTCTTTTGAAGATTGCATGGCACAAGGATAAGTTTTTTTTAACATAAGACGTAATTGGTCCGACTAACGGTTGGTAGATCTAGATAAATATTATCTGTAGTGAATTATCCAATCAAGAAAAAAATTATCTAATTTTTAAACCTTGAATGTAAGCACGTATGTTCAGTTTCATAAGAAAGTTATTTTATATCTCCACAAACTGTGTTTGAATATGGTTTACCTCAATCTAAAGTAACGACTAACACTTATCGGTTTATAATCACTTCAATTATTTTATATTAAAAAATTATTACTCGCCATCTTATATTTTCATAAATGAATTTACATAAGTAAAAGTTGAATAAAATAGATCAACCATTAAAAAAATTGCAAGAAGGAAACAATTTAGCAAGCGTAGAAAAGAAAGAGAAAATTGACGGTGGAGATCCAAATTTCAGTTTGGTTTGATAAATCTTTTAATCATAAGTTAGTTCTTTGGTTTAGGTTTAGTTTTTCACTTTGATCTTTACGTGGATTAATCGGTTAGGATATAAGTTTTTAATCAAAACTCTATAATGCATGTTTTTTTGTTTTGTTTCTAGAATAGAATTATTTGAATTCTTTTATCATATCAAATACAATTTTATATTTGCTTCGACAATTGTTAAATATATCATTTACTAAATATATCCGTCCAACGGGCGGGTCCTAATCTAGTAAAATATATAAAGACTTTTCCAATAACAACCTTCACCGTTTCAAAAATCCAGTCCTCCTACGCATCCACATCAGCACCCTTTCCACCAATAAGATGTTTTCGTAACTTCTTTTTTTCTTTTCATTATAATTTTTCTTTGTAGTTATTCTATACTCCAATTAGATTGTGCCACTTAACACACACTCTCTCTCTTATTTTTCAATCACCATACTATTCTTATTCGATCCATATTTTTTCCGCTTCAACTCCGAATTTAAATATTGTTGCGCAAAAAATCAGATTTTATGTGATCTACTCAATGATACCCATTTTGATATAAGTTGAATTTTTTTTCTTTCAAAAACATTATCACAATCATATATTCACAAGTCACTCTCATATTCGACAGTTGCTAAACTATATCAATATCATTCGATTCTACCGTCATAAAGTATATACTACCATCACAAAACAAATTTCTTATTCTAATGAGTTACTAAATTATATCAATGTTTAATATTTTACTATCATAATAATAATGCACAACAATTTCATGGGTGTTAAAATATTATCGTGCGGTACAAACTAAATTACCTTAAAGAAAAATAACTTTCGGCCAACTGATCAAGCTCAAAGGTACACATGATTCGGGATGAGAGACGACAATGATAGCCTGAACAAAATAGACAATGCAGGAGAAAAAATATTCCATAAAACATATTTCAAACAAAATTTACCCGGCCAACGGACCGGGTACAAAGCTAGTTGTAATTGGGTCCTTTGTTTGTTTTTGTTTTTCTTTCTTCTTTTCTCAACCATTTGTATGATATTAAAATGTAAGTGTGACCCAGAAATGCAATTACATTGGAATGACATTGATGTAGCTAGTATGAAATTGATAAGTGAAGTAATTGATAGAATTTCTTGGGTGGTAAAAGAGACCACACTTGAAAGTCAAGAAATATTACATTGTTGAAGTTGCTCTAAATATGCAAGAATACATCCATTCCACTACTAATTTTTTTTCTTTCAGATCGCTCCTAAAAAATTAAAAAATCACCAAAATTCCCCCCTTTTTTTCTTTGGGCTGCCCAAGTCTAGCACAAAAGGGCAGGGGTGGATCCGGAACAAAAAAGAAAGAAAAAAGGCCTTCCTTCCATAGCCTTGTTTGGTTCGTCTGGTTCCCGCAAGCAAGATCTAGCAGCAATAAGGTATACAGTCACTCAATTTGGACCCATGACTCTTCCCTTCCTCGACGGCGTTGTAAAGCAGTGTTCTTGATTCTGTTCCACGACTATCTTGGTAAGTTTTGATATCTCAAACTACATTAGTTAGCTTCTGCTGTTTAGGGTTTTATCAGTGAATTTTTCTTTACTTTCCGCTTCTTGCTTTTCCTGGCTGAAAGTTGGTTCCATTTTTTAGGTTTTGAAAATTGACCCAGTGTCCATGGATGGGAGCGAGGACAAGGCTGTTTCCTTGAGTAATGATTTGGGTTCTTCATCTACAGTCACAATCACTGAGCCTGTTGCTAGTGGTAGTGAGAAACCCCCGGTTGCCGAGCTTGCTACTGGGGAAGTTGAGGGAAACAGAGAGGGAGAGAGTGAGAGCGTGAAGACTTCCGCTGAGAAGGTGGCAGTGGAGGAAGGTGGCGGTTCTTGTAGTGAAGTAGATAAAGAAGTTGGGGGTTCAGGGTTAGGTGTACGCCATTCTGATGGTGGGGTTGGGGAGACTTTACAGAAGAAAGTGGTGCTTGTGTTTGATGGGCGGGAAGTAGATTTGGAGAGAGCTGCGGAAGATGCAGTTGATGATATTCCAGTGGGGGAAATTCAGGACTCAACTGTTCAGTCCTCCGGTGTTGCTGAGGGCTCTTCCAAGGAAGAACAAAGAGAAGAGTTGAAATTTGAGGATCTTGGAGGTAAGGATGGAGGTGTGAGTTGTAGTGATGGCAAAGATGATGATGATAGGGCTTCACCTGATGGTGGAGTTGATAAGAACCCTAGTACCGAGGTCAGGATTAGTGGTGAGATTTTTTCTTCTGTAGATAAGAGGTCCACAGATGGAGATGTAGCTGAAGAGGGTGAAACCAAAGTTACTGGTGGTTCCAATGATGCTGAAACTTGTGTTGTACAGGGTTCAGCGGATGCTTCCGAAGGTGGGGAAGTTCAAATTTCACGGGTTTCAGTGGATGGGGATACCCAACTCTTGGATAATTCTGTGGATGGGGATGCACAAGTAAATGATTTGTCCAGTTGTGGTGAAACTCAGGCCGTACAAAGATCACTGGATCAGGATTCCCATGTCATAAGGGATTCTGATAATGAGAACATGGATGGTTCCAGGGATGTGGGAACACAAGTTACTGATGGCACCAAGGTGAGGGAACCTCTGTTTGCACAAGTTTCAGTCGATGGCGATAACCCACCTTTGGAAATTTCGAGGGATGGAGGTTCTCAATACAATGATTTTTCGGAGGATGGGGGAACTCAGGCTATACAAAGTTCAGCGGATCAGGTTATGCAAGTTGTAGAGGATCCTGGTAAGGAAGACAGGGATGGTTCCAGAGTTTTTGATGGCCAAGTCAACGTTGTCATCAGTGATGGAGAAACTCGGGTAACACAGGGTTCACTGAATGAGGATACCCGAATTGTAGAGGATACAGATATGGTAGCTGTAGATGATACTGATACCCAAGACCTGGATGGTTCCAGGGACGGGGAATCTAGGGTTATACAAGGTTCTATGGATGAGGATATTTACAGGGATGTGGAAACCGAGGTTCCTAATGATTCCAGTGGCGGGGAAACTCAGGTTGTGCCAGGTTCAGTGGATGAGGATACCCAATTCGTAGATGGGAAACCTCAGGTTTCGAAGGACGAGGATATGGAGGGGGGTTTAACCAAGAAAGACACTGTAGTTCCCATGGAGGATCTGATCTCTCAGGAAGTCGGACCATTAGAGAATGACCCCAAAGATCTAGATATGAGAAGTGGCTTTGGGGGCACTTCCGGGGTTGAGAATATATTTTTTGCTGCTACTGGTAAAGTCGAATTGGCTGAAGAGTCTGAGGGGCATCCAATGAAAACTGTTGAAGTCGAGGAAGATGCTGCTCAAGATTCAGAGCCAGATGAAAGTGCTCTTCTGGGCGATGAAGTATTTAATAATGAAAATGAAGCTGCCTCTCGACCTGAATCTACTGTCTTGGAAGATTTAGGACAGCAGAGCCAGGTTCTGGAGGAGGCACCGGTGTTTATGGTAAGTGCGGGAGGTTCAACTCCCCCATTAGAAGCAACTGGTAGTGATTCTCTTGAAAAAGCCCCTACAAGTGTTGCTTTGGAGGGGATGCTATCAAGTGCTGCCAATGATACGGTTCAAATGGTGGAAAATGAGATTGATAATGTCACCTCTGAAACTATGGATGAAGAGGGACAAGATCCTGTTGAAGGGAAAATGGCATCAGTTGATGAAGAAATTACCTGTGCTAATATTGAAGGTATGGATGCTGATGCTGATGCTTATAATGAAAATGTTTGCTTTTCAGTGGAAGAACTCCAAGCATCAGGTGAGATGGTAAACGGGAGCACTGAACATCACTATCACGCAATTGCAGATCCACCATCTTTCTCCCAGCCAACTGATGTATTTATTGGAGGTGAAGCTGCATATCCTTTGGAGAATAAGGTACTCCTGAGTTCTGGAAAAGAACAGTTAATATACCACTCTATCTCTTTTGATCATTTCTGGGCTCACTCACATGTGGAGCCAGTCCTGACAAATGGCCAGCAAATTACTGATGCTGAACAAACTCGTCTGCAGAAACAGCAGGGAATAACAGTTCCGGACCAGCTAGTAGTGAAGGCTGAATCAGGTAAAGATAGTGTGGTAAATGGCAACAGTCATCAGTCTCCAGATTCAGCATCTTCTTTCCGGTCCACTCGGGCAGTCGCTGGAGATGATGTTGCTGAAATGGATACCTTTGTCCATTTAGATGCAACCCTATGTCCTGCTGGTGACAATCAGAATCTAAATCCTGAGACAGCAGGGGTGGGGTTGGAAATAAATTGTGAAGCAGCTTCCATCCAGAGCAATGTGTTGGCCTCTAACGTTGATACTACGGATGAGAAATCATTGAAATGGGCTAGTCTACACCGTGGAAGCTTGGGAAGTGCACACCAAGCTAGTTATCAGCTACCGTCTGACCATGAAGGTGAATTTCATGTATCTGATCTGGTTTGGGGAAAAGTTCGGAGCCATCCTTGGTGGCCTGGGCAGATATTTGACCCCTCAGATGCCTCTGAACAAGCATTGAAGTATCAGAAGAAGGACAGGCTTTTGGTTGCATATTTTGGAGACCGGACATTTGCATGGAATGAAGCACCTCTTTTGAAGCATTTCAGATCACATTTCAGGCAGGTAGAGAAGCAGAGTAATTCAGAATCATTCCAGAATGCTGTCGGTTGCGCTTTAGAAGAATTTTCCAGGCGTGTCGAATTGGGCTTGACTTGCTCCTGTGTGCCAGAAGAAGATGCAGACAGAATCAAGTTTCAGCTCTTTGATAATTCTGGCATCCAGCAAGAAGCCTGTAAAAGAGGCGATTTTTTGGGCAAGTCTGGAAGTGCAGATTTGTTTGAACCTGTCAAGTTAGTTAATTATGTGAAATCTCTTGCACAATATCCGACTGGTGGGGCTGATCAATTGGATCTTGTGATTTTGAAGTCTCAGTTGCTCTCCTTCTATCGGTTGAAAGGTTATTCCCCGCTGCCTGAATTTCAGTTTTGCGGAGACTTGTCGGAGGATGCAGATTCTTCTGTCCACGTCAGTGGTGAGGGATCTGATGATCATATAGGCTCTGTCTGTAAAGACGACTCGAAAAGTTTGGAAATTTCACAGGCCCAGAGGCCATATTATTATAAACGCAAACATAACTTGAAGGATGGTGTCTATTCAAGCAAAAAGGAAAAGTGGGATTCTGTAGAGGATGAAGTAGGAGCTGCAGATGGGAAAATGGTTTCACCATCTTCTGCAAAGAGACGAAAGGGTCCTAATCATTTTAGTGATGAATCAGTTCCGTCGGAAGGGGTGAAAACTATATCTCTTGCAAAAATCTCAAATACTACATCAGCTTCTGTTCCTAAGCCATCCTTTAAGATTGGTGAATGCATCCGTCGAGCTGCTAGTCATATGACTGGATCTCCCTCTATGCTGAAATCAAGCAGCCAGAAGTTTGATGGAAGCAGTGATGTATATGACAGCCCCCTACTGGAGCAGTCTGATGATACCGAGAGCAACAGATTGGTGGCTCCAGTGGAGACTCATTCATCTGTAGATGAGTTGCTATCACAACTTCAATCAGCAGCACGGGATCCCTTGCAAAGGGATGGTTGCTTGGATGTCTTTTTTAGCTTCTTCTCAGAGTTCAGGAACTCTGTGGTTGTTGTTGATCAGCATGATAAACTTGGTAAGAGGAGGAAGGTGTTTCATTCAGCGGGCGATACTGAAACATTTGAATTCGTGGACATGAATGACACTTATTGGACCGACAGGGTTATTCAAAATGGGTCAGAAGAGCAGCCACCGCCTACTACTCGAAAGAGTAGGAAAAGAGAGAATCTTTTTGTACCGGTCAGTCTTGATAATAAGCAGACTCAGAGGTCAACTGTCAGGAACAAACGACACATATCTGATGGTAATGACTACAACAATGTGCCCCCAGATACAAAACCAATCGGCTATGTGGATGAGAAGGCACCAGCGGAGCTTGTGATGCATTTCCCGGTTGTGGATTCCGTACCTTCCGAGATGAAACTGAATAAGATGTTCAAATGTTTTGGACCTCTCAAAGAATCCGAGACGGAAGTTGATAGAAACACCAACCGTGCCAGGGTGGTTTTCAGGCACTGTTCTGATGCACAGACTGCATATGGTAGTGCTTCAAAGTTCAACATTTTTGGGTCGTTACTTGTAAATTACCAGCTCAACTATACCATATCTGTGCCATTTAAATCCGAGCCACTTCCTATGACACATGGCGAGGAAGATGAAACTGTTTTCCTCCAGTATTGAAGAGACTGGACGAGGCAACAAATATCCAGGTAATAATATGAATGAAATCTTCTTTAGTACGTGCTATATAGAGCTGCTATGGATCGTACTCCTAGCCATTAAATGTTGTAGGCGTCAGAATTTCCATAGGAAGGGCCCTTCGTGTAAGCTAATGATTGATGCCTCGAAGTTTTAGGAGTGCAGTTAAACTTTATCTTGAAACAGTAAATCATCTTGTTGCTTGGTTCTCTTGTTCATGGTTGTCAATTGACATGTTGATTTGTGCTGCAGATACAATCGGCACATGCACTTGCAACCAAGGAGAGAGAGAGAGAGAGAGAGCTGTCGAAGAGCTTGCTGGCAAGGGAGTGTTAATGTGCCTCCTCCGTTGCTGATCCCAATATATGTCGCTGATGCTACGACGAATGACCTAATTTTGTGCAGAAATATCACTAGGCTGCCATAGCTGTAATTGTAGATGGTTTGGCCTGCTCATTTTATCATATATCTATATGTTTCAGTGGCTGATTCATGCCAATAGGTGGTCTCTTGTTGTCCACTATGATATGGTGCCCAGTGAAGTGTAAAATGATGTTATCCAGAACTAAGAGTGTGCATGGTCAAAAATCAAAACGTGGTTGAGAATTTGAGTTTGGATCTCAAAATCCCTTGATTCTCTCCTCTTGTCATGAACCAGAAAAAGGTATTAGTGGCTGAGTTTAGCAGGTGTCTGTCAAAGAGCATTAGAGCAACTTATTAGCAGGGGAAAAAAATTATGTTTAAGAAAACGGCAGCGATAGAGGCGCGTGTGACCGTTGGGAATGGCGGGAGGGGTTAACAGTTACAGAGGCCTATTTAAAAAAGAAAATTCTCGCCAACCAGAAGAGAGAGAGAGAGAGAGAGAGAGAGAAGAAGAAAAGAGAAAAAAGTGGTGGGCGGAAAGATAAAGATCGACGGGGCCGCTCCTCCGCCCCCGCTCCCCAATTAGGATGGAAGTAATTCGTCGCTTATCACATAACCGTAACTGTCAATTTTCAAGATTTCAAAAATTTGGATTCTCTTCCCTTTTATTGAGCGAGTGAATGAATGTTGACGATTACCCACAATTAACGTAGCAGAATCCCCACTTCTCCTTCCTTAATCTGCTTTGCTCTGCTCTCCACTCTCCTTCCAAACTAGCCCTCAACCCACTCTCACTCTCACTGCCCTCGCTGCTACTGGTGTTCCCAGTCCGCCATGGAATTCCCAGAATTCCAGTTCTCTGCAGGCGAGTTCTCTCTCTCAACCCACCCTTTCTTTCAAGAATTTGGATGGAATGGATGAATTATGGTTTCGTTCTTTTTTTTTTTGCCATTCCATTTGGATTCTAGGCTCCCCGTTCTTTCTTTCTTTCTTTCTTTCTTTGCGACTTTAAACGCACTACACTTTCTTGTGATCTGACATCGGATGTAGAGGAATCAGGCATCCGAATGGAAATTTGGGTTTTCAGGATCCTCTTCCGATTCCCTTTTGGAAGAGTTCCTGGCGCTGTTTTGGTGTTTGATGTACATACATGTTTGTTTTGGCAGAAGGGTCAGAGGGCAGGAAGAAAATAGACTTCAACTTTAGTGATGAGCACATTCCCTGCGATTTGCGCAACAGTTTGGCTTGGGACACCGCCTTCTTCACCAGTCCAGGCATGCTTCTTTCCTTTTAATTCCCCCATCTGACAGATTGATTTTCTTTTCAACTTTCCATGGAATCATTAACCCTTGATGCTGCTTCATCATGCAATACTATACGTTCTCAGGGATAATGGATATTGACGAGTTGTTTGAGACTTTCAACCTTAGAGCCGCCATGGATCGCACCAAGGACAAGAAACCATCATCTGTTGCCACTGCTGCTGCACACTACAATTCTCGCCAAAGTCTTGCCTGGGATAGCGCCTTCTTTACCAGCGCAGGTTACCATCATCTCCTCAACTCGGAATCATTTTCAAAACCCTTGGGAGGTTCTTGTAATTATTGTGCTGATAATGTCCAGCGATTCTTCTGTTCAGGAGTTCTGGATGCGGAGGAACTGTCTATGGTGAACAAAGGGTTCACGAACTCGGTTGCGAAATCTGAACCTGAGACCTGGAGGTCCATTGAATCCAGCTCCACAGCGAACAGTGAGGGGAGCTCTCTTACTAGCCTTGAGCTTGACCTTTTCAGCGACATCAAAGCTGCTGTTGGTCAATTCCACAATGGAGGTTCCTCGTCGGCAAAGCGAAAGGGAATGCAAGAAGGAAATGGTGGTTCCTCATCAGGGAAGCCACCTAGGAGGATGTCCAGCCGTGGAGTGAATTCCACACTTTCAACTCAGAGTAAAAGAGCTTCCTCGATGGGCAGCCATGGTGCAAGTAAAGGTACATGATCACCTGCTTAAACAAACGGTTGAAGGAACTTCACTGTTATTGGGATTGATCGCTCCGTGGACTAATCTGTTTCTTATATAGGGAAGATGAATGCAGTGAAATCAGCCACACCATTGAGATCTCCATCTTCAGTTCTTCCAGCTACTACGAGAAATGGATCGTCTGAACAAGTCATCATGAGAACTCCTCCGGGAAAGAGTTCCAGGAGAACTGTGGAGCCTCGCATGGCAGCTGCAGTTCCTACCTTGAGAACTCCTTTGAAATTCCTGGCTGGAAGCAAAAACGGATCACTGAGTTCTTCTTCAGCTCACCTTTCTTCTTCGAGTTTCTCATGGACACCCAAGGTGTCCCCTGCTAGTTCTATTAGTGGATTTTCCTCCTCAACGGATCACTCCTTGAGGTCAACCAACCAGAGGCATCACGTTTCTCCGGTTAAACCTTGTTTCGCAAGTGAAAGTCCAAGGCCAAGCTCCACAGCTCCCAGGACTATGAAAAGGTTTACAGGAGGAGGCGCAACACCAAAGAACATGCAAGCTTCTGGCCTCAGAATGCCGTCACCAAAGCTTGGATACTTTGATTCAGTTAGTAATACCATAGATTATCCCTTTTCTCCCCATTTTGCTTAATCCCTTCCTTTCATCTCATTGAAAACATTGCTTTGTGCTTTCTTGGTGCAGGAAAATCCTAGTGGTTCAGCACCAAGGAGAGGGAACCTGAAGTCCAACTCTCATGGACAAAACAATTCTGCAATGGCAACTGGCAGCAGCAGAAGTGGTAGTAGAACAAGCCTGGGGAAGCACCATTTAAGTGAGATTGTTGCCTTGTCTCTAGGTAGCAAAATCGGTAGTAGCAATGAACGGTGGGAGGAATCCTTCAACAACAACGATAACATTAAGAAGAAGAGGTGCCTGAAGGAAGATTCTAAGGTGGAGGCTGGAACTAGACAAGGAAAAGGAAGTAGTTGCAGCTGCAACAAGAGGCCTGGAAGCGACAAGGAAAATAGTATAGCAGCTAGTTTGGACAGTCAGGTTGATCAACTTAGCAGGCATCTTAAAGCCATTCATTTTCACAAAGGGTTTTCCCCAGTTTGGAAATAGTAGGCAAGATGCGTTATGAGGGCTTAAAATTCCTTGTTGCCCCATCTTGGTTTTTTAGTTTGTTTGCAGCAGTTGACCGATAGCTTGTCGGACAATAACCATAGATGATCTGTTTCTGTTTCCCTGGATTCTATTCCTTTTCAAATAACATGGAGTTAATCATAAAGGAACTGAATATGGTTGAACAAATGGAGATCTGAATCCTAGAAGGAGAAAAGCTGTACCACTGTAATTAACCGTACAAAATTATAGAAAAATAGTATGAGACACCAAAACCCCTGCAACAACATCCTAAATTACACCAAAACATAGAATGGAATCTAAGACAGGAGCCAAGAACTCCCCAGATCTCTTTCTCTTTAAGCCTTTTTTCTGCTGCTGCTGCTGCTATCCCACAAGGACATAAATGGCGTATACTATACCAGGAATGTACCCAAGCAGCGTTAACAACAAGTCTATCCAGAATTCCACCTGCCATCAATATATTTCCCCTTCATCCATTAGCAACATTTCTAAAAGATTTGCAAGACAGAAAAGGAAAAGAAACAGATGGGAGGGGAATGGATCTGAATGATCAGTGACTTACCCCACATCCATATCGAAGAAAGACACCAACCGGTGGTAGGAGAATGGCCAATATCACCTCCAGGAATGTCTCTGAACCCATTTTCACTCCAGCCTTTTCTCTTCCTTCAGGACACAGCTAAATTTACACTTCTTGGCGAGTAAGATGGAGGAGAGGCACAGACTGATCCAGCGCAGGCTAGGAAGAAGTATAAAAGAGATGGACGGCAGGAGTCCAAAGGAAAGAAGAAAGGACGGGGTGAAAGGTATTGCAGTGGCAGTTTTCTGCAGCTGCCACGTCACTGAGATTGGTGGGACACGTGTGACGTTCTCAGCGCGAAGTTTTTTGCTTTGAGATTTGGCCTTGTATCTAGTACATGAATCAGACAAGAAACACATGAACCCAGCCTGCGGGTTAGATTGTCCTGTTTCAGTTTTATGTCTGATAGTCACGTTCCGTAATCCGGAAGGCGTTCGGATTTTGTTTCTTCAGAAGAACAAGTGAACAACCGTACAGTCTCAGCTTCACACTAGTTGGTTTGACGGATGGATGAATCTCAGCGTGCTTTGTCTCATATTTACCTTCCTTTTTTTTTTTTGGATTGGTTTACCGACCAAAATTTCTTCCCAAGGTATGAATCAACATTCAACAGCCACAACAGGAACTTCCAAAAAAGGATGAAACTTTAGAGATTAGAATCCAGTGAAGATAGAGAATGAAAGCTGGCAGATTTGCAGTAAGTAACATCAGGATCTAATCAGAATACATGGTCACAATTCATACTGCACAATATTATTATTGAATCTTGACGAACAAACAAACCAAGACAGGACATTATAGTCATTGGTTCACATTGTAAAACTGTGTATACTACCATCGCTGGGAGAAGTCAGATGCTTGAGAAACCCAAAAAGGAGGAGGAGGAGGAGAAGACGGCAAAGGCAGGGTATCTAAGCCTGGTACACATCAGGAAGCTGAAGACCAACACTAGCTGCAGACTTCCCTAGAACTTTCTTCATCTCATCAGACCTATCCACCGCAATGTTGTAAGAAATCAGCAGATCCTGCAATCAATCAATCAAATCAATTAACTGCTCGTTAACATTTAAAGAGATATCCAAAGAGCCACAACTTAGCTTCGCTTCAAGCGAACACCAAGAGCGAGGAATCAAATCTGAGATGGAGACCCAAGTTCTTACCTTGTGATGCTGGACACTGTTGAGTAGGAAAGTGTAATCACGGGCGAGCTTGATTTTCTGCTGTATACATGATTGATCTGTTGAGAGATTAGAGCTGTTCCTGAACTCCTGCGTCACGAATTCTCCGAAGTGGCTCTTGTACCCTTCCTTCTCAATGTTCTTTCTGATGGATTTCAGAAGGTCCCGATACACCTTTGCAGCTTGTAGTGTTCTTGAACTCATTTCCCTGGACCAAGCACTGCAAACATTACCAGACACAACAGAGATTCAGAATTCAGGGGCTCATCAACCTGTAAATTAGTTGGCTTTTTCTGATTCAGGATTCAAGTTATCGGCGCAAATAACCTAGAGCTACTATAATTTGTATCCTCCACAAGTCAATGTGCTTGAAATTAATCCAAACAACCCGATGGATTCTGAAAAACCCAGTGCCCAGAGGAGTAGAAAATTTCAAGAAAGAATGGGGATCTGGAAAAAAAAGGACACATCTTTTGGCAGAAAGAGACTCCACGAAAAGCTTCACAGGCGAATTTGGAAAAGAAAAAGATTAATGTAAAGAGACACGAACAAGAGTAACCTGAAATTCAATCAATCAACCGGCCAAAATCGGAAAGTTGCGAAGCACGTCTGTGTGAACGGCGGCCGGCGGCGGAGGAGGAGAAAGCGGTGGCCGTGTATCCGTGTCTGCGACTGGCTGAGCAACAGAGCGGAATGGAGGCTCGTTACTCGTGATTGCCGACGACGGAAAGGTGCCGTGATGGGCCAGGCCCAGTCTGATTTGGGGCTCCAATTGTCCAAATAGTTTAAGCCCATATACCATATACGAATACGATTCAACCTGAGTGGGCAGTGGCTGAGTCCTCTGCAATCCAAAACGACTTCGGATGTTGAAAAAACATCCCAATATCTGTTTTTCTCGTTTGTTTTCCAGCTTCGTCTTCGAGAAACAGATCTCTTTCTTTCTGTCTTCCTGTGTTTTCCCTCGGCATTGAAAATTTTGAAGGAAGAAGGAAGATAAGCGAAGAGAGGAATGATGTTGCGGGAAAGAGCGAGAAGAGTCACTCTCCCTCCTGTTCAAGAGGTTAGAAAAAAGCCTTCGTATCTATCATCTACTCTGTTTGTTCGCTGAGAAACCATGGGAAAATAGAATTGAGAATACGAGAAATTCGCTTAACAATCTCCCGCATTCTAATTCCGAGATTTCGATTGTTTCTATCGTCCAAAGAGAACTCCAATGGTACTCTTGGAAATTCGGTTATCTCCTGAATTGAGCGTTGAGGACATGATTCTTTGATTCTGTTGTATTGGAGGTTTCGTTGTTGCCTTTGCCTGGGCACTCTCTATATCTCTTGATGAGAAATTAGCCCTTGCTTTTTATTGTTTTTATTCATGGGGTTGAAGGGTTTGCTGGAGTATTGCATTAAGACAATAGGGGAGGAAATTGAATCTGAATCAGGGGAGACAGGTTACTTGACTTGGTAAATAATTTCTGGAGAATCTGGCTTCTGATTAGGCTTGCAATTTGGTTGCAGCTCTAATGCAAACAGGGAATATGTTTAACCTTTTTTGTCACTAATTTTCAGAATATAGATAAACTGGAGAAGGTAATAAAGGACGGTAACTGTTATGGAGCTCAACAGATGTACAAGTCTATCAGTGCAAGGTATGGTCAGCCATGTTCTCTTGGAGATTAACTTTGGTTTGCTCGCTTGTGAACAATCTCTCCATAATTGAAGTTTGAACTTAACCGTTAGGTTTTAGTTAGTAACTTACGGTCAAGGTTTTGCTGATAAAGAGTCCCATTGCTGCAGATATATATCTGCTCAGAGATTTTCTGAGGCTATGGATCTTCTTCACTCAGGAGCATGCCTTCAGTTGAAAAATAACCAGGTTGTCTTCTTTCAAGTGCAAATTCATTTTTTCTCTTCTGGGAGCTTTATATATGAGTAGCTAGAAAATGCGGAATTTTTTAAGGCGACGATTTCTGACCTGCTGGGCTTTCTATGGTGGTGCAAGCTCTTAAATGTTGGGTTTGAGGTTTAATTGCCATATTGGAATGGACGTGGAATCCATCACATAAAAATATAAGCTTTGTGCGGGATTAGTTTCACTGAGAGTTTCACATTTTATGTTTCATCATAGTAGCTACGTATAATAGCATAAAAATTGGGAATTAGAAGGATGATCTTGGTTACTAGAGTTGACTCTGTAGAATTTGTCCTTCTACATGATGCTATCTTTTAGCTTCTATTTTTAATTTTCTTTTGTGTGGATTCGATGTGTCACATTGCTTCGGAGAGCAGACTAGTTGAACTAGTGGCATCCTGTAATGGGTCAAAATACTATAGATCCGAAGTTTCTGCATGAAGCATTATTAGCTTGCTCTAATCCTTGTGTGAATGAAAATAATTTCAGGTTACTTGTGGCTCGGAGCTTGCTGTAATGTTTGTGGAAGCTCTTGTTAAAGCTAAAGTTCCCTATGATGATGGTAACCTTGGTAAGTGGAGAGCTTATGAAATTTTGCTTGATCAGCTAGTAAATGTTTAGACATAATTTTTTAGGCATCTGCGACAGTTGAAATTAGAGCAACCCATCTGGTCACTCAAAATAAATTTGAGTTTAGTTAAGTTTCCATGGTAGGTGTCATATTAATACTCTTATGCAATGCAGTCAAAAGCGCGATTCTACCTAGAAGCGGAAAAGGGGTAAAATCGTAAAGCGTAGAATTAAAGCGTAAAAGCGTAAGTTTTTGACACATACTGTAAAAGAACTAAAAATATGTTAAGTACGACATATACTATGAAAAATATGAGTGCACAAAATTCAGATAAGTTCATAAATACTTGCACTTCATGTATAAAGTAGAGCAACTTATAGCCTCTTAATAATAAGTTCATAAATATAAATCTTATAAAAAAGTCACATTCCCCTCCATGCTAATGAATTTGAGAAGAGCCTAGATGGTGATTAGATTACTTTATTGAAGTTCATAATGCATCCTAGTATCTGGTATGTATCTTTTAATCTTAAACATATCATATTGTCGGTGATTTATTTTTAAAATATACTTTTTATAATTAATTTCATGAAAAGAAAACTCATTCAGTGAAGTAAAAGCGTAAAAACGTAAAGCGTTTTAGTGAACTTGAAGCGTATAAACGTAAGTTTTTAAGTCTTAAAGCGCAATTTAGTATGATTTTATACACTAAAGTTTTTACATAGAAACGAAAGCGTTTTGGTGACCTAGAAGCGTAAAACCGTAAGTTTTTAAGTTTTAAAGCGCGATTTTGACTGCATTGCTCTTATGTAACACTATCTTAGATCGTGTCAGGACAATCTACAAACTATTTCCTCAGATTCCTGTGCCGCAACACCTAGGAGAGGAAGATGATGTTCACCAACTCGCTGAAGCGCTTGCAGCTGCAAAAACACGAGTAGAGTGCTGCTCGTCATTCTTGAGAGCTGCAATAAGGTGAGATCTCCTATCCTTAATATTTATGCATTCATATTACCCCAAAATATAGGGAGAACAGACTTTCAAGTACATTCATGCTTTTCAATGGACCATATGGTAGTGGCATCTCACTCTAGTCTTTGCTTCTTTTATAGATGGTTTTCCCCTTATCTCTGTTTGTTTAACTTGGATAGTTCATGAACGTATCACTTCTCCACCGTTCAATTTTTTTAGACCTTTAAGAAACATCCTGATGGGGTAGTTGTCGTCATAGAGTATTGAGTGGGCGCATGGCCGTGGAGTAACTGTTTAGGTGGGAAGGATACACCTATCTTAAGATTAAGAAGAGGGAGACAGAATGAAATCAAAACTAAATCAGGGCCAAAGTCATCTCTGTTTTATGTAGATCAATGAAGTAGGCTTGTAGGTGCTTGAGGATGAGAACATTGAATTGATAGGGGGAAGACTGATCAATACGCTTTGATGTACATACCTGGTGTTTGCACTTATACTTTTGTGACTATATTCGATGTTCAAAGTGCTGTATCTTTTTGTTGTGGTTTCTTGCCGGAAACGATGGTTTGTTGAAGCTGTTATGTATTGCTTCTTTCAGGTGGTCTGCGGAGTTTGGACCCCATAGGAGTGGAAGCCCACAACTACATGTCATGCTAGCTGAATATTTGTATACCGAGTCTCCTGAACTGGTATTTATGACAACAGCACTTGGATTGTGCTTTATCTTATACGTCTGTTTGATTCAATTGGTTTGTGCCTCCTATTTAACTTGATGTTGACAGCACTTTACTTTATATTCTGCATTTTTAAATATCCCTTTCTCTTCTATAAGACTCGAAAAGCTTATTGGATTCTTTTTCTTTTTCCACAAGACTCATATATTTGAAAATTTTCATATGCCCTATAAAAGTCAACAAATTGTTGAAGGACTTAATACTTTCACGATCGTTCACTTTCTTTTGTAAATGTTCCTCAGAAACTTCCACTTCGCCTATTTGCTCCTGTTGACGACATCTCCATTAAGCCTCATACCGATTGAATCAGTTACAATAGTTCTTTTTTTATGAACTACTTATTAGTCAATATGAGTGAAATGATTCATGTTGGTCTTAAATCCCTTGTAACGTTTTTTGTTAAAGCATGAATGCATGCGTGGATTGACTTCTTTGAAAAGTACTGTTACCCATGTAGATTCATGATTTTTGTCCTTGGTTAGAAATTTGGTTTTGTAGGTTAGTCGGTCTGATGCTCATTTATACCCAGTGTAGAAAATTTTCATATTTTAGATTTGGTCTGTCTAGTATTGACTCATTTATGCTTTGCTTCTCTTGGTTTCTGCTCACTTGCTATGGTCGGCCTCATGCTCATTACCTTTATTTTTCCAGGACATGGCAAAAATAACACTTCATTTTGTGAGAGGTGACGATCCCAAGAAGTTTGCATCGACTTTAGTCAGTTTTATGGGCAAGGTTGGTCGATTCAAATTGAAGACTTAATAGCTTCGTATCAAAGACTTAAGAAGCTTGATTTGAGCCAACTGCAAAAGCCTTTTCTGTTCTGAGTTCTCTGTTGGATGATGTTATTCATGGGTGGAATTGTTTTGATTCTGATTATGCAGTGTTACCCTGGTGAAGATGATCTAGCAATTGCAAGGGCCGTCCTAATGTATGCATGCCTCACATCTTGTTGGAGAGTTTCATTCTTCCATATTGTCTTCAAATGCCTTACATGACAGTCAGCTGATCCATGTTTGACTCCCTTTCATGCAGGTACTTATCCATGGGAAACATGAGGGATGCTAACTTTTTGCTGAGTGAAGTAAAGCAGCAGGTGGAAGCTAAGAAACTTGAGTTCCCACAATCAGATTTGATCCATTTCATCTCTTATCTTTTACAAACGTGAGTATTTATTTTGGTACCACGGGAACCATTTCTCACATCCTACATCGCTCTTATCTAGTTTGGTGCAGTTTGGTTTCTTGGAAAATGAAAACTTAATATGGCACCATTCCATTCCAGGTTGCAGAGAGATGCTTACCCACTTTTTAGTATGCTGAGATCTGGTTACAAGCCGAGCATAGACAGGGAACCTGCATTTAACGAGGTCTGTAGCTTTTGGCCTTTCACATGTTGAATAAATATCTCAAATTTCTTTGCTGATAACGCGATGTGCTGTTTCTGGCATGGTTTTCCAGTGGCTAGATGATATTGGGGAGGTTTTCTACGGTGTACAGCGGAGAAATCCCTTGCAAGGAATGTTTGGAGAGATGTTCAAGGTAAATGTTTGTTTCTCTGCTTCATTTTCAGCCTCCTGCAGTTTAACAGAATGGACTCTTACTCACGGTTTTCCCCTGCGTCTTGTTTTACAGATTATGTGAGGATGGATTCCGTCGAGTATCTCTGCAATTGTTGTTTATTCAGAGGAGAAGCCACTGGCTTTTCCTCTTTCTTGATTTAGCCTTCTTCAAAGGCTGTTTTGTATTATGAAGGGTTCCCTCCAAGTTGTAAGTTTGTAGCATCCTTTTACTTTGCTTTTCTTTATACATTTTGGGCGGAGGGTCTCTTTGCATTTGGATTCTGAAGCATAGCCTGTATTATGTTCGTCATAAACGATTCACGATAAGCCTTATTACCGATAATTACCTTGCTGTTACTCTCTTGTACATGTTTGCTGTAAAATTGTTGCCTTGAAGCTTGAGCAATGACATTATACGAGGTTTGAAGACCTCTTTCTTCACATTCAGATGACTAACTACAAAGGGATGCAATTTATGAGTTTATGTTATGACTGTTACATTACAAGAAGTGAAGAAACCAAATCTGCCATGAATGGCAGAGGAAGCAAGACTTGTAGTACAAAAGGAGAGGAGGGTTGCTTGCTACACAGGCTACTCGCTTTTCTCAATTGCAAAAACCACTCCATCTTCCTTGCTGAAGTTATGAGTTGTGTGATCCACCACCTGCACCAAACATACAGTCCAAGATCAATGCCATGGAACTGTGAAATCGGATTCAAAATCGAGTTATCTTGACGTTGCCAGGGTGATCAGCTCGTGCCTATGTCGTTAAATCGGCACGCAGTAATTGCTGCTAAGGATTGAAGGGTGAGAGTGGATATGTTTATGGAGCACTGGAGCAGTCTGTAATCAGGGCAGGAAGGCACAGAAAGAAACTCACGTTAGTGTCGCTCAATTCTAGATTGTAGAAATCCATGGATTCTCCTTCGAACAACGGCCCAGCGTGCCACGTCCCCTTTCCCAGCTTCACGAACTTGGGCCCGCTGAACCTGAACACCCGGACCTCCTCGATCTCGGGAGCAGCGTACAAATGGCCGCACCTCGATCTCTTCACACCCTCCTCCGGCGCCGCCGCCTCCGCCACGATCGACGGCTTCGCGACGCCCAGGTACCAGGCCCCGCCGCCGATGGACCCCAGGCACTGCGTGACCTTCGCGTGGTGCGTGATGGTGGAGAATCCGAGGGGCCGGTTCGTCAGGCTCATGATGTAGAACCTCGGAGTTCCTTCGCTCAAGTTCAGCTGCGCGTCTTGCGGCCCGAACTCTTCGCCGTCCGGTGACGGTCCGATCACCTGGCCATAGTCCATGAAGCTCTCCGGTGTTGCTTCGATTGGTTTCAACTTTATCTTCTTCGCTTCGCCGGCTGAGATCTCCATTGCGATCGAGAGAGGCGGATTGCTGAATGCAGATGCCTTCCGGATGAGGATGAGACTGAGATTAGGGGTTCTGATCCAAGCTTCGAAGCGACGTCGTTCCATATCCAAGGCCCAACTATTGGAGGGAGCCCAATCGTGTCATCTGTCTGGGCTGGCCCAATACCGGTGCCCCTCTCCCTTCTCCGTTAGTCCCCTGGCGATTCTGTTTCGCTCCAAACATTCCCACTGTCTCCTTTGTTCTTCGCCGATTGAATTCAGCGGCCGGAACTCTGTTTAAATCCCAAAAATTTCCCGGCGACCGTAATATGGAAAGTGTGGAACCACCGGCGGCGTCAGCGACGCCGCAGCTCGTCGAAGTCTTGACGAAGATACTGACCACAGAGAAAGAGCCACTCCAGAAACTAAACTCCTACATTCCTCATTTCTCCGCCAACTCCAATCTTCTCTTACCGCTGCTCTCGTCCATGACCTTGGCACGAATGCCCACAACTCTCATCTCTTTGCTTAACTGGTCACAGGCGCATTTACAGGCGTCCCGGTCTCCGCTCTCCTCGCTATGATACCTTCACTCATCTTCGCACCACAAGTTCGCCGACGCCAAAACCCTAATGACATCCTTCATCGCGTCTGATAAGCAGAACGCGCTTCACTACCACATCCTCCACCCTGATATCGGAACTCGGGTTTCGCGGCCTGTTTATGATTTGTCCATTGGAGCTGATGTTGCAGCAGGTAGGCCTCAACATGCCGCCCATATCGGCTCCGTCTCAAGCCGAATGTGCTCACTTGTAACACTTTGATGAATGGTTTGATGAAATATCCTTCTCAGCATACTGTTTCTTTGTCCAAGGATGTTTTGGAAGATGTGATCAGTCTCGGCGTCAAGGTTAACTCCAACACTTTCAACATTGTGATAAAGGGGTGCTGCTTAGGGAGCAAGTTTGAAGAGGCATTGGAGCTTGTGGATAAAATGATGCATCATAGTTGTTCACCGGACAATGTTACGTATAACACGATACTGGACGGAATGTGCAAGAAAGGGAAGTTGATTGAGACCAGGGACTTGATGCTGGACATGAAAAACAGAGGTTTGCTTCCTAACAGAAACACATTTAACATTCTGATATCTCGGTATTGCAAATTGGGGCGGTTGAAGGAGGCATCGGAAATGATTGACTTAATGACGATGAGTAAAGTCTCTGCCGATATGTGGTCATATAATATGTTGATTGATGGACTTTGTAAAGTTGGTAGGATTAGCGAGGCGTTTCGGTTAAGGGATGAGATCGAGAAGCTTAAGTTGTCACCTGATGTGGTTACATATAACACCTTGATTAATGGGTGTTTCAAGTTTGGGAGTGGTGACGAGGCGGTTCGTTTAATTGAAGAAATGGAAGGGTAGGGTCTGAAGCCAAATGTTGTGACGCATAACATAATGGTTAACTGGTTTGTGAAGGAAGGGAAGATGGATGAAGCAGCAAATGCTGTTAGGAAGATGGAAGAATGTGGGTTTTCTCAAGATTGCATTACTTACAATACTCTAATAGATGGGTCCTGCAAAGCAGACAAGATGGATGAAACATTCAGACTGTTGCATGATATGGAAAAGAAACATCCGAAGATGAATAGCATCACTCTTAACACAATTCTCCACGCTCTTTGTCAGGAGAAGAAGCTCGATGGGGCATCTGATCTGCTTTCAATTGCCCTTAGGCGAGGTTACTTCGTCGATGAGGTTAGTTATGGCACTCTAATTATTGGATACTCTAAGCAGGAGCAGCTTGCTAAAGCTTTAGATCTTTGCGACGAGATGAAGGAGAAAAAGATCATCCGAAGCATCATCACCTATAACTCCATGATATTTGGGTTGTGCCGCTCTGGGAAAACTGACCAAGCAATAGATTTACTGAATGAGTTACTTGGAAATGGTTTGTCACCAGATGAAACTACTTACAATACCATTATTCATGGATACTGCTGGGAATGGCAAATTGAGAAGGCATTTTGGTTTCATAACCAAATGGTTGAGAATTCTTTCAAACCTGATTTGTTCACCTGTAACATTCTTCTCTATGGTCTTTGCACTGGAGGTATGTTTGACAAGGCTCTTAAACATTTCCATGCGTGGGTTTCAAAGGAAAAGCAAGTTGATGTGTTGACTTATAAAACCATTATATCAAGCCTGTGCAGAGAAAGGAGATTGGAGGAAGCATCTGGTCTTTATGCAGAGATGAAAGAGAAATAAATGAATCCTGATTGCTACACATATAATGCCATCCAAAAAGCTCTAACTGATGCAGGTAGGATTGGTGATATCGAGGATTTCGGTCTAAAGGAGGTTGAGAAAGGCAATTCAGAATCTCAGTCCATACAAATGGACTGCAGACAAGATGAGGGTACCTGCACAACCTGTCCAGAAACTGATCAAATTTCCATTTCGTATTCTGAGAAGATAAGCGAGTTATGTGCTCAAGGAAAGTACAAAGATGCCGTTTGACATTTTCAAGAATCTAGAGACAATGGTATTGTGTTACGGGCACTTATCAGAAGGCGAAAAAGAACGTCAGCAGTATCATAGTGGATCGTGGTTGGCGTTGATACATTGTTTTTTTTTTTTCAAGGACATGAGATAACACAACAGGAAGAAGTTTGCATCTATTTTTGTCAGCTTTATGGTCAAGGTTCGTCGATCCAAATCAAAAGAGTTGATAATCCCATCCGAGCAAACAAAATGTTTGGTTCCAGCTATGTTTAAGAGTCGCCTTTCTTTGTTTTGGATGATGTTTTTTTATTCACTGTTTCTACTGCTTTGTTGTTTCTGATTTTGCAGTGTTATCCTACCGCCGATTGTATGGCAATTGCAAGGGCCGTTCTAATGTATGCATGCCTCACAGTTGAACAAGTTTCCTACTTTCATATTGTCATTTTGGACAGTCAGCTAATAAGTATTGTGCAGGTTGCAGGTTCTTATCCACGGGGGAGATGAAGGATGCTAACTCTTTTACTGGATGAAGTACCCACTGTCAAATTTGATCTTGTTCATCTCTTATTTCACTGATGTAAGTTCGTTATCATTAAAAAAAAATACCAGAAGATTGTCCTGTCTTCACACTTTCTGCATCGCTTTCATCTGGTTTGACAAATTCCAAGCTGATTGATTATATTTGATTCAGCAGAAAACTCGACATGGCAACTTGCAGGCTTCAGGGAGATGCATACCCACTTCTATGTATCTTGAGTACCACTTAAACAAGCCGAGCATAGACAGAGAACCTGCACTCGACGAGGTATAGCAGTTTCTGCTTCTTCCCTGTTCCAGCAGTTGGCTGCTGGAACATTTTAGGTGGCCCAAATTCTTGTTTAGGTGGCAAGCATGGTGCATGAGATGTTGAAATGCCTATAGATATTATAATATGGTTGAAAATTATGACTTCAGATTTGTGTCATTTTTCCCCCTATGTATGTATACTTTTTCCACGTATATGTATAGTTGAACATTTTAGAAATTTTGGTTATGCAGAAGACTAAGTTCTGACTATCTAACTCAAGAGTGGAAGCAAGAAAGAAATAATGAATCAAAGATGGCTAGCCACTACCCACTAAACATTCTTCCTTGCACAAACCAGAAAAAGAAAAAATTTAAAAAGGCGGAATTGTTTTTTGTATTTTTAATTTGTCCCCTAATTATTAATTAATTCTACTAAATTGTCACGCAATAGAATGTTCCATTCTTCGGAGAAAAGGTCTACGGTAGTGTAAGTATGTGTATGGTCACAACACTTGCCAATCGACTATCTACGAATAATTAATAGATTTTTTTTTTTTTTTTTTGTTAAGGGTTATAACGAGTTATCTTCCAAGTAAAAAGAAAATAAGATAGCATTATCTTTCAAATGTTTGACTTTTATAATTTCTTCTAGACAAGGATCATCGTTTAATGGATGAATTGGGTGTGTGATAATGATTTTTTTATCATGAATTTGTGGTGTGATACTGAATTTTAATTCCAAATTGATCCAATCCGATAAAACCCAACCAAAGGAAGAAAATTTGAACCGCTGCCTATATTGGTGACTGTAAAATCCTTAGCTCCAATCAAGATTGGACGCAGAAGCTCCAATAAATATGAATCTAGATCTCGGTCATGATTACCGGAACATCATCTTTGACTCTAAATTGTACACATGACATGAAGAAATTCACTTTATTTTGTCTTAGTTGTCTAGTAAAATATCATAGATTTAAATGTTGAATATCTTATACGACATCAACTTAAATATGTCATGCAACTCAAAATCTGGATGTATGTGGCTTGCATGTCTCACAACTCATCATCATTATTATAATAATAATAGTAATAATAATAATAATAATTATTATTATTACTATTACTATTATTATTATTATTATTATAGATATCTGTTTATGAAGAATGCTACTAGAGGAGTAAAGGAAAGGGAAACGAGTGTCGTACTTGAGATAAAAATTTGGGAACTCCAGATTAAAAATTAACATCACGACGACTCGACCACAACTCCTTCGCCAACATGTCTCACAACTCAATAACAATATCACTTGGTTGTTGTAAACTTTGATATGGGCGAAAAAGGAAAAGGCATTCACCCTTGAGTCAACTAGCATCCTTCCTAGGAAAAAACCAGCACAGCACAAACAACAACCATGTATAAGGTAAAAAAAAATTTACTAACAAAGAAAAATGACTAACTAGCATTCACCCCTAATGATTGATAACCTATGTTTTCGTAATCAGATTGGATATTCAATTTTTCAATCTATCTCACCAAAGAAAATAATTTTTTTATTAAATTCTACTAAGTAATTAGAGTGACATTTCTTAGTGGACCACATAAAGTCGACAATGAGGTTGAGAAATGAAGAAAATGAAGCAGAAATAATATATTAGTAATTAAAGGAGGATGAAAATAGTGAACTAGTAGATCAATCAAATCGTGGTGGTTCATCTTGTTTCATGTCAAACCATTAACAACCGCTCAATCATCCCTAACTGTCCAAGCAAATTAAACAAGCTATGCTATGCATTGTACTATGGTTTGTCGTATCTACTGGTCTATCCGCTGATCTCGTTCGATTCTTATAACGATGATGACAACTAATCGTTCTTCAACTTCTTACCATACCCCCCCCCCCCCCCCCCCCCCCAATTTCTGTATAAATCATGCACCATTCAATCTCAATCACTGCCCTAGAAGAACCTCATCATCCCAATGGTACGAGTTATGCAGTCCCCAAAAAATATAGCAGTTGGTGTGTAGGGTTCTTTTACTTTTACCCATTGCTCTGTGTTGTGTTGTAGCAGTGGGAAGAATTATTTCGGCGATTCCCTCACCTCAACATAATTGTAAATTTGACCTTTTAACTACCTCCATGATGAGAGACAGACAAGAGAAAAAGCAGCAGTTACCTCACCTTCTTCCTTGTGTCTTTGTATGTTTGAGAAATGCAGACCATCTCCTGCTTTCCATCTTTATCAATAACCTTTTCCCCCAATCATACATACACCTAATTTACTTTCCCTGTTCATCCACTTTTATAAGGCTTATTACACATCAACCCCACAGAGTTAAAATATTCGACAAGATTCACCCCGACCCAGTAAAGTAATATCCTCCCTTTTTTTTTTCTTCCTGTGGACGACGAACCCTTGATTTGAATATGGACGATAATTCGCTGCATGCAACCCATGGCAGCAGGAGCTCCTGCTCCCAAGCTTCCATCTGGCACCGTCTTACTTGTTCATTGCCTCCATTTTTTCTTTGCTCTGAACAGACTGAAAGGGAAGTTTTGGTAAATTAAAAAGACGACTATATATTCTTTAGGAATGTACTTGTGTTGACTGTTGCTGCCATTAGTGGGTTATCGATCCAGAGGGAGGTTGACATTAGTGTCCAAATTGTGGAAATTTTTTGCATCTTTCATAACAAACTTAATATATTTTCGAAAAACTTAAGGACTTGAGTCATGCTTGCATTAATATAATTATTATTATTATCATGGCGGATTATGAAGTTATGATATGAATAATAATTATAGGTTTCTGCAGCAAAGAGAATCTAATCTGATCTTTTATTTCAACCAAGGAGCAGAGAGAGGTCCACGCGTAAAAGAAAGAAGAGAGCCTTTTGTTAACTCTTCTTCCTAATCCTACCGCAGCAAATGAGTCTGTGTACGTTTGTGCCTGCCAGTTTGTGTTCCCTTTACACATTGAGAGCTAGCTAGCGAGCTAGCTGCGTTGCATCCACTCACACTACTTAAAATAAAATTTCACGAATTTAATTATTTGGACATTCCTTTTGATTTCAATACATCACCTGCCTTGCCTTTTAAAATCATTGAGATTCAACTTTCGCTTTCCCTTGCAAATTGCAAGCAAGCAGAAAATTCATATTCCATTGTTAAAAAAAATTCATATTCCAAGTCACTATATGTTTTCTCAAATCATTTGGTATGTCATGGATTACATCAACTAGATCGTTATCGTATGTCCAATACAAAATCGATCTTTGCCTGAGCGAGGTTAGTCCGTTTTGGCGTGCATGAGGCACTACAAAAACAAAACAAAAAACCAACTGAAGTGACAATTTAAAATTCAGTCAAATTGTCATTAAAAGGTAGAAAAATGTCACAATAGTGTTATACTGACGTTTTACACAAATGTCACATAAATGTCACGTAATCCAGTGTCACTAACTTCTTTTATGACATTTGTTACAATTGTCAGTACCACTTTTGTGTGACGTTTATTTTACATATTGCGACACTTATAATCGTAGCATAATAACCTCTTTGTGACATTTTAAAGCGTTGTAAGTGATGCAAATAGTGACATTTCTAGAGACATATCAAACTGTTATAGTTAATACCAATAGTGACATGTCTTGTGACATTTCAATATGTCATAGCCCATCTCAATAGTGACATTTATAAGGACATGTTAATATGTCACGATTGATACAAATAGTGACATTTCTCGAGACATTCATAATTGTCACAGTAGATCCCAATAATGACATTTCTAAGGACATATCAAAGTGTCATAGTAAATACATATTGTGACATTTCTCAGGACATTCCAAAGTGTCATGGTTGATACCAATGGTAACATTTACCGCGACATCTGGTAATCATGTTTGACCTATCACACTGGACTACGTACTATATGATATGCAGATGATCGATTAATATTGTGGACATATGAACTAAAATTTTCTTCTGTTTGGAAGCGAAATATCCCCATAACAAGATAGAATATTTAAAGATGCAAGAGATCGAACGAGACACTAGCTATAGACTATGAAGAACCTTTGGGTATAGAAATTCATAGATGTTTTGGTAAACTAGTTTTTATGCTATGGGCACAAGTCTAATTATCAGTTATAGTTAATAGGATGTTAGTACATGAAAATATCATGTTAATACGAATACGATTAGATTAGTCAAGTGGAATCACAACTTGTTTTTGGTTGCTTAATCAAGATGTACAAATAACAAATTAACTAGAGAGCTAAAATCAATGGTGGTAAGTGCTTTTTGCAGTCCGACCAACCAATACGACGACTAGATGAGATAGAATTATCTTCATAATAATTAAGTTCATGTTACTTGATAAATCCAAATTATAAAAGTTTGATTGCACACACAACGTATATTAATTAATTAATTATCAGCAGAGTCGTATTAAAGGTCTCATTAATTATACATCCATCAACTAAATTTGATCAACACTTATGTGATGTGCAATCGTTTTCAAGAATTTTAGCTATGAATTAAATTATTTCATTCAATGCCTTTCGTCCAAGTAATCGCCGGTTCTGTGAGGTAATAAATTCTACAAATCGACTGACTGAGTAAACAAGCTTGTTGGAAACGGGGTAGTAGTTTGCCAATAAAGAAAAGAATATTATATTACGCATTTTTCTTCTTCTTCTTCTTCTTCTTCCGTTTTTGATGTCTCCGTTTGTGGCAGCAATTAACCACACAACAAGTACACTGTTGGTTTCAAAGTCAGTCGTTTATAAGTAAGTAACCAATAAAGTCGGCAGTCCATGAAAACTGGGACTGTTACGTTGTTGTTTCTCTTCCAGACTTGCAGTTATAGGTAGCGGGTTGGCAAACCCAGAGGATACGTGTCATTCCTAGCTAGTCTTGGGATTTCAATTATGCCGTAATTTAGGATTCTGACATGTAATGATGATGATGATCAACGATTTTCTCGTGATGTTAGGGGAAAAAACAAGAATTTTTCATGGAAACTTGTACATATGGTTTGGTCACATTTCCTAAGCCGTAGCCCGTGTTAATTATTGTGATTCTAACTTGTAAGTAGTACGTGGAGGCGGCTGCGACGGGTTTGGCTGGAGGGAGGATAGAACTAAGGTTTAGGTAGATTATATAGAATAATCAGGCGTGGTCACTTTTTAATTTCCAAAAGTACCCTAAAAGAATCTTGACCGTAAGATTAAAAAAGAAGAGAAAACAATTAATCAAATGGTATATAAAGAGGTTGCCACCGTGATTACTAAAAAACAAGTAATCACCCTAACCCATTTCCTTAAGACATTGTAAGGGTTATAAAAAAATTATATAATCTACCCATGTTATCATGATTTTAAATTAGGAGAAATGAAAAATAAATAGTTTCAGGTCACGTCTGGAAAAGAACAAATTAAAGAAGAGCAAGGACTTGCCCGAATTAATGAGTGTATTGGTACGTATGCCATATTTTTCGCCAAAACCCCTTGTAACAACTTATCATAGTTCTAATAGTAAGACTGGATTTCCATTTTTTTTTTTCTTAGGAAAGAGAAATATGAACTACGGCTTGCCTTCCCACCTTACAACATCAAGATGATGATCCATATTGAAGCGATGAAGCAACTTTAAAAACTTCTTCCATATTCAAGAACCAATATTTCAAAACAATAACAAAAACATATCATGCCTTTTTTTCTTTTACGAGGTCTCAACTGACTAAGGCTGGCTATTTGGTCCCGGACTGTTTGGTTTTACCCAAAACTGGACCGTATAACCCGGACCGGGACCGGATAGCAAACAATGCAATCTCATATTCAGGCTTAGATTTGACGTAAAAACCCGGATAAAGACCGGATAAGAGACCCCCAACACCTAAAATCAAGATAAAATTGGGATCGGACCGGGTCAAGACCGGACTGTATCCAATCCAATCTTTGGTCCTTATATTCCCGAAAAGACCGGACTAAGACCGGATCAATTTGGTCCAATTTAACCGGACCGGATCGTATAGCCACCCCTATAACTGACCCATACTACTCAGAAAGATACTTCGTGCTACCCATCCCATATCATGGACAATACTTGTTTTAGAATTAGTTCCGAAGTAAAGTATCCAAATTTTCTTAATTCATTTTGATTTGCCTTTATTCCAGTTTTTTCCCCTACATTCTCCTTCATTTTGGCCCATATTTTAGTGACTTTTTTCCTCCTAATACTTTTCTGAGTTCCAGATAAAATTCCATCATCATGATTAAAGAAGAAAAAACCTTAACAAAATTTCTTAAGTTAAGCATGACAGTCAGATTCCAGTGGCAAAACATGATCAACATGAAGAATTTGAAGTTTAAACCAAGACCCTGCCATTATTTGTCATATTAACGCGTGGAAATACTAACCATGTTAATTAACAAATTGAACTATACCCAAGTAATGCGACAAACTGCCACCAGCTCCTATTTTCTATCGAAATCATTACTCTTCTAGTCTCCTCCCCATTCCCAAATCACAAAAATAGAAATAAAATAAAAAGCCAAGAACCTTTTTTCCTAGCCCTAAAGAAGGAAAAGCAAAAGTGGAGGAAAAAAAACTAAAGAAAGAAAATAGCCGCAAAACAAACCTCTCAGTCTGTGTGTTTTTTTGGTTTTGATTTCAAACCAGGTGACATCATGTAGTGACATTTATGACACAATAAGCTGCTTCTTCCCCACCCGTCTCACACTCTTTCATAATTAAAAAGTCTCCTTCTTTCCTTCCACACCCAACTCCCAAATTCTGCTTCTATAAATATCGGCATTTCTTCCATATTTCTCTAAACCATCCCACCAAGTGTTCTCACTGACAACATCATTAAACCAAAGAAAAGACGATTAAGGTGGGGAAATGGAGAGAATTAGCTGCAACAACAACAACAACAACAACAATGGCATGATCAACATTAGCAATGCTAATGCTAATCATGTTCATCAACAACAACAACACCAGCAAAACGTGGTGTCTCCAATTTCGGTGCCTTGTTATTCCAGCTACAACTCCCCCTCTCCTTCTCCACCTTCCCACCACTCTTCATCTTCCACTTCTCCCACCACCACGACTTTTGCTTCTCCTGTTTCCAACAGAGCAGCGGCTGTCAGTAACAATCAATCTTCCTCTGAAACTGCAAATGGTGGTTTTCCTCCGTCTCCTCCTCATCACCATCAACAGCATGTGATTCTCAGCCCTTGTGCCGCCTGTAAGATCCTCCGCCGCCGCTGCGTCGACAAGTGCGTTCTGGCTCCTTACTTCCCTCCCACCGATCCCTTGAAGTTCACCATTGCCCACCGCGTCTTTGGTGCTAGCAACATTATCAAGTTCTTGCAGGTATTATTAATTACTTCTCATACGCACTATATATTCTACATTACGAAAAATATCGAATTTTGATATGACAAAATTTTCGTCTTATGCATAGCTTACGGACATGCACAATACTCGTAGATTATGTTTTTCTTTTCTAAAATCACGCATAAACGTTAATTAATTTTCGTCAATTGAGTTTTCAGTTTAAAATTCTGCAATTTTATTGAACGACATGTCAAGAAATTAGAAAAACACAGGATAGTCTAGTGATGATAAGCCTTGGAATTCTTCTCCATAAATGGTTGACCAATTGTTACCTATCTAAACCGTTAATTGTGGGGTTTTTTAAGGGATTTCTTTTTTCGTGACCGACTTTTTCTGTGTCTTGTCAACTATAGTTACGGTTTCTTCTTCTTCTTCTTCTAATTTGCTTTCTTCAACTTAAGCAAGCTGCCCTCAACTGCTTTATTGGACTCGATCGCAAAAAAAGAGAAAGAGCTTTCACAACCTGCATGGTGGTCGTCCTTTTATATAATCTAACTGTTTAACCTATATATAGACTCAAATAATGTTTGAACTAATTCCCACCAGATCATGATTATGACTCCATCAATCTACCCACCGTACCTTTTTTAATATAAAAACGACATGAAAAAATAAATACCAGGACCCAACAGAAAATAATGTTAAAGAAACAAAAGTCGGCAAGACGAGATTTTTAGAGTGTGTTCAAATAAGGTTGGGCACAATCGGGTTCGTCCTCTGTTATACTGCTTCCTGTCTTAATCAAGTAGTAATAATTAATTAGCAGCTAAAGCAAGCATTTAATTATTAGGATCATGGAGACACGATGATTGATAATGATGACTTAGTTGGGTAATTAAATTATTATTAATCGTGTGTTAATTAATTAATAATGAGGTTTTTATGTTTTAACATTCTATCATTATTATTCTCAGGAGCTCCCGGAGGCGCAGAGGGCGGACGCAGTGAGCAGCATGGTGTACGAGGCCAACGCCCGGATCCGGGACCCGGTGTACGGCTGCGCCGGAGCGATCTGCCAGCTCCAGAAGCAGATCGGCGACCTCCAGGCCCAACTAGCTAAGGCCCAGGCCGAGGTCGTGAGCATGCAGACCCAGCAGGCCAACTTGGTGGCGCTAATCTACATGGAGATGGCCCAGACGACGTCGTCGCTGTCAAATCATCAAGAGCAACAACAACAACAACCCATGATCTTCACCGACCAAACGGCGTCGTTGTCACACCAGCACCTCCAATCCAACAGCAGCATTGACACGGCTTGTTTCCTCGACGAGACCAACTTGGGCGCGTCCTGGGAGCCGCTCTGGACATGATCATGACGATTAGCTGCCTAATTAGCCGGAAGTTTGCTGATTAATTTTACGCCTAATTATTAATCAGTATGGTTTCCAAGGCTTTTTAATGTTATGATAATTTGATGTGGTGGGCCCCACGAGGAAGAAAAAATTTAAAGGAAGAGGTGGGGGGAAAAAGAGAAGAAAGAGTACTGGATCCATACCGTATACAGTTTATAGTGGGAGGAGAAATAAATAATAAGGGAAATTAATTTGAAGTAACTTAATTATTATTATCATTACAAACAAGAAGGTTAGTTATGGACTTTGGAAATGTGTCAGTTTGCAAATGTTGACTGGGGGACCTTTCTAGAGAAAGGGACAATTAATTGTATGATAATGTTTCATTGTGAGGTAATAATTTTATTATAGAGGAGGGATTATAATTACAGGTCTGGTCGCCTGGGAAACAATTGTAGTCTGATCAGTTCTTATGAAATGAAATATTACAGATGGACAGTCAAAATATATTGAAGGATAAGCAAGACATTGATTCTTACTTTCATCTGACATTGTTCCCGGTTTAATTTTTTTTTTAAGGATGATCATAATTAAAAAAATTCTTCATTCACATGAATCGAAAATTAGCACGGTAGTAGAAGATTTTACCCCAAAAAAAAATGTGTTCTAAACTTTGAATTTGTAAGATGTTAAACTCCAATTATCATTCTTATCCGAAACAAAACTTATTTGTAGTTTTCATAACATAGCTAGCAAATTATTGATCCATCAAAATAAAAGTAATTAATAATTGTTGCAAATATTTTATTTATCAAGCTTACCTATATGTATATATACTATTACAGTCAATTAAAAAAAAAAAAAAAACAAATCCTCAAACCAAAAGAAATCAATCTCAAAATCTAGCGGACCAAAATATAGCAAATCCGATTCAATTCAATTATAAACAAATTGTAAGGTTTCAATTGATTTAGATGAATTTGAATTTAACTATTTTCAAAATCAAATTATATGAATCGAGTAATTAAAACTAATAAATCAAAACCACCCAACTCATAAGATAGAAATTGAACTAGAAACCACAAACCATTTCTCTAGCTAACTTGACAAGCTAGCTAGGCGAGGCGCCACCATGACTCGAAAGTTCAATTATGATTCTAGCTTTGCCCAATTGCCCCCACTTCTCAAAGTCAACTCACAATTATATGTATAATAGCTTTAGATATTAACTTTCCTTTTCCTTTGCAAAAAAAAAAAAAAAAAAATTATGACCAAAGCAAAAGCGATAAAAGATCGAAGAAAGCTTTTTAGGAGTACTGTCATCTAGCTAGCGAATAATAAAGCTGAAACTTATCTTCATTGTTGCTGTTGTTGAGCCTACTTGGGTTTTTAAAAATTAAAACTTTGTTTATGTTCGAAAAAAGAGCTACCCGATTCAGTAAATTGACAGTGATCTGAAATTCTAAATTAATTCCCGACGTAAAAAGAAGAAAAATAAAAGTAGAGTTACTTAAATATGTGCTTTCTGGTCCAAAAAACATGCATGGAAGATAATATCTTTAAATGAATTATTATCATATCATACATCATAGCTCGTTACATTACATATGTGAATTTCAATTTTCTCAACCACTGAAGGAGTGAGAACGCGGCATTGTACGTCCATGTTTTTATTTATCGATTTTGATTCATTTGAGTTGGTGCCACGTGCAAGCTGCATGGTTTGATATTATTATAGAGCTTTCCCAGACATTCTGTCGGCATCACAATTCTACTGTCCTTCACCTCTTCCTGTTTTGTTTTTCTTTCAAATAATTTAGTGGGGTTTTTTCTTTGTGTAGACTGTAGGGGTTAATTTGAAGAAGAATCAAGGCAATTATGGTAGAAGAGGAAATTGGAAAAGCATGTAAATGATACGAGAAAAAATTACTTGAAAGAATGAAAAGTGGGTTAAAAAGCGTAATAAGTTGGATTTTTATTGTTTACGAAATAGTACAATTAATATTGCTCCATAATATAGGCACATCAACTAATAGTACGAGTAATTTTGCAAGAAATGATTATATGTTGCTGTTGTCTGGGAGGAAAATGTCATTCGTATACATTATTTAAATAATCATTACAGTGAGTTGTTCATATTCAGTCGGGGCGAACCGCTTAAACAATAGATTGTTGCGTACTAAATAAATCGAGTTAATCAGATTGCATTTTAGACGGATTTACATGCATGCCCTTAATTTTTAGCTAAGCATAGGATGCTTCTCATCATTTTTCCAAATCAAATCATATCTGTCGTGGGAAGAAGGTGCCGATCAGCTTGAATCAAATTGGTCAACGTCTAAACTGAAACGTAACATTATTGTGATTGTCCTCCTTGGACAAGTTAAATAATTATGACTACAAAATGCCTAGACTAGGTGAGCTTCGTGGTGCATGTGCGTGGAAATAAATAACATTCCAGCAGTAAGTGCCAATTTACAATCAATTGAGCGTAGGACTATAGTGAACAAATACAAAGAAAAAAATTGTTTACCAATAAAACTTTGACAACTGAAAATTCTGCAGTTTGATCATCGAATCAGTTGTTGTGGTTTGAAAGAAGAGACATATCGACGACGCAAGTCAAGAGAGCATGGACCGCTGGCTGGCTAGCGTGCGTATGAAAAATTGTTAATAGTAATCCAGAAGATAATTAGTGTAGGGTATTTATGTATATAGCGTCTTTTATTTATGAGTTTTGACCCACTAAGTACTGTAGGTCTCTATCTAATTACATCATGATAAGTTAATATACAGCGACACACAGGAAGGTACAAAGCGTAAGAGAGTGATATAAGATCATTTATAATCACAATCGAATTATTACGATCAATGGATAATGACTTATGAGATAGAAGAATGAAAAGTAACCTTTAGTCTAGTTGGATGTTTGTTGGAAGGAAATGTTAGTATATATATGGGCATTTGTCATGATAATGTGAGGTAATGGGATGAATTCCTCTTTGACATGGTGTCGGATATTTAATCCAAGAAGTGATCTATCGTGTTAAAATATCCATGGTCTCTAATATCAATAGTTGATTTAGACACTGTCATAAACCAGTTGGTCCCAATAACTCGAGTTGTTGGGAAAAAGGTTATGCTGGATCTTATACCACACTCTAACAAACACAACATATGTAAATTTCATATAAAATTTCAATACGTATACTGGTTGGCTTTCGTTTAACGAACATATAAAAATAACATGAAATTCATTACATAAACTCAGCGAATGGAATTATTGGAATAGATTGGTTTTTCTCAAGTGTATTTAATTTGGATATCTATCTATCTATCTAACCGATTGAGACTTATGATTTGGGCATTTATACGTTGGATGGCAGTTCCTGCACGATCAATAACTCCTGATTTAATTTAGGCCACCTTCATCACACAACATGTGGCCACTTCATTGAGTCTTGTTTCTCGTTTGCACTTCTACATTTATTTGAGGTAAAAAAACGTTTACCAGAGAAGAACACAGTACAATAATAAATGGGATAGCGGAAGGATCGTTGTGTCTTGGTGTTTTGGTGTACGGCTGGTCGTTGAGTTAATGTGGTAGTTGGTATATGGTCTTCTCCGACCATGGCTGCATATTTATGTTACAAGACTAACCAGTAACCACTTAATTATCAACTGCCAGATTAATTGTGGCGATCGATCGATTTACAGGCAGATTTAGCCTTCAATAACGTTGTATGTTTATAAAGCACGTCCTTATTAATCTTGAGAAATGCATGGGATTATTATTAGCTTCTTGTGTTCACATATCCATGCATGCACATATATGTTTTAATCTTGTTCACTTGTTGTTAAAGACCGCGATAAAATTTCAACCTGGATATTTTTTTTTGGGTGATATGGGTACTTTATTTTCTCCATATCCAACCCGAGTTTTCTACTATACATTCGTATATATCTTTTTGTATGGAGGATTATTCTCATTGTTTTTCTCTAACTTATTCTATTATTTATGTGCATATATTTCTATATAACATTGCAATTACGCAGTCATACTATCTTCTATTAATTCTCTCATATATTGGTGATTTTGTACCTTTTCCACTTGTCTCGTAGAAATATATTGGTACAGTAATGAAATGTTTAAGGTAATCTCTCCCAAAAATTCGAATAATTGAGACATCGTATCAGAGCCGGTTTGTTCTAGAGTCATATGTTCAAGTTCTCACATCCCCCGATATTAACCGTTGTCTTAAAGCACACGGTATATGGAGGTCTGTGCAAAATCCAAACTCATATGATCAGTTGCCTTTCGTTTGAGGCATATAAGGAACTGGTTAAGATAAGATTAATTCATACATGAACATATTCCTAACAACTCGATTTATCGCAACCAACCGACTCTAAGAGTTCCAAATTAGTCATTAGCCCCCATAGTAAAGAGTGATTTTGTCTTATTATGGGGTTGTTTGCCATCATTATCTATGGACATTTCTCATCTGCAGCCAAACAAATATAACCCATATATATTTATCGGCAACAAAGTCGTAGTTTCAATTTCTACCAAAACAAAAGGTCATATAATTTCAATGCGAGATCAATTAATTTAACTAGGAGACATGATGAACTTATGATGACGCTACTTATACGTAGCTATTACAAGCCCCAAAAGAGTGTCGACGCCATTGCTCACTTGTTCAATATAATTGGCCAATTGATCGTCCAAATTGCAGTACTATACCATTTTTTTTTATACCTAATACACATAAGCCGTTAAAAAAGCTCATCGGAAAGTCTGCAGCGTGTTGACGAACAGGCAACCGAATGTCAACTCCGACAAAGATCGTCGCTTGTTCCTCATTGGCCGGCGACTTCTGTTCATCGTCTTTTATTGCTTCTTTATTTTCTTCAATAAAATTAATTTATCCTGTACGTCCACCTAACAAAATTTGGCAAGTTTCGATCATCATCCATCTGATCTCAAGTGTTTGCCAGAATAATATAATGCATATAGGCATGCAATTAGATTCTTTCTCTAACTAATTAACTCATCATTGCACCGAACCACAGGAGGAAGGAAATTCGCAGTGGGAATGTGTGATGTTTGAACACCCAGAAATAGAAGCTAATCCCTTTTTCCACTTGACATTTTGCATTGAATTCCAGCCCACTTTCGTTTTATAAGATTGATGATATGAATAAATATGATCACTGGACGACTAATTAAAGGGATTCTACCAATTTGACCCACTTGTTTTCGTTTTTGGTCTGATTCTACCAATTATTTTAGTATATATTTGTGTAAATGGGTGAGACTATGGCATCATGCATGCATGGGACAAGGTTGAGTTCGTTCTCGTGCACATTAATGTGAGTAAACAAAACTGTGAGTGAGCCACAGTGTGGTGAATGTTATCATTTTCGTATTAATATGTTATCATTTTCGTATTAATCACTTATTCTGTTACAATTGAAATTCATAAGATACAAAGTTAAAACGAACACACACTTGTTGAGTAGTTAAGCTGTTTAGGACTACGTACGGATGCATATCGGATCCTGCTCGTTGATGGACCTCTGAGCCCAAACCTTCTTATTGGGCCTCCCGTAGTCGTCTTCTTTCTTCGTTAATGGACTTCCATCAGCTCCCTTTCCTTGTGATTGGGGCCGTCAACAGGGGGGGATTTTTAGTTAGCCAACTGAGATCTCAACTCATTTTTAGCTTAAGTGACTCTTTTTTTTTTGGTTAAAGACACATTTGGTCACTGAGATTACAAAATCGGGACATGTTTAGTCACTAGAAAAATTTAATATCAAATTTGGTCACTACAATTACTAAAACTGGACGCATTTAGTCACTCGCCGTTAGTCTCCGTCCAACTCCGTTAATGAAGTCCGTTAAGTGCTGATGTGGCAAACAGAATTGCCTAATCAGCCGGATATTAACCCAACAAAAATAAAACCCGACCCGCCACGTCATTATAACCCGCCACCTCATTAAAACCAACCCAACCCAACCCATCACCCAACCCTTCTTCCTCCTTCCTCCCCAACCCAATTTAGGGTTTTCCCCATTAATCTGCCGGCCGCCCTTCCTTCATCTTCTTGAGGAATGTGGCGGTGCCGGCTCGGAGCTCGGTGGTGAAGCAAGTGTTCCGCTCATCGAGTTTGAATTACTTCCCGACTCTGCTTCCGGCCACGTAGTTGTTCAGTCGAGTTAAAATGGCCGACTCTGCTGCAATGGCGGAAACCCCCAGATCGCAGCAGACGGCCTTGTCGCAGGTGGCCGACGCGTTCGAGGAGCTGGCCGATCACCTGGCAAAATCCAGCCGGAGAAACAACGACGCCGGATCGCCACAACAAGAAGAAGAAGAAGATGTAGAAGGAGAAGAAGAAGGAGAGCCGGAGCTTCGATTGAATTCCTTCTGTCAGGCATGCTCTTTGATCTCCGCCCTCTTCAGCTGCCTCGGTCTCGCTTTCAAATTCGCCGAGACAGAGTACGTCGCCAAGGTCCACATTCTCTCGTCTCTCTCTCTCTCTTCTCTTCTCCAATTTCTTCACCCCGGCGGCGATCCATTTCAAAGTGCGGTTTATCGCGCCGCCTGATCTCATTCTTCGTCTTCTTCGGAATAATCTATACCTCCATCTGTCCCTGCTCCCATGGATTCTTCGACACTAGTTCCCAAAAACAGAGCCCCCGCAAAAATCCGAACTCAAGTTAATGATTCAAACAGAGAACAACCAAATTGCTTGGTACTTGGTTCAATTCATTGAGTTCTCCCCCAACGCAAATTTCCCTTTTTTTCCCTCCCAATAATGTCCATACGCGCAATCTAATGGCGACGCCTCCTTTACGAAAAGGCAACACCTCCATTTTAACTCGACTGAACAACTACGTAGCCGGAAGCAGAGTCGGGAAGCAATTCAAACTCGATGAGCGGAACACTTGCTTCACCACCGAGCTCCGAGCCGGCACCGCCACATTCCTCAAGAGTCAAGAAGATGAAGGAAGGGCGGCCGGCAGATTAATGGGGAAAACCCTAAATTGGGTTGGGGAGGAAGGAGGAAGAAGGGTTGGGTAGGGTTGGGTGATGGGTTGGTTTTAATGAGGTGGCGGGTTATAATGACGTGGCGGGTCGGGTTTTATTTTTGTTGGGTTAATATCCGGCTGATTAGGCAATTCTGTTTGCCACATCAGCACTTAACGGACTTCATTAACGGAGTTGGACGGAGACTAACGGCGAGTGACTAAATGCGTCCAGTTTTAGTAATTGTAGTGACCAAATTTGATATTAAATTTTTCTAGTGACTAAACATGTCCCGATTTTGTAATCTCAGTGACCAAATGTGTCTTTAACCCCTTTTTTTTTCATCCCTGATTTCCTCCATAACGTGGATCTTTCCGTTGCCACAGCTGGTTGTAGTTGAGACCTTCAAATACAAGCGTTTGGTCAATCCTTGTTCATGCTTACGAAATTTGCTACAATGTTGAACGGTGTTGGATCGCGCCTCGTGCATTTTCACCCGTCCTACGCGTAATGCCATCCACTTTCGTGCACGATAAGAGGCACGATCCAGCATATTAAACTCAATTGCTTGCTTGGACAGGATCTTTTTCGGCAGGACAAGAACAAATGCTATAACTACAGAACTAACTTTAAGGAATGCATCCAAGACTGACAGACAAAAAAACAGTACGGGCAAGAGTACTACCTGTAAGTATCTTTTATGATTCTAAAATTAAAGTAAGCATGCATACATATATACAGCTCATTTCACAAAATTCAGAACAAAACATGTTAAAAACCTGATGGATACAGGATTGTTTACAAAAATGAGACTTTTGAGTCTGGGAAGATACAAAGAGATATCAATGTGTAACCCATGGAGAGTCCTGCCACTGTAACGGTATAGCAAATGAGCTTGAAACAAAGAGGAAGATGTAAACTGAGTCGAGCAAAGGGGAATCGTCGACGGATGATGAACTACGCTGCTGAAAAGCACAAAAATTTTCCAGCCACTCGATGGACAAAAAACCTGGAGGCTCTGGTTTATACAACTACATGACATTTTCTTCTAGCCGGCACTGGTCAACTTCTTCTGAGACAGATCCTCGCTTGCTGCTGTTTCCTCGCTTTTGGTCATGGCCTTCCTTGCCAGCTCATAGCCAGCAAAGTTCATGGCACCCAGGGGAGCGATCCAGAAAAACCTTGGCACTGCTCCCTTGAATAGCCCAAGGGGGCCCTCGCGGCGGAGTATAGAGTAAGCAACCATTGACATTGGTAGTTGTCTTCCTCGAGGGGCCGTCATCATTCTTGTCTTCATCACGTCAAAAGGTGTCGTTAACACAGCGGTCAGTCCACCAGATAAAGCTCCAACGGTGATTGTCTCCCAAGGTTCCAGCTCTCGCCTCAGCATTTGTTGAGCAACCTTGAGAATATAAATATGTTCGTTATGAAGAGAGCACAAAGACTGCAAGTTCAAGACTACGAAAGAACATTCAAAGCTACTAAGGTAAAGGGTTCCCCAGCTACAATGCCTCTTTTGTCTACCAACGGGGCCATGGCTCAGTCCTCTCTCCCATGTGAGCTATAACCAAGTAACTAATGTAATGGTAGATAGTTTGATAGTTTGTTTACTAACAAGGAACAAGTAACTGAGTATAATTCTAAGAGGAGAGAAATTGGATAAGACCTTTAAGTTTAAAACAATTTATGGAATTAAGGTGAACAGTTGTGTTAAAAACATTAGATTGGAATGGTCAGGAAAAAAAGTTAGATTGGAAAAGGTTATTTGTTTTAGGAGCCAACTCTTTTTTAAGTTATTACGCCTATTTTCTGACCAAAACAAACACACCATATTTGTCTTTATATGGCACTTAAGAAACTGCAATGCTCGAGTAAGGTAGCGAAATAATTCCTAGATGCTTATTGCGCAACAAAACAATAGACTTACCTTTTTGGATTCTTCGTAAAGGGCCATGCCAACCACATAGAATGGGATTTCACGGCAAAGGGTAGCCCCGGTACCACGAAAGAAACCCTTTAGACCATCTTGTTGCCAAGTACCCACAATTGCTTCTCCCACGTTGTCAAAAAGACCAGCCTGCAAACGCTGCTTCAACACCTCACAAGGAATTCTCACTGCCGTCCCCAAAAATGTGCTACAAAATGATGATATCGATTGCACCTGCAGAGCACATTCCATATCATATCAGTACCCCACCATCGTATGCTCTAACATGATTGTTTTAAAAAAGTTTCCATCATAGAAAATGGTAATGGCCTGCTGCAGATACACAGTAGAAGTCTATGAGCTTAGAATTTCATCTGAGGGAACATGCACCTTGCAACAGAACGAGAGCTTTTAAAGTCTTATGTAAATGCAGATATCAACAGTCAGGAGCATGGCCCTCTAATCCACTCACTCACAAGTTACTAACTAGTAAGCAGTCAAGGGGGAGCAGTCTCCTATAGTTGGAATACTCAATGACGAGACTGCATGAACCAGGCACCCATTATTTTAAGCTATTTCTGTGAACAAAGGGCAGCATGGCTGGAGAGAGGGAGCCACCACCAATGACTTACTGCTACAAATAGTTATAAAGATCAACAATATCATGCCAATCAGAAATCAATCCACTTAGTCAGAGCAATCTATTTAATGGTTATATTGTTATGACCCTATCTCATTTCAAATACGCACTGCTACTTGCTGATGATATTGCATTCGAGATATTTCCACCGTTATCAAAACTAGGGGTGGAAATCGGTACGGTATCGGTATCCCAATACCAAATACCGAAATACCGAATACCGAATTACACCCTAAAATCAATCCCAATCCCAATCCCTAAATAATTTCGGTATCCCAATCCCAATCCCTAAATAATTTCGGTATCCCAATCGGTACCTCGGTATCCCAATCGGTATTATCGAATACATAATTAATTACCTTTGCAATTAATAATTAAATATATAAATTAGATTTTATTGTTTAATTTAGGGCATAGAGACTAAACAAATAGTCTTGAGTTGCCTAGAGCTAACATCTCAAGTTCTTGTAATTGGTAATCTTTAATTTGACGACTTTGAGGTTGAGAGACGACTAATATTAGTGTGAAATAGTGATGTAATGATCTATTTATAATTAAATGACACTTTTGGTGGTTGAGGGTCGCGTAGTAGTGAATGAGAGAGTCTAGTTGAGAGGATAAAATACACACTAGCTTATATTTCGGTATTGATCGGTATTTCGGTATATATACCGATCCCAATCCCGTAATCCCTAATACCGAATAACAAATGAAATTCAATCCCAATCCCAATCCCATAAAATAATACGTGTATTCGGTAATACCAAATATAGACAAATTCGGTACGGTATTCGGTATATCCCAAATACCGGTACCAAACTTCCAGCCCTAATCAAAACCCAACAGTGGCCTTCGAGAAACAAAAAACTGGCAGTTTGGTACAAGTTCCTATCACTTAATACCAAAAAAAAAATATTGTTACCTGGATGTCTGGGAGAGTGGGGGCAACATTGATCAGCACAAGTTTACTAACTTCATATATCCCCGTCCGCAGGCCATGGCTGCGAAGGATATTAAGCAGCATCAGCAAGATTCATACCACCAGCTATGACTCAGCAAAAAGGCTACAAATGCAATAGGAAGACATCAATAAACAGACCTGGAGAACTGTCCCACAATTGCAGGTATAGAACCCCGGTATAATCCTTGGACTCCAACTTGTGGAAGCTTCGAAATGATTTCCGGGAATGTCAAAGTTGAAGCTTGCACACGAGTCTAATATATACCATAGAAAAGAGCTGACTTGAATGAGCAAAACAAAAAAAAGGGAGCCAGAACAACACGAGTACACTGCATATCCTTTGAATAATTGAGAAACACGTTTGTCAATCATCGCAAAAGTGTGCAATATTGAAGTGGGGAAGTCCACATTTTTCCTTTTTCCTCCACAACATCTCCAAATTGCATAGAAAAAACAGATTAATGTGGGCTAGGCTCCAGCAATAAACTCCCTATAGGAATCTGGAAGAAAAGATGCAGAGTTGTGTATTTGGTGGAAGTAAGAAGACAAAGCTGACATTCTATCTTTACATATTTGCACAAGCACTATTTTATCAAGGAACCCTATATATCCACAACTTTGCGAAAGGGAGCAAAGAGGCAGGGGATTTCTTGAGCTATCTTATGTCCTACTAAAAGGAGCCGGAATCATATTGCTGCCACACATTTTCAGTAAGTGTGCAGTTTCATACTCTGACAACTACAAGGCATAGCTAAATTAATATTCTCCACAAGTGCTCACCTTTACAGTATCAACAGGATGCATCAGAGATGTGGAAAGTGCACACGAGAGACCCCCAGCCAAAGCAGACCGTAAAACACTTCCAGCCGGTATTTCCACAGGCGGAGCAACAGCAACAACAGTTGCAGCTTCAAACCATATGCTCCTACAATAGTAAAACAAGCCATCTAAGTTATGCAACCCAGGAACCTTCAGAGCACTCATTCTACTAAAAGCAAACTGATGAATCTCAGTGGTTTTCCACTTCACCTACTGGGTTAAGGAGCTATCTAGTTTCGGTGGCAAAGAATATCTAGAGTATAAAGACGGGAAGTTAACTGCTAGTACACAAGATGGCACTTATTCTAAGACAAGAGTAATTCATTTGGTTTTCAACCCTACATACTGCTTCACTTGACTCCCTCATCCGAAGAATCTACAGAGGAAAAGTGTATGGAAATAATCTTCAATAATTCTACTATTCTTTCTCTAAAAGGAGAAAAGGAATCCACTAATTACAGGAGTTTAAGCAATGGGTTAAACACGTACAAAAGTAAATGGGCACATGGCCAAAATGATATGCAATGATTATCCCTCTATATCAAGGAATACAATAAAATGAAGGTTTTCGTATTGTTTTCCTGCCTTTTACTCACAACCATGCTACCAAACGTATCATTCTCCACAAAATAGAGGACCAAAACAAAGTTCATTGGTTGAATATATTTATGTACATGAATGACAGTGTGAAGGAAATTATGTGGAATCGGACTGCATTTCTTAAACAAAATAATAATAGGAGCTAAGGAGAAAATAGCCAACCTGGGATCATCTTGAAGACGATCAGAAGGCAACAAAAGCATAAAATTCCTAAAATGCCCATAAGAGATAGATTCTTCTGCATCTTCCTTCAGGAATCGCATCATAGCCATAGCATTCTCCTCATTAGCTGGAAGTCCAGCATTTTCAAGTGATGCCAGTATTTCGCTCCTTTTTAGGGTACCAGACTTGCTCAAACAAAGAGAAGTATATGCACGAAGAATAGTTGGTTCCCTCTGTTCCATCAGTGACAGAAACTGCTTCCAACCAAAAGATTTTGAAAATAAATGACTTCTAGCACGGCGCATGAAGTCTCTAGCATAATTCCTGGGTAACTTCCTCTTTCTCATAGCCATTTCAAGATCTTCCAGAGTCACTTGACCATCACTATCTCTATCCAATTCCTCAAAGAATCTCCTTCCTGTAATCATTCATCCACTAAAATAAGAGAAAGACTCTGACAGAAAGAGAATATTCAAACCACAGAGAAGAAACAAGATCATAGCAGAAGCCAGACTTGCTAGGCCAGAAAAGCGTCAGAGCTCAGACAGACATTAGCAAGCAAGGCAATTATTCACCCAGTTCACTGAAACACTGGCAAAACTAAATGAAATATCTATGAGCTTGATAGTTAAGTATACCTTCAGACTCTGTGTATCTGAAAAAATCCTGTACAGAGAACAGCTTTTTCTTGTCAGGATGATCTTTGGAAGCCCTTCCCAGTTGTGGGACAAGCTCCATTAACTCTGTCAATGAGACGGTAGATAAGGTTGATCTCAAACGTTCCACATTGGACAAGGGAATACTGAGTAAACCACCTGCCAGCAGCTTCTGAGGTAAACCACTCCCGGTCTCTTTGGTACTGCCAGCATTGGCACCATCATCGCCTTCTTCGTTCACTGAAGAAGACACCCCAACGATAGTCGGGGGAACACTACCAACTCTTGCAAAGCTTAAGTTCCCCAAAAATCCATTCACCTCTATCCTGCGAGCCTCCCAAAGGCTCATGAAAGCTTTCAGGTGGTCAAAATGTGAGGTTACCGGTGGTTGGTTTGAACACTCGCAATAACAAGACTTGTTCTCATTCTCCTGCAAACTCTGATCCAATTTCTGTAGATTATGAACTAGATGATCAAACAGAAAACCTATAAGACATTCAACCGATACATGCTTCCCCTCTTTACCATTCCCATTCCAGTTCTGCTTGTGAAGAACTTTTACATACTGAGCGTTCGACTCTCTTTGCTTCAGTCCATCCTCGATGGGATTGGACCCTTGGTTGCACAGCTGCAGATTAACTTTGTCATCATCAGCCACTTTAACCACCCTTTTCTTGCTGTTCTTGAAAGGAACAGGGAGCGCTTGAACAAATCCATTGACCAACACGGACCAAGTGACAGCAAACTTCAAGCAGTTTGTACAAGAGTCATCTAAGTTCCCCTCTCCCTTCCCTTTGCTCCCCTTCTTTGACACCTCAGCCTTGTTGCCACCATTGCGCTTACGCTCTTGCTCCAAATTAGGGGAAAACAACCCCAGCAAAGCTCTAACAGGAACTCTGATGGATAAACCTTTCTTCCTCTCTTCAGCCATACCACCACAACCACCATTACAGGCACTCTTCTTCTCCACGGCAAGGATCTGTGCGTTGCTGTGAACACCATTCCCACCTTCCCCGCAACTCAATTCGTGCATAAAACCCTTGTCATTATTCCAACCGCCGCTCCCCCAGCAGTTTTCAAGATCTCTAGCAGCTTTTCGGATTCCCAACTCGAAGGGCGTAAAAGCGTCCCTCACCAATTGAATTGAATTGAGGAAAGGCTCCATCGGGTCATTTCCAGACACCATTACTAAACCAAAAAAGAAAGTCCCCAACACACAACAAGAATTCTTCCCCACTCGCTAGCTTCTCCCAATCTGCTTACAAAAACTTCATACCCCCAAGAGCTCGAAATTCCCACGCAAACCAGGCGAAAACAGAAGAATCAACGGAGTTGCAGGCAATCAATCCACTGAATACTTGAACCGAGAGAACAGGCGTCGCTCTGGTGAAATGAAGTAGGAAAACAGAGCGCCAAGGTTATCTTGATGATAATTAGTGTTCAGAGTGATGAGGAAGAGCAACCGCCAGAGTAGGTCGTGAGATCCATCGGCGAGATTGGAAGCCTATCTGGAGGGAAGGTGATGGACGGTGGTTCGCCGGCTGGTCGAATGGGAGAAGGCTTGGTGTGTAATGAAACGAAGGGCATTGGGAATCGGAAAAGATGAGACTAACTGAGAGGTCGGAGCTATGAGTTTCGTTCTTTCTTTCTTTCTTCCTTCTTTTTTTCTTTTTTTAAACTGTTGGCTGTGCTGATTTGGATTTATGATTTCCATTTATATATTTCATTTTTATTCTGTTGTTTGTTTTTTGTCCACTTTATTTTCTTTATGTTTTTGGCTATTGGAGTGGATAATTCTGTGTCTCGGCCCTCGGCGGCTCTGTCTGTCTGTCAGTTTATATTTTGGATTTTGTAGTAAACAGATAACGAAGCAGCGATGAATTCCTATCCTCATTTACTCCTTTTTCTCTAATTCAATTATTGGCTTGATTTCCCCCGTTTCTTAATTCTTTTTTCAAGGAAATGGATAACTTGATAACCTAAACAACAATGAGTAAGGTAACTTCATCGAGTAATCGTGACATTGAATTTTGAACTTAAAAATTCTGATTTCAAACTAGGAATAATAAGGGAGCAGATCGAATCAGGGCATTTTCATATTTATATTTGTCAAGATAACAAATTGAATTCGAATAAGGTGATTTATCATGCAGTCATTGCAGTGTGGATCGAACAGATTGATTCATATGAATACGTAATTTAAAGAAAAATTATTAAAAATAAACTAATGGATATACCCCATTAATGAATTCATTATCTTATCCACAATCAAATACATTCTGCCCAATGTACCAGGTTATCATCAATGGCTTCCCTGTGCAGCTACCTACCGAACAAAGCTTTTATTTATTACATAGGGTTCCACTAATTAAGAAGAAAAGCACCCTCCACCTACCCATAATTAACTGGGGTTTACTCGTATAACGAGATTATGAGACTGCTGAAGTGATATGATATAACTCAATGATTCATGTCCATACTTCAAAAACATAGTTTTCAGTTTTCACTGTTAATATCTCATAATCTCAAGCAAACTACTCTTGTTGATTATTGCTCTCGCAGTAAACATCCTCTGTTCCAAGCTAATGTGATGTGTAACCTTCATCTAATTTTTGTTTTTAGAAGGAAACCCTCATCTGTGATTCAAAAGAACACAACGAGTTTAGAAACCAAGACCATATCATGTACATCAGTATACCGTGCCAAGTAGTTGATGGTTATGGCCACATTTCCAGCATCTCAACCAAATACTTCCCTTCTTTCAGCAACTTCAACTTCAGAGACGGGACACTAGAAAGCAGAATTACTCCCCTTTGTCTTCCCGAGCATCACATCTTTGGCTTCATTGACCTTGGAAGCGAGGTAATCGCTACCACCTGCATCGGGATGGTTTGCCACCATTACTTTTCTATGTGCTTCCTTGACCTTGTCCGGTGTCGCACTTTCCCTATTGAAACAAAATACATGGCATCAGGAGAAAACTGGCTTTGACATGTACTTTTAGAAAGAAACACTATGTATTGATAATCATCCTGCAAGTGTCTCATGGTGCTTCAAACTGATTGCCTAGTTTCAACTCTGAAAATGCAGATAGCTTATGCTTCTGACGAAGATCCCGATTATAAATTACAGATTTGAATGACAGCAAATGATAAACAAATTGGCATAAGTGGTTACGAGGAGTACATTTCGGAGTATGATTCCATTGATCGAGTTCTAATAACATCCTTCTACTCCTTTCCAGTTATCGACAATCACTACACTTTTCCAATAGGAAACAGAAGTGCATTGGCGAACAATTTAGGAACTGTTGAAACATAAAGGAAGAACATGTATCGCGGACTATGATCATGACCAAAGATGATTAACTGACCGGGATATATCAATCTAAGTTTTCAGGTTAACAAACACCGGGAAGATGTTTCTACAGTTCGCAGCATAAACATCTGACACGTCATAGCTAACAAACTTTGAAAAAAATCAATACTTTCTTGGATCTAGATCATGAAATTCAAGACTAAGTCACTTAATTAAAGGTCTCTTGTGAATTTCCAAGAACATTAGAACCAAAGTAAAGGTTATAACTCCTCATACACAATGAAGTAGTGTTAAACAGTTACCTCAGGCCAAGAATAAGAGCTGCTTCTCTTCTAGTCATTTTAGGCTGAAAACCACCATCATAGAATCTGCGCGTTTTTATTCTTGGTGGCCGAGCCTTGAATGCTTGCCATGCCTGAATCCCGTATCTTCCAGCAAGAGCAGCAGCTGCAACTGCAACTCCAGCCAAGAAAGGTGTAGCCTGATGTACATCTAAAGATTTATTAACAATATGAATATGCCCATCAATTGAAAACATTATTCACATTCCTAACAGAATTTTCTTAACCTCGAGCTATGAAACCCCAAAATAAGCATCACCACAAGATCAAGAGGCTGTCCTATGAAATACACTGGAGCAAGAGCCAGCTCAAATCATTAACAAAAGAAAGCCTATAAACTTCAACGAGACTGCTTCCTTTGAGCAAACAGAACGTGTAAAGGAAGAGTTTATGCCCCGCTACTTATAAGAATATCTACAATCATCCCAAACCAAATCATACTTAGGCCAATTTCACAAGACTTCCAATGCTCCATGTCGAATTAGAATAAAAAGTTCAAGCTTTTATTCTTTTGGAAGAGTTAAGCAAATTAAAGTTATCTGGTAGAAAGAAATGAAATAGATATTCAAGAGTTTACATCAGGAAATAAACTGTCTGATTCGGACAGCAGGAATAATAAACTGTCAAAATTGCATTATCCAAAATGGTAGTGATAAGAATAATAAAAATAGCGGTGGCAAAAGTACGAAGCATAAAACACAAAATCCGACCAACCCAGAACCGGTTTTAACGATCCCAGATGCCGAAATTGCAAAAGCTGATAGCTTAAAACAGACCACAGGAAACCCAGATGCTCGGATCAAAGATTTCCTTTCGGACACAGCGCCAAGCAGAAGATAAATGGGAAGGGAGATCACCAGAAAATGAAGGGGGAAATTGAACACCAGCAAATCGGAGGCTATAAACGAAGAAGCTAAAAGCTTATCTTACCATTTCCGTGAAGTTGGAGAGTCGGAATAGGGAATTACGATTACTTCAGCATTCATTCAATAGTAACTCGTTCGAGAAGATTGTGGTTCTGTCTGTGTAGTGTGAATGGCGATTGAAAAAGTTAGGGCGACGCTAAACAGCAGGGCTGGAAAACACTCAAAAGTCAAAACAGCGTTGAGAAAAAAAAAAGGAGAAAATTGGATTACATAATGTGGCTGCTGGGATTCGAGCCCAGGTCTCTACGGCCACAACGTAGAATTCTTACCACTAAACTACAGCCACTGATTGATTAGAATGTTCTCTAAAGCTTTTATAACCATAACTTCTTTAATTACTTGTTCTTCACCGAAGGAATTCCTGAAGGTTCAATAGAGGAATTATTTTTCTTGTCAGAGGTTGTAGGAAAGAAGATGCCAGAAAATATTGCCCATTAAACTGAAAAAATGATTAGATCCCAAATCCTCCTAAAGCTAATCCTATAAGGCTACAACCTCAACACCACCATTCCCTGGCTTATAGTAAACCCACTGCATTCTTGTTAAACAAAGAAATGGCAAATGAATGTTGATTGATGGTAATGGGAAAAGGAGAAGTACAAGGACACAACTTTCCTACAACAAAGTAGACAGCCTTTTATTTCTCCTCCAACCCCTTCCTCCCTATTCTCAACTCATCCCCTTTATGCTTAACTGATGAAATGAGAAAGATCAGAAACCAAAAGACTGAAATACTCTTCTTAACCAACATTCTCAGTTCCTTCTCTTTCTCTTATTTTTCTGCCCTTTTTAATCCTCCTAACTCCTACCTAAATGAGACATCTGAACTGCTACATTGACATTCCCCCATTGTTGATATGGCCCTCCACATGACCAGCCTCAAAGTTCCTCAACGGGGTAACATCGACCTTCGGAGGACCTGAATGTCTCCTGAGTCCAGCCGAGGAAGGAGAGAATGTGAGCTTCTTCTTTGCTGATGCAACAGATGCCTTCTCTGGTGCCCAATTATTCTTAGCCTTTGTTGCACCCATCGGGCTTGAAAACCGAGACTTGGCCTTTGCAGACTGTGTTGCCCCCATGTAACTCGGAACAACTGAAGGTGAGCTTGCAAGGCTCTCATCATCTCTGACGGATGACCCTGCTATGCTGTGCCTCCTCATGTACCGAATCTCAGACTGGACACTGTGCATGCTCGTCGAGTCATCATCCCCGCCCCAAATGCTGCTGCTGCCCTTGGGACTCGGTCCTCTCAATTTCCCAGTTACTGATGATATCGACGGAGCCTTTGATGTAGAAGGTGAGTGACGACTTGGAGGCTTACTGCTCGATCTGTGGCCACTTCGGGAAGGCCTGTTGAGATCGCGAAGCGAATAACCTCTGCTGATGTCGCCCAGAGACATGGTGCGGCTTGGTGCACTCTTGAGAGATGCTGGTCGGTCATTGTTGTCCACCGCACTTCTGTTCTCCCATGGCCGAGCAGCCATCCATCTCTCTAACCAGCTCCAGCCCCATTGTGGATTGTTTGGATCCAGGAATGTTGCGGTTCCATTCTTCGACGAATTCTTCCATGTTTGCTGGTTGCAGGAAAATCACCATGCCATATATGAGTTTCAGAAGGAAGCATTTTTATCTAATGAGACAGATGCATATTAAGATCAAAGTTACTACAAGATTATACTAGTACCTGGTGGGTGTAGGCATAAGCCAGGGCTCTTTCTCTTCTAACTGCAGCTTCTTGCTTGTGGAGTAAGTTGGCTTCAATTTGTTCTTTCGACTGCAAGCTATCATCCCACTCAGCTCCAATCTGTTGCAATACAAAGATAATGAAACACATACTTACAAGTTACAAGGATAAACAACTGATGCTTTGCCAGTTTTCAAAATGAAAGGGGAAGATCAATGGAGAAGCCAAAACTATAAGTACCAAAAGGAGCCTGAACTACCCAAAACTTCGATAGATACAAAACAAGGCAGATTTGAAATGTAATTGAGGAGAAGTTTTCAACATGGGTTCATTTTATCACTGAAAACAGCAGGTTAGTTGACTGGATGAAACTTCTGCTATTCAGCACACAAATTACAGTCAGCAACAGTAAGATGGCTGAAGTTCAAGCACAGTAGATAAATGAAAAATGTTCAATAAAAGAAGAGCAATGGCAGGGAGAAAACACTTTCAGTAGAATATGGGATCTGGATCGTAAAAAGTATCAAAGAGTACTTACAGAGGATCTCAGTCTCTCAAGCTCCTTCTCACGTTTGTGTTGGATTTGTCGCTGGACGGCCTGATTTTCCTCTGCCATTCTGATCCTCCTTACACGTATCTGAGACTGCAATCGAGCAAGAGTTTGCATGGCTCTTAACGTTGAAGCTGCTTGTCTTTTCACAGATTGACCTTCTATCAATGTCTTCAATCTCACCAAGCCTCTCAAAGCCCGCAGCGCCCTCCTAGCCTGAAAAGCCCCAGGTTTTCCAAGCAGTTAGACCAAGGAAAATCTACCACTGAGAGTAAACTCGCCAGACTGATGAATTGCATACCAAGTAACCTCTAAAAGCGGTCTGTATCTTGATTGCTGCTATCTCCTCCTTTGGTTTACCGACACTACGAACTGCACTTGTGAGTCGAACCACCTCTGCTGCAGCCTGGGCAGCTGCAACAGCTGCCTCGGCGGCGGCTGCAGTGGCAAGTGCCACGGAGTAGGCGTGCTTGCTCTGTTCATTCTCAGCTTCAGTTAATTTCACAGCAGGAGGTCGAGGTGGTGGTGGTGGTGGTGGAGATGGCGCTGGATGAGGTGGAGGGGCAGTAGGAGATGGAGGAGTGGTTGGAACAGCAAATGTAGGGAGATCTTCGTAGGTTGTAACAATCGAGTCCAAACTCTTTGCTGTGCTAAATCCCTTCTTCGATTTTGATCTCTGCATTGAACAAAAAAAAAAACAAATGAAATCTTACTCTTTGGCTACCTCCGTACAATAAATTGATGAATGTAAATAGCTTGGAGGAGGAACAATGACAGAAGTATTGAACAAACCCTGGAAGAACTGAGAGCTAGAGAACAAAACCAACTTGATTTCCTCCCCATTTTCCTTTAATTCTTCATCATTCCCACGCTACATAAGAAATTGGCAAAACCCAAGTGAGATTTGCAGGAAACGAACAAACTTCAGATGAAACATGACACCTTTCATACCACAGAACAATGTTGGAGCTAACTATCCAATTGCAGAGGCGAAAAGTGAGAAACCTAGCAATTTCCAGCAAGCAGCCAGATATAATAAAAACGCAATACATACTGAGCAATGCGTAGCTCAACGTCAATGCAAATGGGGAAGTCACCAATTTCAGACGGGAACAAAAAAAAAAATTGGTAACTTTCGACGGAACAGTCAATGGCGAACCATAAAATGGCAGAACACCAAGGTACCAGATTTCATGAGATCTTTTGAAAGAAAACAGAAACCTAGTCCACATTTGGCAATTTCCAGCAAGACCCATGAGGGAGAAGAACACTAAAAGCGAACAGTAACAAAATAGACGTCATGGAATCGACAAGTGGAAAAGGGGACATAAGATAAAAAAAACAAAAAACAGGGGGAAGGCAACATTGTTCCAGAAAAAGAAAAACATCAACGTACCTGCAATGCAATGGCGGTTGGAGGAAGGGAAGGAACCAACCACGGAGAGACAAATGAGTTAAACAGAAACGCCAAAGATAGAGCAGGATGAAAGAAAGGTCAGATCTTGGTGGAAGGAGAAGACAAGTGGTTGAGATCAGATTAATGAGGGGAGAAGGAACTTGAGATAGATAGGGAAGCAGGGAGAAGAGAAGAAAGGCTGAACGAGAGAGAGAGAATAAAACCCAGCTCTGATTCGAGGGTAGTGGGTTTATGGGGAGTGCAGGGGTGCAGTACAACGGCAGGGCCCACGGGTGATCTAATCTAACGAAACCGCAAAACAGGAATAACAGACAACTTTCCTGCTGTCTTATCTGTGGATTTTCTGTTCTGTTTCTTTTTTAGGTTTTCCCAACGCCAATGAAGCAGTACATGTTTAATCTCAGCGGGGAAATAATTGAGTATATACCTCTTTTGTTAAAAGCCGTACCGTTTAATCGAATTATACTTCAACATGTAGAATTCAATCAGATCGACGATATTTTGTGTTAGTGGCAGCAACTAGAGCATGTTGGATATTTTGTAGAATTCAATCAGATCGACGATATTTTGAGTATGACGGATACGAAAAAGAATGTTCCCTTCATATAACATGAAGGGTAAACCCTCCTCGGCATACTTCGTTTTCGATGAAAATTTCCGATTTTATTTACCAATCAAGGTTATTTTTTAAAAGATAAACCACAATCAAAGCATTTTGGGCATAATATTGTACAAAAACCTCCAAACCAGCCATTAACAGAAAAGCAAGGATTTTGTGGCTCCCTTATTTATGAGGTTCACATGTTCCTCCTCCTCCCTTGAGCCTGTTCTGCGTCTTGAATTTATTGAAAACCTTGGTGGCTCGTGCCTATGCCCCAAACCTCCTGCTGGTTATTCAATGAAACAAAATACTGTTTGTGTATACAATTCAATACCAGCCACATGATCGAATTTGACCAACCAGCAGCATGCATCTGAACTGTATTTATCATCATTCATCAACAAAGAAAGATATATGATTTGATGTTGGTTGATTAATAATAGAATAGAAACCACCACCTGTAACCAAAAAATGCTTCATGTTGAAGGCAACTGGAGAGCGTTCTATAACTATTTGTGGCTTGTCTTGTACTCAAATTCATTGAGAAGGGAAATCCACTACTTACGCAGACAAGAGAGAGAAGCACCACTTTATGATTGTTCCCATGGAGTATAGACACGATCCCTGATCAAAACAAAAATTGTATGCACAAAAATTCTGATAGGTTGTGCTGTTTTTCCAGCCCGCTGTTAGCAGAAGTGAAGGCAATGTAAGGGAAAGACCTTTCTTCGGGGTTCTGAGTCTGACTTATATCCCATTTCGTCTTTCACTTATGAACGGGAATACTGTAGCAAATAGCTGAGGCCATACCTCGCAATATGATACTGCTAGCTTCAATTGAGGGTGGGGAACTTGCATTGCAACAGCCTGGAAGCATCACCCATACGAGTGATGCCTGTGCCTATCCTTATCCCTTGATGAATACGACGAGGAACTGTGATAGTCACGATCTGCCAAACACAAACATGAATAATGGTCTTTTTTTTCTTCTTCCAATCAATGCTATAAGATAGCAGAGGAACAAGTACCAAAGAAATGCCCCAAAAGTTACATACCACGGGATGAATGATGCCTTGATTTATCCGAATATCCTCCTGTGCATCCATTAGTCATGAAACAATAAAATTTTATTGGAGTCAGAAGCAGAAGAGGAAAAAGACACAAGTAGAGATAGATAAGCTTTTTTCAGGAACTGACCTGAATCCTTCCCCCTATCTTTAGAACGATGACTTCCTCGATCTTTGCTCTTATCTCTGTCCCTTTCACTATCCGCGCGATCTCTTTCCTTGTCGGAATCCCGTCCCCTTTTGTTGCGATCACCAGTCTTCATTCTGATGTCCCTCTCTCTATCCCTCTCTCTTTCCCTGTCTCTCTCCTTCTCCTTGCTTCTGTCGCTGCTTCCATCCGTTCTAATCTCAGACTTCGATCTCCCAATAGCTACCTCCCTCGTTGCATCATCCTCATTCTTGGATTCATCGCCAACTTTCTTAGAGTCCTTGACCTTGTCAAATGCTGCTTTTATCACCAACGTTCCACTGGATTCCCCAGTTTCAATACTAACCAAGCTCGAGGTCGCCATTGAAGAAGTACCATTGTTTGCTGGTGAGCTTTGTTGAACATCCTACACAAAATAACAGCACCAAAATGGTCTCATGAGATTATATAGTCCTGATCTCTGGCATTATATGATGGTTCCAAGAAGAGTGCATAGATAATTACACCAAAAGGAAGGTCTAAACAAACGGAGGAGAATGGAACCAAGAAGTGAATGAGTAGAGAGAGTGATTGATCGATTTACCTTTGGAACTGTTTGAGACTGCAAATCTGAAGCCCTTTTAGAAAACGAAAAATCGCCATCCTTACATACTGATATATATTGTGCCTTTGGAAGGCTATATAGGTGCGCCAACACTCTACAAACTTCATCGATGCCAGGTTTATCAGCATCAAAAGCCTTCCACCAAGGTGGATTCTCAGGAAGTGGAACTTGGAACCTCCGCGCAGCAGCATACACTACACCACAAGCTACAACTTCACTCCTAAAACGAACACACAGGGTCGTCCGCAAACTGTCCGTAAAGTGGGGCAGGTGTAGTAAGATAATGAAGAATGAGAAGCTGTCTATAGACAAGAATATCAAGAATCATTGAGGAATACATGCACTCACGCACACACACACACCTAGCAATGAGTAAAAGAATCAGAACTTATCCATTACTAAACTGGAATGTTCATTTCAAAGCAGTCATGTAGGGACAGAAACATCCATCTCTGTTCAGGAGTGTTGCCTAAGACATTCCTAGCCTCGACCAAACAATCATTCTATTCATACCGCATTTATTATCACTGTTAATTTAAAAGCGGAACAAGAAAAGCAAAAATGGGATCAGACTGGTTGTAGTACCTGTCATTTGCAAGATTCCATGCCTCTTGTCTCAGTTCTGGGGGTGTGTCAAGGGTGACAAGATAGTTGGATATGAATTTGTGTGGATGCTCAACATGACAAACAAAACCCATCTCCTTCAATATGTGTCTTTCAGTTCTAGTTAACTCCACCTTTAGTTCAGCAAATTTCTGTTGAAACAAAGAGCACAGATTTTAAACGCATGCTAACATATACTGTTTTCTCTTAAGCCAATGGATGACATAATGCAATGCGGTATTGATTCTAACCTTAGAATTGATATCCAAAAACTCTATGGGCAAATTCTCTCTGCGACATTCCATCCGGTGAAAAACAATGATAACCTGCCTTGCTCTTCTGGGACTTTCCTCTAGTTTAGATGCAAGCCAAACTGAGCCAGCTGCAACTTTCTAGAAGACGAAACAAAAAAAAATTAATAATATCAGAAGAATAAAAGCAGGTTCCTGATCCACTCAACCTGAAACTGATCATCTTAGCATTTTCCAAAATAACACATTCAATTAGCCTCTGTAAAGCTAGATAAAAGTAAGTCGTGATCTAAATCAAAATAAATGTCGCTCCTAGAAACCAAATCCTCAAAAGACTATCTAGTTCTCGGATAAAGATTGGAACAAACCTTGACATTGAACTTAGCAAATGATTTCTTGCAATAGAAGCGATGGAATAGAACCTGTCCAGTCGCCATCACAGCTTGAGGTCTGAAATAAAAACGCTAAGGAAAGAATAGATCCCATATTTTACACAATCAACTACCTTCCGCACCTTGAAAATTGAGATAGGCTAGTAATAATAATATCAAATATAAGCGGAAGAAAGAACAAAGGATACAGCCTAAGCAAAATGCCACTTTCTTGTACAAGATCGCAGCCATATCTTCTAAGGGAAGTTTCAGTATCTTCATCGATTCCATCCTTCCTTGATGGAGAGTTCTGTAGCTGCTCGTCCGTAAGGTAGAAGTTGTCTATAGCGGTGTAAATCATAATTCTGAAACAAACCCAACAGTATCCAATGAACCTCTTCAGTGCCATATATATGTCGCGAAAAAAGCTATTGGCAAACAATTGACATCTACAACTTTAAGCAGACGTAATTAAGACCCTCCCTCATTAAGACAAGAGCTTCAAAGTTCCATAAGCAATCACAGTAATACAAAAGAAATAAAGCAATCCAGAAAGGCAAAACCTAGGCAGAAACAGTATACAAGCAAAAAATACTCAGTAGGTAGCGACCCTGAACGAATTGGGAAAATAATGCAACTCGAAATGAAACAATCGAAACAAGGGACTAGCCACCAAAATCAAAGTGAAGAAATTTCAGCCTCACCATTCTCCTTTGAAACTTCCTTGGTAGAAGAATTGCAGCCATGGTCTCTTAATTGACGAGCGTTTCAAAGTTACAAAACCAAACTACAGACGAACTTTTTCTTTATCAGCTTCCAACGAATTTTCCTAGCGTCGAGGACGAGGAGAAGGGAACGGGAATTTACCAGTTTAGTCGGGGTGCGGCCGCCCGGCAATCCGCCGTAGCGGTGGAGGTAAATTGAAGCACGGCGGTAGTTTCTCAAATTGGAGGAGTCGACGGAATCGCTGAATTTTGACGGCGAGGAATAGGGTTTCTTTATTTTTCCCCCGCGTTAGCCGAATCTCCGGCGAATGTCAGGCTGGTCGGTGGGTGTAAATTTGCGTGGTAATTTAACCGGTGAGGCGGTGACCAGTAAATAGGAAGGACAACTAGGTTGTTACTTGTTAATCCTTCGTCCCGTTGACCTGGCCAAGCAACTCGGTCACACTCACGGGTCGAACCAGGGATTTCATCATTTTTTTATTTATTTATATAATGGTGGCATGGGCCTGGGGCACCTTGTTACATTTTCTTTTGGCAAAAGCCCACTCCATATGGATCATCCTTTGAGCCTCGTCCGCTATCTTTCTCGATGAGTCGGCCTCCCTCCAAAGTGAATTGTGTGATCTTTGATGCCATAAATCTATGGTTATTCTTAATCAAATAAGTGTTTTGTTGCTGATGACGTTATATCTAATGATAATAAAAAAATTCAAATTAGAAAAAATTTACATCAAAATATTTGTCTAAATTAGTTAAGACTACTTATTCAGAAAAAATAAATTACTGCTATCTTGTAAGAAACCCGCTTGATTGGGGCAGATGAAGAAGAATTGGGAACAGAGATTAGGGTTAGGGATTGGGGAAGAATTAGAGAGATAGAGATTTAAGGTTTTCAATATTATTCTTGCTTAATCTGAAAAATAACTCATCCAAGGTTTATATAGTGCCTCCCCAAACAACTAATAAACCGAAAATAACAAGGAAGGATCGAGCCCTGTCTATGTTAAGAGAGTTAAAGCTCTATATACAATTTATATAATTATAACTATAAAATCTACACTAATCTAAGAAATCAAAAAAATACATTGTTGAATTTGTTTGGCACTTTAGCTTTATCACTTCATTGTTGGAGCAAATTCCACTTTTAGGAGTCAAAGCGTCAAATAATTCTAGCACTCTCGCCCTTCTGATTGCAAATATATAGTCTTAGGACTATGTTCCAAATCTCATACCTAGCTATAAATGGATTAGACATATGAGTTTGAACCATAGTGACATCCGTACAAAAATATACAATAAATGAGCTGCTCAAAACTTCATAATCCAAGATGAACATATATATTAATATAACCATTTCATTTCAGTGATGTCATGAACTTATTGGAAATTCTTATTGAACACGTTTACCAGCTGCTGAAAAAGAGCCTATGCTTATGAACAACCGACGACAAACAAAGCTTTTACTGGGATTTTCTTCACCCCCCAGCCATTTCTTACTTACACCCTAATGAAACACAGCGACTCAATTAATAAAAGTCGTGACGAGATGAAACGATAGGGAAGCACCTACTGAAAGACACCGACTTCCGGAAGCTCCTGGACCGCCCAAGCGCACGTCCGTCGCCGCCGGCGACCGCCTCCCCCTCCCCGCCAACCACCTTCTTCCCCTCCGTCGCCGGCGTGACTTTCGCGTACCCGCCGGCGCTCCTTGAGGACGAGTAGGCAAAGCTCTTGCTGGGCCCCAACTTGGGCTTCGACGCCGCGGCCTGCTGCTGCTGGTGCCTATAGCTGAACGACTTGGACCGGCCCGCTGCGGCCTGGCCCATCAGCAGCGACCTAGACGGCGACGTATTAGCAGACGGACTAATGTCGTAGAGGCCGTGATCTGGTGCGGCGAATTGTACCCTGCGGTTTCGGTTATGATTGTAGTTGGCGCCGTCGCTGTCGTAAGTGTATGGTATTGTTGATGATGATATCCTGCCGGGGGTTAAGATCCTGCCGCAGAAGATGATCTCTTGGTCCGGTTTGGCGGTTGAACCGTCGAACTCGAACTCGAACGAGTTGTCTCGTGAATGGCGCTTGGTCGTTGGCGGGTTTGTGAAGGGTTCGGGGATCGGGTCGACCGGCAGCAGCGTGACGAAGGAGAGGTCTTGCTCTTGGTTGTCCAGGTCGGGATTCAGGTTCCTGCCTAAACTGACGGTGGAGGTGGCGGGTTTCAGTCTCATGATTAAGCGATGATACAAAGGGAAAATGTAGTGTGTGTAGTTTCGGTTGATTGAAGTGGTTTGACGAGTGGGGGAAATGTGAGTACTTATAACAGGAAGAGAAGATTAGCGAGGGAAAAGGTGGATGATGTGAACGATAGTTTGTTTAGGAGGCTAATGATTGATCGATTAGGAACAATAATGACAATGTAGAGGATCGTTAATTCATTATGTTATGCCTTCTGGTTTTGTGGTCGTTTGAGAATAGCATAAAAAGATGCCAAGTCCTGTTGTGTGTTCATGAGGAACAGCTCATTATAATGAGATTATTAGAGTCACTTTTACTGGTTTTGGACCACTAATTTACTAGGTGGCGTTGATAGTGTCTAAGCGTATACTTATTTGATTAATTTTTGTAAATGTGCATCCATTTTTTTGGATGAATAATATACATGTGCATTATTTATGTAGTGAAATTCACAAGTATGTAATATTCCATTATATTGAAAAGAAAACTCATGATAGAATCAATTTTTTTCACAGAATTGACTATGGCGGAGTTATGTTGGATATAGGAGAGGCTATAATATTCTAAACTTTGAAATGTTTGATAAATTTACATTTATAATTTGTAACAAATGTATATAGAGTACGAAACAAAGGCTAGGGGATGGATCACTAATTATTATTTTATTTTTTCATAGATATCTCATTGAGAAAACCATTCAGAGAGAACTTCCATAGTTTATTTTTTCTTTAATAAATTCGTTCCATAATTAATTTGGTCAGACACTTATTAACTATGAATTCAATCAACGAACAACGATTAATCACATAGTGGCGGCAGAATAAAAATAAAAGGGTGGGAGTGTGTTGGTGGGAATGATAAACCCTTTAGTAAAAGTTTAATTTTAGGACATATTACTTTTATAAATCTAAAGAGATGTGTTTTAGAAAAGGAAATTATATGCGGTTGAGAGGGTGAAGCAAGTGGTTGTGTTTTAAGAGGTTAGGGGTTCTAAACCTTCATTTCTCACATTTTTTTATTTTTGGTTTTCCCTTACAAGGGGGCTGCAAGCACCCACCCACCCACCCACCTCTTTGAGTGGCTGCCCACTGGCAATTTCCAAATACATGTCTATTGTATTACTTGTCAACTTTAAATACATTTCAACAAATCGTGATTTGAAATACCTCCAAACAAAAAATTGGACATATTTGTAAAATATTAAAAGTTTGGGTATGCCTACTATGACATGCATGTCACCGTGACATGGACTTTTCGGTCGACCTAATCTTGAATGCGGTCGACCGAAATGAATAATTTGGACAGCACGAGAAAGCATTGCGGTCGACCGCAAATACCACCTGGTCGACCGCTCATAGTTTAAGTTGTTATTTTTGGTCGACCAGAATAAAACCTCGGTCGGCCATTTCGTTGGCGTCAGAAACAACATGGTCGACCGTAAAGGTATATAGGTCGACCACTTGATGGCAGTCATTAACAACATGGTCATCAATTTGTCCGATCATTTGACGTAAAATGAAGATCAAGTATTGGTTTCGAGGTCGACCTAATCCAGTACGAGGTCGACCGAATACAAGAAAGTCAACTTATGCCCTGTGTCTTTTTTGCTTATGTATGTCGATTTGTGTGGTTCTTTTGCTTGTATAAATTATGTTTCAAACCATCATAACTAGTCATAAATAATGATAACAAAGACTCATCAATTCATAGCATAACAACTAGACAAACTAACAAGAAATACAATAAAACAGGAATCATAATTGTTCACACATAAAAAAAAAACTAAAAAAACAACAGAATAACAATCAACTCAGTCCTACACAATCTAAAATCTTCGAGTTCCTACTCATGTCCCCTCTCTCCCTCATCCACATTTTCTTCATTGGTGTTGCTAACATGATGGTGGTCGGATGTGGTGGGATGCATGTATCTTCTGCTGAAAGATCGCCACTCATCTCGCAGCTCATTCACGGTCACCTGCATTGTGCTCATCTGGGCGGTCATTTGCCCCATGTAGTCGTACATGCCAGTCATCTGGCTGGACATCTGGCCCATGTACTTGTACATGCCATCCATGCGCTCCCACACACGCTCTAAGGTGACCGGTGGAGTTGAACTTTGTGCCTCCGGCATTGGCTCGTCTCCGGCTCCTTCGTCACCATCATCATCCACATCATCATCACCACCTCCATGGGCACCATGAGCATTGTTTATTCGGACATACTCATCATTACGCAGCTCAAAGCCCATCTTTTTCAGAGATGAAACGGTATAGAACTCCTGCCTTGAGATTTTTAACCCCACCTCACCACTTAATTCCACACGAAAATGCTCAAATACTAAAGTCAGGATCATCCCATAGGGAAGATTCTTGTTTGAACTCTGTGCAGCAGTAAGCATGTGGTTGAAGATCAAGTATGGCAAGTTCACCTTCTCGGCTAACAATAGGTTGGTGAGGAGCTCCATATTATGTAAGAACTGTTAGGTGCACAATGGGTCGACCCAATTCATTTCCTTGTCCAATTGTGGAACCTTTCTGGTGTTGGAATCCGTATCCAATACGGATAAACGGTGTGAAGGCGGTCGACCGCTTTATAATGCGGTCGACCTGTTAGGTGCACAAGGGTCGGCCTATGAGGTATTTGGGTCGACCTTTCATTCTGTTAGACCACCAAAGAGGTCGACCATATTATGTAAGAGGTCGACCGCGTCTTGGAACCTCACATACATGAATTAGTCAATTCGGTCGACCGCCTTTTGGATTAGGTCGACCGGAAAGTCCATGTCACGGTGACATGCATGTCACCGTAGCAAAATCCTAAAAGTTTAGGTTCTATAGTGTGAGACAAAACATATAAAGGTACCAAAATATAATCTTACCATCAAAATTTATGGACCTTTTTGTAATATTTTAAAAATCTAGGTACTTAATTGCAAGGAAAAATAAATTTGGGTATCAAACTATAATTTATCAAAATATGTAGTAAGTGACCAAACAGTTCAATATTAAAATAGAAAATCATGAAATTTAAAATAAAAAAATTAAATGAGGTCCAAATAACGAATTTCAATTATATGTATTTCAAATGCTAGTATTTCAAATGCATGCATTTTAAAAACATGTATTTCAAATACCTTACATTTGAAATACACATATCTGAACGCACCTTAAAGGAGGTTGTCCATATAATAATGTAATGGATTCACCAAATTCTCCCTTCAAAACCCATGCTTATTCATAAAAATAAAATAGTGACTCAAAGATTATATATTTATTGTATCATTTGTCATAATTTTTATTTGATAACCAAGGGAACCTCAGCCACAAGTACCGCTTTGAGCGACAGTGGAACCTACTAAACCACTGGGATATCTGCATACTAACCGGGGCTTTCTAAATCATTAATGGATATGTTTAGAAGTAATATTTTTTAACTCGATTTCTAATAGATCACATAGCGGGGGAGTTTGCGATTCAACCATTTTATAGGTACAATTGAGTCATGCTTTTGAGATTGAAGATTCACCTTCGCCATTTTGATTATTCTTCCTAGATTAATCGCAGATTAAGGGACGATCATTTTTATAGTGCTAACAGTCAAACATAATGAATTTATGATAGAGAAGTAGTATATAATGTCCTCAGCAAACATGTAAATATTCCAGAGAGAATATAATTTGCTCAGCAAGAAGCGTCTCAAAGAAGAGAAAACTTGCTCAACAAGACAGCCCTGCCCAAACGGCGGGTAAACGATATTGTTATGATTAGTTTGGAATGACATTTGTGCCCTTCCCCCGAAGACTCTAGAAAGAATTCCTATTCCACACTCCGCCAACGAGCGAGCATACTACGCTTACACTATATATACACAACAAGAAAGAGAGAGAACAAATACAATCCGCAAAGTTCGATCAATCAAAATCCATTGCAGAAATTTACCAAATCGAGCACAGCCAGAATTCCCTCTGCGAATCATGGCCACCGCGACGAAATTCAAGATCAACGGCCGCACACTGGCCCCGGAGATCCCCCTGCCGTCGCCGTCCGCCACCGTCCTCGACCTGAAGCAGGCGATCCAGTCCCTGCTCGGCGTCGCCGTCGCGAGGCAGAGGCTCTTCCACAAGGGCGACGGCGAGCTCCTCAACCACCGCACCGTCGAGTCGTACAAAATGAAGGCAGAGGAGAGGAAGTCGGTCGCGAATCTGGATCTGACGGTGGAGCCGCTGCCGAAGAAGAGGAGAGGAGAGAAGATCTCGTTCGTGGTGAAGTGCGGCGACGAGAAGGCTACCTTCACTTTCCGGGAGTGCGACACAGTGTGTGACTTGGAATCGGAGGTCCTTGACAGATTCAATTGCTCTTACCCTATCAAATTGCGCTGTGCCGGAATCGTGCTGCCTTCTTGGTACGGCGACGAGGAGGACTTCAGTCTGTACGAGTGCTATCTCTCGGAAGGGACGGTGATTGAGGTTGCGTTGGCGACTGCACGCTCTCGCCACATCTACGGTCCGAAAACTTACACTCCTTCCTTCTACAACGCTAAGTGATAACTGATCTGTGAATTCCGTAACAGAGCTAATTCCCGTTTTCTCTTTTCCTCTCCTCCCCCAATCGATTCCTCGCATCTTGTTTTCTTTTCATGTCGTAAGTAGAAAGTCTGTAATTCCTTGTTAGACCTACTCTGTTCGTATCGATCTTGAGAATGCTGAAGGTAAAATTGTATGTTCATCAGTTCATGCATTTCCATGGCGGTTTGTTACTTTCTTTGCCGATGATCAAATTCTTGAATATCTTCCGTTCTTGAGAAGTTCTGCAGAGAACTGGAAACCCTAGCTATGTGCCTAATTAATAGTTAATCAGGATTCCGATGAGCAGGATATTTAATTAGGATTTCGATTGCAAATAGGAGTTCCAAACGCTAAATCACCACAAATTATTATCAATTATGAGAGTCCACAGTAATCAGTCGTTACGCCTAAACCGCAGACCAGGAAGCACTGAGCTTAATTACTCGTACCGGAAACAATGGCCACAGCGGATTGGTGGTGAAGTGCGACGGCAAGGAGGATTTGGTCGGGGACAAAACCAGTCTGTATGAGTACTGTAATCACCGGGAATCAGAGACGAAAATGATCAAGTCGTAGTCCGATATGAGTTTCAAGTAAAGCAGTCATGTTGAAGGTCATTTTGAATTCTGCATGTTGAGTTGGTATTTTCCAGTCCTTCGTCTGGTCAAATACTCAACGATCCTAAGAAAGGAAAATGTTGTCTAACCCAACCCACTTGGGTGGGCTGGCAACACAAGTTACAAAGTTATGCTTCAAAATTTTGGAATATCTATTTTGGTCCCACTTGGGAGATTCGAACATTGTTCTTATTTAAATGGTTTAAATGGGCCGGAAGTAGTAATGTATATCCAGCTCGGAAGTCCAAGGGTCAAGACCAAGGCCCGCTGATTGGCAGTAGAATGCAATGATAGATAGGCCAAAAAATCAAGGGGCATTCCGAGAATTGAACTCGGGACCTCTCGCACCCTAAGCGAGAATCATACCACTAGACCAAATGCCCGGTTTTGTTCACTTTATATATATTTTTATATCTATAGTAAATTATATGTTTAGAATTTAACAAGTAAATTATATGTTCACTTTAGTTGGGCTGGCAACATAAGTTACAAAGTTATGCTTCAAAATTTTGGAATATCTATTTTGGTCCTCTCAAAACCCTAGAGATGGATTTGCGGACAAGGTTTTACCTTTTACGTTCGGCTAGCCCTTCGAATAAGTCCGCAAAAATTCAATTGTTTCTGCGCGCACACAGTTCTGCCGCTCTCCCTCGGAAGCCCTTCTGAAACTCAGCAGCAGCTGCTGGAAGAAATTGAATTGAAGCAAACGATTTAGGTATCAAGTGGTTCGAGCCTTTCTACCAGGTCAAGTTGAGCTTCAGTTTGTGCTTAACGGGAATCAGGTTTTGAAGCATTTGGTTTGGTCTTTCAGGGGGAACTACCTCGCTGCAATGGGGAAGCTGGGAAAGAAGGCGAGGAAGTTCGCCAAGAAGAATCTTCAGTCGGTGATGAAGAGGCAGAGGAAGCAGAAGTCTGTGTTCAAGAAAAGAGCAACCAAAAGTAAGTAGCAGCTTTGGTTGAACTTCGTGCTTGCATTGTTAGAGTATCTGAACAGGAAAAATTTAAGCTAGTTAGTTGTGTGGTGTATGTACTGTGCTCCATTTTGGACCTTGAATTTGTAGTCTCGTGTAGGAGGCGGATGATGCCAGAGATGGATACTAGAAGCCCAGTTGTTATTTCCAGCTGAATAATCAAATGTCAGTCCTACTCTGTGTGAGCTTTAAGTTGAGGGATAGCTAGTTTTCTTGTCAAAGTATAGAAAGTGTAGGGCACCCGTTGTTGGCATTTAAAAGTAAGTTGGAGTCTCATTGGCAATCAGAACTCTATCCTGGGTGTGAGGAACGACTAGGTGTTGGTAAGGACCAGACATCTAAGAGGCAGTCGTTCATTTTGAGCTTAGGTAATGTGCAATCGATATGTCCAATAAATGCCAATTGCCAAGCAGATTGTATAAATTGGAGAACAAAATAAGGGCTTTGAATCTTTTCCTCCTCTGCCATGAAGAAGCTCAATAGTAGAGAGAATGAACCAAGTTTATGGTGGGAAAGCAATCCATCTTCTTGTTATGAGGTGAAATTGAGGGAAAATAAACTAACGAAGGAAGCTTTTTTAGTGATTGCTTTTAAAACGATTCGTGCAAGTCTCTTTTCAGGGGAAGTTTGAAACTTTGCCTTATTGCTATATCAAGGTTCTGTATGTTTTTTCATTAATCCTTGTACTTTTCCATGTTGCTTTTACATTTGAGCCTGAACTTTGGAAGCAATCTGGTTTATGTAGAAGAGGGCCGTGGGGATAGAGCTGTAGAAGAAGAAAGTACACAACAGACTATTGACAGGTAAAAGGATAAAAGTCGTATGAATATTTATGCATGTAGTCGGTGACAGATGTCATGTGTATATATTATCAGTTTCTTCCTGTATCATATTATTCTTACTTTCATGTAGTGGTGCATAGTTTGTGTTAAGTTACATCCTTTGGAAGGCTGAACACATTAGTCTTGATAACTGAGGTGGGCTTATTAATTATGGCTCGCTTTTCTGAAACTCATCGTTGTTATCTGAAGCGTTCAAGTTGAGGATGTTGGAGCTCTTTCGTTCGATGCAATGTTCAATGAGCATGATAGTGATATGGCTGGAGATGATTCTGGAAGTGATGGTTATTTATCAGAGGTTTGAAACTGTACCTTGCCAGAATAGTTTCATCAAATTGATTTGCTTCTGCACTACTACTCTTACATATTTAATTCGATGAATGGATCAGGAGGCAGGCTGTGTGGACATGGATGAAGGAAAAACGGAGAATAACCTTGAAGGTGAAGACATTGTTGCATGTGGATTTGATGACATTTTAAGAACTTGATTAACTTTATGCTGTTAAGCCTTTACATTACGTTTTCATTTTCTTACTAATTGTTCTCCAGACAGTCCTGAGGATACTGGTGTATCTGTGAAGAATATAATTGTTTTTAAGGAGCTAGCAACGCAGAAGAAAAAATTGGACAGATTGAAAGAAAAGGTAATATTATCTTCATAATATGATGCCTTTTTCCATTGGTTTCTTGATTTATCATCTGAAATCTAGACTGCTAGGTTCTGCAGTTCCTTTTTGTGGTCCATTATCCAAAATGACAATTATAAATTGTCTTACTTTCTTGATATGGATGTTTTCAGAATCCAGGATTTGTCAAATATCTTGAGAGCAAGAAAAGTGGTATTCACTCCACAAAAGAAGACAATGTAAGAAATCTGTCTCATATGTAGTGTTTTTGTGTACACCTGACATAAACACCTATATCTATATTCAGATGAAGTGGGATCTTGTTGCCGTGGGGGTAGGTTTGATATGAGATTTCTTTTCATATGTATGTGAGAGTTTTAGGAGTGGGAGTTGGGAAGTGGAATAGTTGTGTAAATTATGTAAAATTATCTTGCTAAACCTTGATAATTACTGTGCTTCAGCTGAGATGAAGGAATCCTTGATAATTATCTTTCTGAACCTATGATTGTTTATTTGGTATTGTTATTACTGTGCATTGGCTAGTTATCATCTCTTGTAAAGTCTTTTTAGTTCGACGAATCTCATACATTTGTTTGTTGCAGCAGTCATCAGATGCAGATGAAAGCGATGATGATAGAGGGCATTTGAATGATGAAGATGGAGCAATATTAGGAATTGGCAAGTTACTAAGTAGTTCTACTGTTGATTCGTTGTGTCAACTTGTGAAGGACCAGCATGATGTGCCTTCCCTTGTAAGGCTTTTAAATGCTTATAGAGCGGGGAGTCATTATGGAGCTAAATCATTTGGTGTTCTCAGAGGCTCAGGAAGTCTTGCAAAGATTATGATATTTGTGCTTCATGAGGCCAATGACGTATTCCGAAAAATTCTGGGAGTTTCAAATTCCACTGAAAAGAAGGTCATTTTGGAATTAATAAATTCCGCGACATGGAAAAAAGTGAAGCCGCTCATTAAGTTGTACTTGAGAAGTACCATGTTTCTTTTGAACGAGGTTACAGACTCGGAGATATTGACTTTTGTGATCAAGCGACTAAGGGCTTCTATGATCTTTTATGCTGCTTTCCCATCTTTACTGCAGAGGCTGATCAAGGTATGGTCATGTTAAAAAACTAAAAAAGGTCATAGAGCGTTTTTGTGCAAACTAGTTTCATGCTTTTGGAGCTTCTACCTAATCAAGAGCTTGATTTGGTTTTAGATATCATTTCATCTTTGGGCAACAAGTAAAGGAGCTCTGTCAGTGCAATCATTCCTCGTCATACAAAATGCGGCTGCCATGTTTAACTCGGATTGGTTCGACACATGCTTTGACAAGGCGTACAAGACCATAATTGGGCACTGCAAATTTGTCGATCCAGCCTTCTTCGAGCACCTTCAGTTTCTTAAGAAGTCCTTTATTGATTTGTGTTCTCAAGATATGCAGAAATCATTAAGGAAGGCAATTATTTCAATCAGACAACTTGCTAAGATTTTGCAACTTGGTTTACAAACTAAGCAGAAGGTGCACATTATTTCTCCTTTTAATCCTCGCCAGTGGAGCTTATTATGATTAACAAATGTATTATTACTGGTAAATGTTCTTAATTATCCCTTGTCATTTGTTGCTTGTATGCAGGAAGCAGTAAAGAGAATATGCAGCTGGCAGTATGTGAACTGCATTGATCTATGGGTCGAGTTCATATCAGTCAATATACACGATTACAATCTCCTGCCGTTGCTTCATACCATGATTCAGATCATAAATGGAGTAGCAGTGCTTTTCCCTGGACCAAGATACTTGCCTCTGAGAGTTAAAACTGTTCAATGGTTGAATCTTCTCTCCAGTTCCTGTGGTACATTCATCCCTGTTGCATCTTTGGCGCTGGATATTTTAGAATATAAAATTGACAAAGAGGGCCAGAATCCTGGGAAGGATTTCAACTTGTCATCTGATGTAAAGGTTAGTAATTAGTTTGTGGCAAATTTCATATCGTTATGCCATGATATAAGCTTTCATGTTCTCTTTCATGAATTTGCTTCTTTTTAACTTCATACTTTTCATGGACCGCTATTACTGTATTGGCTTTTGCTCGTTTCTGTAACTTCATGTGCGGATGTCTTGAAAATTATGATGCAGTTGCCAAAACACTGGATGAAATCTCGAAACTTCCTGGAAGCATGTGTTTTCTCTGCTCTTGAACTGCTTGCCGTGCACTTTGCTCAGTGGGGCTACCACATATCTTTTCCTGATCTGGCCACTATTCCGTTGATTCATTTGAAAAAATTCCATGAAAGAACAAGCATTGAGAGTTCCAGGCGAATGGTGAAACGTTTTATAGATCAGGTATGAACCTTCTCATGGCATTTACATTATTACTTTGTTAAAAAATCTTTCAAATAGTCCTGGTGAAAAATCCCCCTGTACTATGTTATATGTAAAATAAGATAGTGAACTAGAAAGAGGTTTGTGTTAGGGTTAAACGGACGCATTTTCTAAAATTTGGCCTCATCTGACCTAGATGATAAGGAATGTAAAAAAGGTCCAATCGTATTGATTTTCTTGGAAAAGAGCCAATTTTTAAGTAATGTGGCACTGGTGATAAGTTTATAATTGTTCTCTTGGTTGGTTAAAGTGTTGACACTCCTAAGGAAATAATAAACCCATTTTTAGCCCAGGGGTTCCTATTACCTTTTTGTAGGGTGGTTCTAGCCTGATGCTTCAACGTTGTTATCCGCCTGTCTGAACCATGTTTCGTCCAACATTTCAGGTGGAACAGAATGTCGAGTTTGTGCGCAAGAAGAGAGATGAAGTTGCTTTCTCGCCAAAAGACGAGCAGTTAGTCGCGTCATTTCTTCAGGTAGTTAGTTCTTTTACCTTCATGCATCCATATATACAATCACATTCCTTGGTTGGTGAAATCTAACGAGCTCTGCTCTGGTGCATGTTAATGTTGCAGACAGAAAATTCGAGTGGCAATCTTCCATTTATCCAGTACTACAGGAGTCTAATAGAAAAGGCAGCTTCTAGGGATCTGCTTCTCAGTAAAAACTTGAGGTGCGCGCTCCTCCATCTGAGTATCTATGCTTAACTGGTTGGTTTGTGGTTCGTCATGGAAAAGACTGCTGCTTTCTTGTGTCATCTACCTTTAATTGAAAAGTCTGAAATATATCACGCTGCAATATACTACTCAGTAGGCCAACTGTTCCAAGTTTGCTTATACTTTCGGTCTGGAAATTTGAAGCATGTTTGAGTAGTTAGGACTTCGATTTGTTATCCTGAAAAACATGTGTGTATTGTTTTCGTTAATCAAGCTGCAAATTTCTCTACAGTTCTCAGGAGCCCAAGAAAACGAAAGGAAAGAAGCAACGACCTTCGAATGGTGCTATCAATGCTGCTAAAGAAATGGAAATGGGTGAAGAATAGATGGCTCCAGTGAGCCTTACTGTAGGATGCTTGAGAAGCCAATTTTGTTATCTATACAAGAAGCATCCTATAGCAAGTCCTTAGGCTTAGATAATTCAGTGACCTATGTTTTTGCAGATTTGAATTTTGATTTATATCATTATATTTATATGATATGAACAGTTAATTGGGTTGAATGACCTATTTTGGCCATATACACTCACTCTGACATAGACATGACTGATCATAAGCAAAGAACATAGAGGACATCTTTTCAGCTTCTACTGCAAAAAAGAATGTCTATTTGGTTGTTTGTAGTATCAATATTCAATAGTAGTTGTAAATATCCAGCTTTTTAAACTACGAGAGAAGGAAAAGATGCAATTTTGTTCATCTGGGGATTACATTCACACCTCAAGTGGTGAAACATTGAAGCCACTGCAGAAGAAAATTGCAGTCGTGCTTCAAGTTGATTGATTGCCGGCGGCCTCTTTTACTAGTGGGCGGCTGTTTATGCTTTCATATATGTCCAATACAAGAATGGGGAGAAGAACAAAAGGGTTTTCATCAACCTGCTTTAATAAACAAATAATTAACTGCTACTATACTAGAAGTATTTGTCCATTTACATCGTTACCTCTAGCAACTTTGATCATCATCTGGGCTCTATCAAAATCATCAGCAAACATGAATTGCAGACGAACTCTCTATGTCGAAACTTGCTCCTCCGTCTTTCAGCGACATAACTCATTATCATAATCTGAACTATGTTCTAAAAGTTAACAAGAACTCACACAGATGGTAATGGCACGCAGACGAATGAGGCTTTAACCATACTACTGCCTTGTTCCCCACTGCAACCCAAAACCCCAAGCAACCCTGGCCACGAACCCTTCTTGTTCCTACTCCTGTCGACGACCTTCTTCGCCACTTCTTGATTATTCCTTCCATCATCGTCGGACTTGGTACTGCTGCTCATCTTCTTGCTCTGCCTGAACTTCATGTCATTGAGCTCCATCTTCACGGGGACCTTCCCTGCTCCAAAAGCAAGCACATACCACCTCGATTTCATCGTCGAAGGCACTCTGGCTGCTGCTGCTGATGGTAGTGGTGGTGATGGACGGGGTGAGAATGACAGTGGTAATGACCATAACCTTTTCACTTGCTGGCGATTGGAATAATATTCTGCTGGTCTTGGTTCATTGTGGGACGATGATCTCCTCCTATTGAAGCTATTCTTACTGTCAAAAACCCCTTCTTTGAAGCTCGTTTCCTCTGTGTTGTTGCTGCTGTTGTTGTTGTTGTTGTTGTTGTTGTTGTTGTTCCCCTGATGTGGTTTCCTGTGTGGGATGATCTTCCCACAGAAGATGATGCTTTCCTTCTCCTCTTTTGCTTCATCATGTGAAGTAGTAGAGGAAGAAGGATTGAAGTCTCCACTGAAGAACTCAAACACATCCTGATCATAGTCATGATGATCACGATCACGATCGCCTTGTTCATCATTCCAGGCAATACTTCTGCTGCTGCTGGTGCTGGCTGTGGTCAAGGGGATATCGCGGAGCGAAAGGGTTTCTTCCTCCTCCTCCTCCTCTTCTGAATCATATGAAGAAGGTTGATGAAGAAGGTTCATGGTCTCCTCCATCTCTGCCACAGCTGCCATGAACTGTTGGGTGGGGAAATCAGAGGTGTCAAGAGAACAAAGGGAGAAGGAAGGTGATGTGGGCTTTGTAATTGATGGTGTCTAGCTAGTTTGTTTTGTTGTTGGTGTGGTTGTATGATAAATAGGAACAGAAGAACAGAGAGAGGAGGTGACAAAAACAAAATCCCCCTTGGAAACGCAGTTAAAAAGGGGAGGTGGGAGGACGGGCTCAAAGAGTTTGGGAGGAAACAAAGAGGGAGATGGAGTTGACTGGTATGCCTTCCTTCATTGTCTCTTTGGTGGTTTGTTTGTTGAGGTGGAAAAGCAATCCCTTCTTCTAGATGACTGTATCAGAAATGTGCTCTTTTTATGTGTTGGGTTTGAGTGGGTAGGGGAACCAAGTATATGCAAACTTTTTTTCGGTGAAGAAATGAATTTATATTAAAAGCGATATATAAACCATGAGCATAATAGGGTGTGATTAAAAATAATACAAAGGAGATATGGAAGGAAAAAAGGGAGCTATTTTGTTGTTGGATGACATATGGACGAGTTATGAGTTAGTTTGGACGCTTTTTAGATTCAAATTTACCACCCACCTATTTGTACAATTACGGATGGATCGGGTGGATGATGGATTGTGAGTTATTTTGACGGTTTTGGTGTTTTAATTAATAAGATTATTACGGTTCATAAAAGTTTACATCAAGCTAATTGAATATCAAAGCTACAAAATGGAAGAAAATTGATAACTATTAAGTGTAGTTTATTGCAACATGTAACCATCAACATGTCATTTGTGAACAAGGGGACATTTTATGAATAGTTATTATATTTTTAAATCATCGAACATATACTTTTTTTTAATGACTGGTCTACTTCAGGAGTATACCATACTCCATGTGATATGACCGTTAGATCTCTTTTTCTGAGCTCCGACTAATCTCAACGGTCAATTAATATTTTGTATTAAATTGAACTTCGGGTTTGAGTTTAGAGAATCGGGGCCTGTGGTTTATCCATTAGAGGTTAGGGTATAGTATCATACCCCAAACTTGATTTAATTCATGGTTTAGATAGAGATATCTCACTATGAGTACCCGAAGTATAAGAGTACACCAGTTTGACCCCTTTTTTTGTGTGTCTCAAGCAAAATTTATGAAAATGATTATCATTCAATTGAATCAATCACCAGTTATATTTGGAACAAGAAAAAAAAGTAATGTATTATTATAAAACGTAGATTAGTGACATAATATATCAAGTAATTTTGCAAATCAAAGACCCACCGACTATTCATTCAAACTTTATCCACCTAAAAAATAACTCACACTCATCCACCATATCCATCCAGACACGTATAAAATGAGTATAGTTAGATAAATTCATATGAGTTTGATTATTAACCCGCACATTGCTCATCCACACGTAGGCAGCTTGGGGACATGGAAAACTCTACAGCGCCATTGCTGGCCTGACGCTGACGGTTGGCAAGTTCAAGCAACTTCTATTTTTTAAGTACGGTGTATTTCTTTCATTAGTTGATAATTCTTAGGGTTAGGCTGTATAAACTACTGTTTCGTCGTCACAATCCGCCATTTTATGGACTAGTGTCGCCTTTCAGAATAACGACAGGCATCAAACAGGTAATAAGGTTTTTGACTCTGACGTCCTTATAATTGCCTAGCTTAATTCATTCTAAAAACACACTTACAAACCTTGTTAATTAATTTGAGTTCTAGAACAACAGCTGTTTGTGGTTTGTAGTTTGTACACAAGACAAGTGGATCGGAGTGACTTGTATTCCAAGGGGCTGGGATCAGGTGACTAAGGGGGGTCCCCTTAGTCACATGGCTAAGTGAATCTCAGCTACACAATTTCATTAAAATCCAAGGGCTCCTATTAATCCAATTTAATGAAGGGCAATGTAGTAATTGCATGTTTATTTTTTATATTTAATTATAAAATGAATTAAAAAAAAAGTAAGCAGCTCGCCCCCGCCTCTCGTCTCCGTCCGATTGTTCGGCGGTGGCTCCCCTGGGCAGGAGAGTTCCCCAGCTCTCATGCGCCATTATTTCAAGGATAATTCCCAGAGAGAGAGAGGGAATGAATTTCCCAGTGGGAATTGTTTGGCGGCTGGGAATTAATTGGCGCGAGAGAGAGAGAGTTTTTTTGGTCGGAAAATTTTCTGATCGAAAAAAAATTTTCGGCGAACATCGTCGCCGGAGAAGAATTTCCCGGCGACAGTGCTAATTTTGTGATGTTTGTTGACATATTTTGTAATGTTTGTAATGTTTGTCGGTTTTTTTTGTAATGTTTGTAAACTTTGTTATTTTTGTTAACCATGTTTGTAAACTTTGTCATTTTTGTGCACCATGTTCGTAATGTTTTTTATGTCTAAAAAACACCCGGGTTGACTTTGGGAAGGAGCCCCTCTATATAGGGATGGAGCCTACAAAGTCAACCCGAGTGTTTTTTCCCGTTCGTATGGATTGTCGGTCTAGTTTGTCATTTTTGTCCACCATGTTCGTACTGTTTGTATGTCTAAAAAACACCCGGGTTGACTTTGGGAAGGAGCCCCTCTATATAGGGATGGAGCCTCAAAAGTCAACCCGGTTGTTTTTTCTTTTTGTATGGTTTGTAATTTTTGTCGGTCTAGTTTGTATTGTTTGTACAGTTCATACGTTTGTAATGTTTGTATGTTTTGTCGCTCTAGTTTGTACTGTTCGTATGTTTTGTATGGTTTGTACTGATTGTAAATCCGGTTTGTATACTTCGTAATTTTCCATAATACCCAAACTACCCCTGTCATTAATTAAATAGTCATTCCCACTTTTTAACCATCAAATTGAAGTGTCCAGATCTAAGGGCTGGGAGGGGCTTAGTCAAGTGACCACCCCCTTAGTCACCAGATCCGCTCTCTATTCCAAGGTAAGTCACTTTGGACTTTTCCTTCTGTTTAACATAACACTGCCTGCATTAACATTCGTCTCTGCCTTATGTAGCCTTCTTTTTGTGTCGCTTGTTTTAATTTCCATTCATATTTCTTTCCTCTTCTTTTCTTATATATTAATTTTCTATTCCTATTTCTAATTTTTTCACGAAAAGATGAAGCGTCGGCTTGCGACAGGAGTGAAGAGAGCTAGTAGATAGACATTGTTTAAAGATGAGATTGAGGTTAGTAGGATATTAGAGAAGTTTAAGTTACAAACTTGTCATGACCAATGGAAATTAGAACACAACAATTAAATGGTACACTGTAATGATGCGAAAACAGTGATTAATAAGGTGAATTTTGTATGGGCTACTGATAAGAAGGGACAAGGGTGTGGCCGTCCTCCAAAAAGCCTGATGGTTGCTCTAGTTCGTTCCAGGATATACGACATAATATGTTGGTAGAAATTAAATGGTAAACCCACTTAGCATATAAGAAATACCTCCTTGATTCCTCTTTATTTAATTTACAATAAACCATTTTTATGATTTAACCGTGCTACAGTATCATATACGATGTAGCGCAATTTGCCTCTAGAAGAATTAACCAGGGACAAAATATTGGAAGAAATGTTTTTATGTATGAAAAAGGACTAGTATTAGATTGGGTGAAATTTTTAATTCATAGTCCATTATCCAGCAAAATATTTAATTTCATGGCTGTCTTTTCATGACCGGTTGTTCATGAGAATGGGCGGTTCCTTCCTTTCCTTTCCTCCTGTTGTTGATCAACAATTGAGTTCACATTTGTCAAAAGTGTGACGATAGAAGGATTTTTGTGAACTTTCGATTCAGACAAATGATTAGTGGATGATACCATAACTTAACTATATATTAGGCGCAGCTCTCTTGTCTAATAAAGTTAAATTTGGGGGGAATCATAGCATAGGGGAGTAGTTGAAATTGAGATATCACATATTTCTAATTTTCTAATAAGACAGAATTAGAGACGCAATTAGTTTCAGTGGGTTGGTGACTAATGGCAATGGCTGCATAATTAAAGAGAATGCAATTGAGCAACCTTTGGTCTTGTTCCTTAGTAAGCGTCGTTCATAGTTTATACATAGCCACCAAATTGATTTGCATAACCACATGTGCCATTTCAAAAAATTGGGTGGCTTTAAACTTTAAAGAGTTCAACTGAATCATATTATATAGTTAAATGTGTTTGAATTGGGCTTGAATTAGTCGTAAGAGACGAGCACTCTACTCTACCAATTGTTGTATAGAAAAACTTCGACCGAAATTCATTTGGAGCGGACTTGTTCTTCTTTTGCATTTTTTGATGAAATTTTTAGGTCAGTGTAGAGTTGATTAATTAACCGCAATGTAACGAAGACTTATTTTTCTTTGACAAATTTTAGGTCTGTGCATGAAAAACTCATGCAAGATTCATCAAAAAAAAAAAAAAAAAAACTCAGGCATGCAAAAACTCACACCATTCTTTCCCTTGACAAAAGATCGTTACCTCAATTGTCTCGTCTCGTATATGTTCTTCACACTCTGAATTCAAAAGCGTGTGCTTTCTACTTCTAGAGGCTTTGAGCCCATTTGTGGATTTGGTGGATCCAGTCCAGACCAAACCAGACTCCATGAATCATTTTCTCGGTCCAAGTGTGGCCTGCTTTGCTCTTACTTTGGACTTCCTCCTCGTCTAGAAAGAAGAAAGATAAGCTAATGACACCTTCTTTGACTACTCCTTCTCCTTGACCTAACCTAACCTGACCTAACCTAACCGGTCCTCGCATTTTCCTTTTGTAAACAGGCAGGGTTGACCTAACCAAACCACCATGATTCAAGTGATACGATGGAACTCAAACTCAACTGTCCTTTTATCGTTGATTAGGTTAATATCTCATGGTGAAAGAAGACATTGTTCTAGAATTGAGATATTTCTAAGTATGAGTAGCACTAATATTTGTTAATAGAATTAAATTTGGCATAGTACATAATCAACTGATCATGCATCCAAGTACAACTTATATATGCGATTGAATCAACTAACAAACATAGGTGGATGTCCTATGCCGAAGGACCTCCCAACACATCCTATCGATCGTACTTGACAAGACTTCTCAACTGAAAGCTCTGATACTATGTTAACCAACAAATCATTTAATCCTAATTACTCAATTTGTTGGGAAATATTTCGTTATCAAAATTATATGTCATTCCTTTTTTAAATTTTAAAGACCCGATACTGAACTTATGGATATATTAATACGAGGGTATAGGAGAATACAACAACAAATGAAGGGAAGTCTCAAACCTCAAAACTAGGAGTAACATGTTAGAAGATGAAATTCGAATATAATTCTACGTCGTATCAATTTGAGTATTTAGTATTTACCAACAGTCTATAACATATTTTGCACCCAATTTGAGTATTAACCAACAAGCTAACATATTTTGTGGTGCAAATACACTTTGTGTTCATGCTTCTAATTTTTACATCTCATGCTCGAATCTCATTCTCAATCGACCTCCTCCTCAACTCCTTACTTCTTGAACCCAGTCCTTGCCGTTCAAACCCCACTTTATATGAAATTATAGCAACGCCAATAATAAAATCTCACTTTTATTTATAATATGAAAACCATTAAATTTGTTCTTAAATATTTTTAACGATAATTGTCAAATTCTTGTTACCGAAATAAATACATCTTATCCTTGTCTCAACATTATCTCAATCACCTCATATATTCTTTCAAAATTAATCGAAATCTTTAACCGAGACATGATATCTTCATTCGGGTTTTATAATGATATCTAAGACAAATCAAACATGTGGAACATTTCACTATAAAATCTTCGTATTAATTTGCTCGGTAGTGCCCAAAATCTTCTTCTTATTAAGGCATGGTCATTAATTAACCCACATGACAACTATGAGATAACTAAAAGAGAATATCGACAAGTACTCATTGAATTAAATATATTAAGATGATTAGTCATATACAGAAAACTCTTAGTGATCAGTAATTACAAACTAATTACGCCGCTAAACAGAACTATAACAGAGAAGCCATAAGTAGAAGAAGAAGAACAGGTCCTCGGTAAAAAAAAAAAAAAATTGGAATCAACGAAACGGTACGGCCGTCGGTAAAAGGTAAAATTTAATTAATCAAGGGCGAGCGCCGGCCAAAACCCTAATCAAACACCACAAACCCTTTCCAGATTTAGCACCGACGGCGGTGGAATTATCATCCGGCAGCATCGAAGACGACGCCGATGACGTCGAAACATCAAAATCAAGGCTGATGGAGCTCCGGCGGCTCTGCCGCCGCTTTATATCTTTGAGATCCATACTCCTCACCGGGAACTTCCACTCCATCCCAAACGCCAAGCAGAGATACCCTCTTGAACTCGATCTCCCAGCTATCCCACCGCCACTCTTCTTCTTCTTCACCGGCGACGAGCAAGACGAGTTAGATGATGAATTTGACGAGGAGGAGGAGGAGGAGGAGGAAGAGGAGGAGAATGATTTCATACTCCAGGGGAAATTCATTCTCTGCTTCTTCTTCTTACCCTGTTCTTCCTGCTTCCTTTTCTTCTCATTGCTCACCAATACAACTACTCTGTCTTGTTCCTGTTTTTGTTGTTGGGCTACTGCTAATTGTCTGTGAGCAATGAGCTTCCCGCAGAAGACGATTGTACTATTACCATTGTTGTTGTTGTCTTTGGTAGTAGAATCAAGACGGAGAAGATGATCAGCTGTGAATGAGTACTCCCTCGAGAACTCGAACCCATCTTCATCGTCATCATTGTCATTAGGATCAGGAGATGCCGCTGCTGCAGGATGATTGATGCCGTTGCTATTGTGGAGAGGAAGATCGCACAGCGAAAGAGTGTCTTCATCATCATCCACTTCTTCCCTATCGTGGGCACTTGGGCTATGAGTTGTAGAAGTGGTAGTTTTGGGGGAAATTGGGTAATGATGATGATCATCATAAGGAAAAGGAAGTAAAAGTGGGATTATCGGAAACGAGGAGGCAGCCATTTTTGTGGATTCGCAGAGGGAGAGAGATGCTGGCTGTGTTTGCTTGTTTGTTGTGATGGAGGTATCTTTGATTCTGTTTTGGGTTTTGATTTATACATATAGGCTGAAACCTGAAGAAAGAGCAGAGCCTACGAACAAGAGTTTGGACTTTTCGTTTATAAAATATCAGTATTAGTATCATTCAATCGATCGGCCTTCTAGAGGCCCTTCTACACCAAGAGGCAAGAGTATATAATAATTAATTAATTTGGTAATAGGCAGGCGACAGGAAGGAAGGAAGCTAAGTCGTATTTTCTTCTTCCCGTTATGAATTTACGCGGCATGTGTATGTATGTATGTTGACTACCGTCTTCAGCTCCCCCATATGGATATGGAGTTGCGTACGTACGCTTTCATTATATGGATCCAATGCTTTCTTAGCTTAGCTAATGGCCTATAGGACAGTGCTGATCAAACATGATTATTTCGTTTGATCTGGATTGCAAAACTATTAAGAATGGTTTTTGATTTGCCTCCTGGTCTGTAATATAGAATGTTTTGATCTCTTTGTCTGATATGATCCTGATCGTAGTTTATCGGATTGGATAGTGGACCCAACTCAATTTTCAATTCGTGTTAACAGCCCACTCCCACCACTCTCCCAAGAAGATCCAAGTCCCAAACCTAATTTTGCGAATCTTGTCCTGTCCTTCGCTTGCAAAGCACAGTCCACCACCACCAGCGAGTAGAGACGACCGTGCCAGCATGTGACGTTGTGTTGATGTTAATTGTGTCGTTATGATGTAAGTTGAATTGCTCTCACTTCGTCTTTGTTATTTATTTGGATTTAGGGTTAAAAAATTATGCACGCATGTTGAAATTTGTATTTTAAGCTTTTTCCCCTCGCCTATTGCTTAGTTTTTCGTTTGTTTGACTAAATTAACTATTCATTTTCACTTAATATAGTCTCTCTGGTAAAAAAATCGCACCGGACTAAACCGCACAAACATAATCTGATCTAAACCGTATAGTATTTGATATCCAACTTCTGAACCACGAACCCATTTGGATCACATCGTTCGTACCGTTTACCATTGTTACTGTTGGCGTTGGGGATGTCTAGCTTCTAGAAAAAAGGAAACCGATACTAAGAAAAACAAAGAAAGAAGGGCTGCAGGGCGCAGGCCGTGGGGCGCGCGCAAAGGCAAGGAGCCCCTTTTTCTAGATGGCTTGACTGACGGCCGGCTCCCTTCCCCTTCCGATTTCTCTACTCCATCTCCTATTTTCTCCACTATATTATTATTTCTGTTTGGCCACATTTCATTTATAACCTTCTACTAGTTCAAAAACTCCAGAGAGAAGAAAGGACATTTGGACTCCACCACCAAAACATCATCTTTACAAGTTCAAAGAGACTCATCTCAGTATACATACTCTGCTGTACCCTATCATAACAACAATATTTTATTAAGAACGTATACGTCTAATAAAACAATTATATACACATCGTTTTCGATCCTTCTTGTATTAGGTCTCCTTTGGTTATAACAACACCATTTTGTCCGTGCCAAATGCCACTGTTTGAAGAGGAAGACAGCCAATGTCATTTTCCGGCAGCTTAAATATACAAACGGCAAAAAGGATGAAAATGATCGGAGACCAAATAAGCCACGGCAGGCAACAACAGAATAGGCTAAGCATACTCTTCATCTGAGGGAGGGAGGGTTGACCACGAGAACAGACAAGTGGGTGTTTTCTTTCCCCTGGGCCCAACCGGCGGCTGGGCTGCTAATCAATTAACTATGCCATTGCCGGCCACAATGCTGCCATGTGGTTGTGGATTAGGCCAAGAGAAAAACCAGAAAATAGACAAGTTTTTACAAATCGAAGGGGACAAAATAATGTTGCACGATCTCTAATCCGATAACCTTCTAACAAGTCAACTCTCGGGTGTTTTCTTCACTGGATCCGCGGACTGACAACCTTATTACAACCTCTATCATCACTCGAAACTAGTAAGATAACAACACTTTAGGAGTCAAATGTGTCATATTTTTGGTGATTTATCTTTAAAATATAATTTTGATAATTAATTTCGTGAAAAAAATACCCATTTAGTGAAGTAGAAGCACAAAAGCGTAGAGGATTTTGGTGGACTAAATGTCTAAAATCGTAAACTTTTAAACTTTAAAGAGCAATTTAGTCCAATTTTTTACACTAAAGATTTTATCTAAAAATATAAACATTTTTGTGACCTAAAAGCGTAAAACCATAAAAATTTAAATTTTAAAACGCGATTTTGACGGCATTGTTTAGGCATGCAACATATAAACTATGTTATCTTGTGAGTTCATTGCAAACTTGCAGTTTGTGAAAGTTACATGGGAAGGAAAACAGCAGCACCAGAAATACAATCAACCACTCAGGAGAATAATATGCCCAACCTAAACTGGATTCAACAGTGTAGTATTACAGGCCTAGTGCTTAACACTACAAAAACAATCAAGAAGATAGGCATCAAAACTCGGGTCGGAAATCTCAAGTACAATTAGCTTACTGGTGATTTTGCCCCTCTCTTTTTAGCCGTTTTATCCTCTCAAGAGCACCAAGTGCCGCTGGAGCATCATGGCCTTCATCACCGCCGTCTTTCTCTGCATCATCCCTCTTTCGAACCAATCCTCCAAACACCTCGGACGGTACTTCCTTTTGTGCTATTTCAACTTTCTCAGTATCATCATCGGAGTCGCTTTCGTCAGGAAGCTCAATGTCTTCTTGGTTCCTGGTAACCTTCAGCCTGCCATCCGTCTGTGTCTGCACTCCTGCACTTACAAACCCAAGTGTTGTCCTGTTGTTGCCATCTTTGCCGGCAGCATTGTCGGTGGTGCTAACGGGTGCTAGTTGCTTTTCAAGAGCAGCCATTTCATCCTCCGGTAGCCCAGCCTGTTTCAACTTGTCTTTGGCATCATCGATGCTCATCTTTTGATCCTTCTGCATCATATACTCTGGTAGAATAAAGTGTGTCTGCAGCAGTACCAGAGGACAAAGAAAACCGTAAGAGCAAAGTTCATAATCAAAAAAATTCAACCAAACAAATCTAAAATAGAATAAAAACATGATGATGAGAAATTTAACACGTTGTAGATTGTTTAACAACTATACACCCAAAACCCTCAGCATATAGCTCGAGGCACCAATGGAAAATTGCCACCTAATGCCACAGGTTTACGAAGTATACAAATTCCAGGATCATAAAACACATAGAATGCCAAGAACCGGAACAAAACCTGCAGCGTAAAGATCTATATAACTACTAACTGCAACTGCCATGTTACTAGCCCTGTATTCAGCTCTCACCCATCATTTTAGGCCATTTTAAAGGCTCTATCAATCATGGAACACATAGATTCAACGGTTCCAATTGCATATGAAACAGAAGATGAAGGTTTGATTGCCATTTCCATTATTATCACACGCCATGTCCCGAAGGGAATCATATATCTAATGCAAGTGACTACTTTACTTGTTTGGCTGCCCAGGGCAAAAACAAGCTTCTAAACAAATAAAGGAGCTGGCATGTAACCATTCGCAGAAATAAATTCGATCCCATTGTGTACTGTACAGAACATTTGCAGTAAACTATGCATGGAAATAGAGAGGATAAGCAAGCATACCTGGCTATAACTAGCAGAAACAGTTCGCTTGATCCGCAGCATTTCGCGGAAGGTATCCTCATTTCCATGGAGAACCTCAAATGCATGCCACTTAGTCCAGAAATCTTGATCAGATCTTGGATCAGCAAACTGAGATGCAAATCCATATATCCCTCGTGCCCGATCTATTTCTCCCAAGTTCTTCTCAAGCTCTGCATACTTGAGACACATTTTCTTAACATCTTTGTCTGGAAGACCAGACTCTATTGCTTGTTCATATATCTCTCTTGTTTTCGGGACACCAAATATCTCAGCAGCACGGGCAATGTAAATTTCATACATGCCCAATTTCTCACTATTTGGAACTGCCTTGGTGGCTTGATCATACACCTTCATAGCCCGCTTCGCCAAGCCATAATCTTCTTCCAACTTTGCATACTGTAGGTACAATGGTTTGACAGAGTCTGCAGGAGTCATCTCGATAGCATGTTCAAACAACTCTCTAGCTCGTTCCAGCTTTGTCTTGCCATATCTCTTCACAAACTTTGATAGATATGTTACCCATATGTCCTTCACATGTGGGTACTTGAATATTTTGACGCCTCTTTCGTACACCTTGAATGCATCTTCAAAATACTTATTTCCCTCCAGAAGGAACGCATAGTTGATTATTATTTGTGGAGTAGCTATTCTTAGGTCCAGTATTCGCTCATAAACAGCGCGAGTCGACTCCAGTGTACCGAGACCCTCCTCTAGGTCAACATAGAACGTCCAGAGTCTCAAGGACTTGTGCAACTTCATCTGGACTGGTTCATTCCCATCAGCAGCCACTCTTCTTTTGACCTCAACCGATGGCTCTGCTGTCGCCCGCCTTAGAAGCTCCAAAGCAGCTTGGAAATTCTTGTGTCTGATTTCCATCTCTGCCCACTCACACCACACACTAGCCAAATTATCAACGGTCTTATAATTTACCTGAGCGGCCTTATCAAAAATCACTCTGGCATTGACAAGATCATTATGTTTCTCATACAGCTTGGCAAAAGCAATCCAAAGAGTGTGAGGCTTTCCAACTGCTTTCATCGGATCAACAGTTCTTACAGCCTCAGTGTACGTCAATACCTGCTTCTCGGGGTTACCATCAAACAGCTTCACCCTCCGGTGCCATTGTTCGACATTGTGGGGATTTTGCCTCAAGAGAACACTATTAGCCAATTCAGGCCTTCTTTCCATTAGATAGTCAAATCTAGCCAGCATAAGATCCACATCCTTATCGTCATTAAACCAAAAACCAGAGAGTAACTTCTTCTCGAAATTTGGTAAATTGACTTTCAGCCGAATGTCCACTTCCAAATCACTCTCCTCTGCGCTATCTTCTTCCTCATCGCTAGACTCCAAATTCTCAATCTTATGATCAGCCATGCCTTGCTCAAACTCAGCATACGCATCAAAAATCACACTGAAATCCCTCACAGTGATAACAGTGGTCATACCCTCCTCAAAAATGTCTCTTGCCTTGTCAAACAATCCCCTTCTGATATAATAATCCGCTAAAGATGTCCATAATCTGCCAACTTCATTTGTATACTTCCTAATCCCACCTCTGATAATTGCATCGACATTGATTCCAGAAACATCTTTGGCATGCCTGGTGAGCAAATCGCACAGTTCAAGCCACAGTGTGTGCTTCGTTTTTCCTTTCAATGAATAAAACTGGTCATCATTCAAAACTGACGCCAACCTCTCGGCTGCCTCTTGCCAAAGCCTTGAAGTCACCAAGAACTCAATGAAATCCTCAATATGGCCGGGATCGTACTTCAAATACCTGCGATAGACTCTCAACGAAGTCTCAATCGGAACCCCTTCCTGACTCACAAACTTCAAGTAGAGCTCCCAGATCCTATCATGCTGGGTGACAGGCAGAGCACAAAGTGCTCGGTCAGCAGTCCGGCGAGTCCGCTCGATAAATTTCTGTTTCGTCAATGACTGCAGGTACATTATCCAGATACGAGGCATCTTGTGCATAGTAACCAAAGCTCTCTCAAAAGTATTGTTGAGAGTCTGGTACTTGGGGTGAGTAATGGGTAGGTTTCTCACAACATCCAAACGTTCAGTGAGATAGGCATGCCAGAGCTTGTAACTTCCAGGCAAAGCCTTGAGTGCCCTCTCGTATGTTATAAAACGCTTCTCGAAGGGGGCATCTCGACGGGCAACTAAGTACCGCCACCACAGCTTCAGGCTAAATGGATTTCGCAAAAGCTCTTCCTCGTAGGGAAGATCGTCCTGAGACGGATAGAGCTCTCTGGGGATTGCCATAGTGATAAGGACAAAAGCAGAATTCTTCTCTTCTCCACGGGACTGGACCAACGTAAACCCTAGGAACTTGATTATAATAGACTTGGCTCAATCTCGAGAAACTGGAAAAGAACAGAAGCTACAGCAGAGATAACTGACCGTAGCAGGGGGGGAACCTGGACGGAGGCGTCGGCCTGTCCGTTCGGCCGGGAGACCAGATCGCGGCGAGCCTTCAGACTAGCCGACGGGATGATTTTGGAAGGGCGGTAGAGCTATTCAGAATTTTAACCCTCAATTATGGAAGGGCGGTAGTCGGCTAGTCGCACATTCCGTTACCGATAGGTTGATACTCGATAGGACAGGGATAAATTACAAAAAGGTCCCCATATTTTCTTTTTTTACAAAACAATAGTTAGCATTTTGATAATTTTAAAATGTGATATGTTGACCAACGGATTAGGAGTGAGCATTGGGTAGTTGAACTCACAAATCCATTAAAATTCATCCACAATCGACCCACCTATTATCATGTGGGTGGTTCCTATGGGTGGGTAAGGGTTGTAAACTTAGTGATGGCAATGGGGCGGGGCAGGTACCTCAATTTCCATGCCCCGCTTCATGCTACTACGGGTCGGAGCGGGTAAAACCCGCGCGGGTACGAGGCGGGGCGGGTCGACCCACTCTTACATGTTGTTCAAAAAAAAAATACAAGTAAATTTTACTTTCTACAATAAAACGTAAGGAAAAACACTTTAAGAATGAAAAATATTGATAATAGAATGGATAATTGAGCCTAACAAGTTGAAAGATCGACTCTAACTAGTTGAAGAAAAGTCAAAATAGGAGAAATATGTATAGATATTGTAAGAAATTGAGATAAAATGAGTCTAGAAAGGGCGGGGCAGGGCGGGTCGGAATTAGATACCCATGCCCCGCCCCATGCTACTGCGGGTCGGGTAATACCCGCGGGGCTGGTTGAAATTGCCATAACTATGTAAACTAAGGCCCTGTTCACTTCCATTTTCGTTTTCTGTTTTCTGTTTTCATGTTACAAATTTGGGAAACGAAACGAGAAAACATGTTTACTTTTTATTCTGTTTTCTATTCGTTTCCAACTCTGAAAACAGAAAGTGGCAAATTCCTATTGTTTTCGAAAACGAAAAAATGTCGTTTTCACCTGTTTTCAACATCTGTTTTCTCAAAAACAGGAAACAGAAATGAAAGTAAACAGGGCCTTAGGTGTTGTTTGCTAATGGGATTTGGATGTTGTATTTGGAGACCAAATACAAACCATCATGTCTTTTGTTCAAACCCATTGTTTGTTAAGGTAGGCAAATCCGTGGGGCCCATGGATTTGGACAATCTTTTTAGCTCCAAATCCGTGGACCCCACGTATTTGTAAATACCATATTTCATTTGGTATTTGCAAATACCACATTATGGAAGGCAAATTTTTTACAACCACGTACCAAATGAACTAAATCCATGATAAAAAAAATCAACTAAACAAACAATGTTATCTTTCAAATACAAAATGCAACAAATCCATCAAAACTCAAAACCTTTATTTTGAAATCCAACAAGCAAACGAGCCTAAGTGACCCACAAAAAATTGGATGAGTGCAGGTGGATTGTGTTTGACCCACGACCCACCCAACTTTTTAACCTCAAACAATCGAAGCTCTAACATAGAGTTCTACCAAAATGTAACCCTTAAAATCATAATCATTCCTCCCAATTTTGATCAAAATATTGTGTTGTGGTGTGTGTTTAAGCAAATGGAGGTATGCTTAAGCATAAGTAGTAGACAAAATGGCCGAAAAAAGACAGTTGGTTTCCCCAAAATGACATCATCTCAAACTACCATGTTTATGATCTCAAACTACCATCGATTCGTCCTTCATTCCTTCAATCAATTTGGAATTTTAATTTAGGACTATAGGTTAAAAAGCTATGTATGCTCACAACGCCTAGGTGAATGAGGCGCTAGGCAAGACCAAAATGTTTGCCTTATGCCTAGTGCCTTATTTTACATTGGTTATTATCAGCCTTAGACCATGTTTATCGGTTGAATATGTTGTAATTTATGGACAGGTACTAATACCAATATTGTAAAATAAATAATTCACCTGATTTATGGATTAAACGTTATTTAGTTTGACAATTTCTTTCATTTTAAGTTTAAAACTATTGAAATTTTGTGATCGAATTGGAATATATGTTGTAAATCCACCGAATCCACCCAACCACTCATCATCCGCAATCACCCAACCCACCCACATGTAATGTTTGGCCAGCTTGGGTGGGTGTGGGTCATTTTCTCCTTCACCCACCATATAGTGGGTGATTCCAAATCCACCCAAATCCGCATAAAACCACTCATTGGCCACTGCTCATCCCTACAACGAACAAAACTTGTATTTGGATTTTGGACACACTGATATTGAACTCAACCAAAGCCTAACTATACTAATTGTTTATGACCTTATAATTGTTGTCATCGTGTGGGAACACGATTTTACATGCTAAGAAAATTTATAGTGCATAGAAAGTATCTAATGAGATTGTTCGCGTCGTGCAATGGTGGTTGTTCAACACGAGTGTTCACGATGGTGCTGGTTTCGCCAAGATTCATTGTGGTGGAACTATTGGGTTCACCATTGAGGTCGGAGAAACTCTTTGTCTCACTTGGCTAATCTTGCCGTCGTTTATTGGAAATTTGTTGGTACTAGTTTCACTATTTAAAGGATTCTCACCATTTGACGGCGGGGCCCTAGTTTTCATCGCTGGTCTATTAAAAACCTCTCTGAACTCATTAGAATCACGTTTGTTTTCCTCAATAACTTCATCAAAACCATATATTTTTTTGATCTAATACTTCAACGAGTTAGCTTAGTCGCATATCAGTACGCTAACTAAAGCCATCAAAACATTCATCCAAATAAGCGAAAATGGAGTTATACCTGTTAGTTTTCCCTGTTGAATTCGACCAACATCTGGCTCCTCGTCCCTTTGATGATTGTCAGCCGCCACTAGCGGAGTGCTAGCCTCACATCGCTCATATCTACAGTTGGCGCCACTAGTAGCACCTCCACTCTGGCGTTGTTGTGTGAAGCACCTATAACGTGGTCAACCTCAATGTTAACTATTTGCTCATCCTTCACACAACTTTGATAAAGATCACTCTCATGTTTCCTTCATCGAGAAGCCATATCGAACAACGGGTCCCACGGGATGTGCCAATTAATTTCGCTGTGAACACATGTCTCACTAGGTGTGACTATTTGTTTCGTTATGGAAACTTTACATGTTTAATATGTTTGGTTTTCAAGGAAACACAACAAACAGATGAGAGAACCAAACGACTCATAGTCTCATACTTGGCTTTCACCTCTCAACATAATGTTTGAACGAGGGTGTTCGATGAACTACGAGGAAGCTACGTTACTTTACCTCTATTCATATAGAGATTCATTTGGAGAGCTCCACAATTACGTATGCTACGTCTCTAAAATTAAACAACGTCACTTCTTGATATCACGGTGTTGTTAAACTCGCGACATCGTTGACCAGTACATTGTTGTTTATAATGGACCAAACGATAGTAAAACGTCCAAAAAACTCCATTGCGATCCAAGCCATTTATATTGCAATTAATTGAGTCATCTACATAAAGATAGATAAGTGTCCATACTCATCAATTACTAATGCTGCACTCACTAGTCACCAATGCCAACCAACTCAAGTTCCATATTAGTTGTTTCTACAAGATGGTTCTACATGCTATGCATCTCTAAACCATACGATGTGTAGCTTTGTTGAACACAATCTTTCAAAATCATGGCATAGTTGTCTGATTGGAATTCATATGTTTAATCAATGGTCCATGGCTCCATGCTATAAGAAGTTACTGCTAGTCATATAAATGTGTCGTCGAGGCAAGTATATATATTATATAATAATAGGGGAAAAAAAATGTGCTTACAAGGAAAAAAGACATTGTTGGCTTAGGAAAACAATAAACACATGATAATTACAATATAGAAGTCCAACTAGGGAACTGCTCCATTTTGTTTGGCGAAATTAACTGAGACTGAGAGTGCCTCCTGAAAGCGGTCAACTCAAATCATAATAATGCAATCAGTTTTTAGAGATTCAAGTAAGAACACGGGCTGATTCGACCCGGTTTACCAGTCGGTTCAAACCCGGGATGTTTAATCTACACATTAATCTCATTCCTTAATGCTCAATAAACCGCGCCCTAATTTGTAATTACGGGTGTGTACCGAGCGAGCCGGGTCGCTCCAATAGTCCAATGTGAACCCGAGAGGGCATATACGTTATTATACTAGTCCAGCGAGTGCTTTTCCTGAAGTTATTAGGGAATTACTGGTTCTGCCGTTATAAATACCTGAAAACCCTACTTCTTCTTCACTCACCCCATCCTTTCCCTACGCTTCCCTCTCGACTGACGGCTAGGGTTTTAGCTCTCGGCGAGGCGAATTCTTCTCATCAGGTTCGTTCCCCTGATCTCTTCATTCGATTGCCTTTTAATTCGTTCCTTCCATGCTGCTGGTGTATCGTGCCTCCGTCGATTTAGGATCTGTTTCTGTGTAATTCATCTTTGGTTGCTCTGATGTGAGATTTGGTACGCTTCCAGCTGATTTTTTGTTTATCAATTCCCTTCTCTTGCTTTTCCTAAGCGTCTATGGCTCTCGGATTCTCTGTTTGTCTTGGATCCGTTGGTTTCCTTTGCATGTTTCAGCTGGTTCAGTCGTTTTCTCGCATGTGGTGATTAAGATTTGTTGAACGTCAGCTCCCCGAATAATAAATATCGTTGTACTGTTTCTTTAGATCTGTGATTGTTTTCTTGGGTTGAGATTGTGAATCGTGGATCTGAACGAGATCTGTTTCCCTTGGAATCGTTTTTGTGCTTGCAGCTAGGGTTTCGTCATCATGGGTAAGGAAAAGGTTCACATCAACATCGTGGTCATTGGACATGTCGACTCTGGCAAGTCCACAACCACCGGTCACTTGATCTACAAGCTTGGAGGTATTGACAAGCGTGTGATTGAGAGGTTTGAGAAGGAAGCTGCTGAGATGAACAAGAGGTCATTCAAGTACGCATGGGTGCTTGACAAGCTTAAGGCTGAGCGTGAGCGTGGTATCACCATTGATATTGCTCTCTGGAAGTTCGAGACCACCAAGTACTACTGCACAGTCATTGATGCTCCTGGTCATCGTGATTTCATTAAGAACATGATTACTGGTACCTCCCAGGCTGATTGTGCTGTCCTCATCATCGACTCCACCACTGGTGGTTTTGAGGCTGGTATTTCCAAGGATGGCCAGACCCGCGAGCATGCTCTCCTTGCTTTCACCCTTG